TGCTGCCTTACTTCCCCTCTGCTCCCATGTGGCTCCATATATGTCACTCTCCTTCCCACTTCTGACTGTATCATGTGCACGGGACTGTATCGTGTAAACGTGACTATATCGTGCAAACGTGACTGTATCCTGTAAATGTGACTGTATCCAGGGTGATAGCATCGGTGGGCGATTCTCTCTCCTATCAGAATCTCATGCCATCGCTGCTGTGTCACATCCACGGCGCCTCACCTGTCACCGAGATTCCCAATGATGGTTCGCTGGCCATACAGCACAAACGGAGCAGAGTATATCGAGTAGAGGTGTACAATGTCACCCTTATAAACACGTGGAGCACGTTTCTTAATGAGTACTGGCAAGATGAGCAGGTGGGCAGCCCGTGTGTTTATCCATCTACTAACTATATCATTGTAAACATGTCGCTTACATAAGCATGATGCTTACATTAGTATGATGCTTACATAAGCATGATGCTTCCATAAGCATGTCACTTACCACCTCCCACCCCTTATTTCCGACCTCCCACACCTGCAGACCCTCTCGCGCTACAGTAGCGGCAAGAATCGCACGGACGAAGATTCGGTGATCAATCTGGATGGCGTCGATCCGGCGCTTACCGCCCGGGTGACTAAATACGACGTGCTTATACTGCAGACCGCGGCGCACTGGCAAGCCAAGCCCAACAAATGGCGGCGGTACTTTGTGGATGGGCAGGGGAGGCTGGTGTTCACTGAACGGCAGTATATTGCTGCCTTCGAGTGAGTGGTGTCGAGGATTGGGAAGCAGGCCAAGGCAGTGCAGGGCTGGGCAGGGTTCTCTTGTTGCAACACTGGTGGTACTTTGTGGATGGGTAGGGGAGGCTGGTGTTCACTGAACGGCAGTACATTGCTGCTTTTGAGTAAGTGCATCTTCGCCATTTTAAGCGCCTCAAAAATAGAACAGAGTAAGTGCGAATCCGCATGCCTCATTCTTTCGAACTTTTAGGTAAATCTCATAGAATCACTCCATGTATGCTGCCCTCTGCGACCCCCCTCCCCGCCCCCCCCTCGCACACTGTCCCCTCTGCTCCCACCCCCCCCCTTGTCCCTCCCCCTGCTTCCCTCAAAGACAAGGGAACTCCCTTGCCTGTCCCTCCCTTTTCCTTTTCCTTTTCATTAGCAACCCTGCTGAACCGCACCGAACCTGACATGCTTGCCTGATCCCATGCCTCTCCTTTCCCCCTTCATCAGGCCTAGTAACCAGGCGATAGTGACTTTGTTGCACTTAAGCGACCCTGACACCTCCCCTGCTGCTCGCACGCCCGTGCCCTTCTTCCGGTCTGCTCCCGCCCCTTCTTTCTCTCCACCCCCTTAACCAACAGGAGGGGTATGCGGGCGATAGTGAATTTGCTGAGCCAAAGCGACCCTGACACCCCCCTTGCTGCACGAACGCCCGTGCCCTTCTTTCTGTCTGCTCCTGCCAAAATCAACCGCTGCAAAAGCCACTCGCAGCCCCTCACGCATGCCCAGGTAGGTTCAGTGCGGTGGATGCTTTGTAGTATGGAGCAACAGTGCGGTGTGATGCAATGTGATTCCGTGGGGTGCTGTGCGGTGATGTGTAGTACACTGTAAGATGGCTCACAAGCACCACCACAACAACTGCTTGTCTTTTCCTCTTGTTGATTTTTCATATCTTTCCTTCCACACACCCTTCTCCCCCCAACCCTCGCTGCCACCTCAGGTTCTTCAGACTCGTTATAAGATTCCTCAGTACACTCGGTGGTTACCTGCACAACAGCGCGCAGTAGCAGGCACGAGAATCCGCCTTCTAGACGTCACCTCCTCCTCTCTCTACCGCCCGGACTCCTTTGTGGGCTCTGGAGGGGTGAACAACGATTGTGTGCATTTCTGCCTGCCTGGTGTGCCTGACTCATGGGTTGACATGCTGCATAATATGTTATCTAGACAAGCGATTTTCCGGGTCCCTAAGGGTGCTCCAGTCCAGTAGTGAAGTCTCGTCTCACAGAGGGACTGGAGGGGTGAATGACGACTGCATTTATGCCTGCCTGTGTGCCCGACTCGTGGGTTAACATGCTGCATAATCTGTTCTCTAGGCAAGCTATTTTTTGGGTTCCTAAGGGTGCTCCGCTAGTGTAGTTACTGTGTTAGGACGATGTCCACTGGCATGTATTCAAAGCGAGACCAGTTTATCCATTATGCATATAATAAATAATAAGGGATTGCCTGGCTAAATGTCACCGTTTGTGTGGGTATGATCTTGCACTTCACGTGGAGGCCGCCGTGCGACCTTTTAAAGAGTAAAAACGCGAGTGAGACAGCAAAAACTGCAGCCACCACAGGCCAGGTGAAGCGACGGGAAAAGCTGGAAAAGGATGACCGTAACGCGATTTGGCATGGAGGGATGAAGAGTAAGTGGTTCGGCAGTGGAGGGGCGGGGGGGTTAGGAGGACGAGAATAGACATGTACTTGCGTGGGAGAGAGGTTTAGAGGTCGAAGGTGAGGATTAAGGGGAGCAGAGGAAGGAGCAGGGGAGAAGGTTGGGGAGGGAGGGCGGAGACGGTGCAGTGTCTTAAGAGAATGACGATGGCAGCAGCAACTTCTGCTAGGAGGAAGAGGAGGATGAGAGGGAGTGGGTTAAAGGGTGGTTTGCTGCTCCCATTCCCACTCTCCTCGTTGCCACCACCAACCACCACTGCGACCGCTGGAGTTATCACCACCACCACTACTGCCACTGTGGTTACCACCACTACCAGAAACTTCACGATTCGCATCACCCGCACCCGTGCCATCACCGCTGCCAGCATTGCCAACTCGTGCACGTCCCGTGCGTGAACCCACACAGAGCCAGCATGCGTGGAAGGGCGGTGCTGTGACAACTGCTAGCCGGTTGCTCTGATGGTAGAAACGGGAGCACGCCGGATCCCCCGTTTAAAGCAGCAGGAGAGTGAACGGTCGGTGCAGGTCGTGCAGAGTATGTACTCTCTATAGCGCGTACATCCCTTCCAAGGAGCAGGTATTCCCTGTGCTTCATATTACGGGATTTTCCACGTGGCGAAAGGTCGTAGGCGTGCGACAGCCAGCCTGACGACTCGGGGCGCCCTTTGGAGCATCGGGATTGCCGATTGGTCAGGGAGATTAACTCCGTATGGCAATATCGCGGCATGCTGCTGCTGCTGTTGCTGCTGCTGCATGCGCTGCCATCATTATAAATATCGGTCTATTTTACTCGGGCAATAGATTGGCCACTGTGAGTTTAGGGCAAGCGCTCCAGTGAAGATGCTTCAGGAATGAAGTTACGGAACCCAATGAGAATGTATTATAGCCCTTGGAATAGTCCGAAACGATTCCGAGCGATAGAAATAATCGCCGGTCCGGGATCCACAGCTTGCGCTGACGTGGCATCTTAGCCGCGATGCTGGTGGCCTGGTTAGAGACACGCGGAGCGCCGCGCTTCCGTGAGCCTTGGGAGTACCGACGTGTGTTCGTAGAGCCATGGCGGTACTAATGTCTAGACACTAAGTAGCGTTGCGGGATTGGACGGACGCGGAGGTGCGCAAGAGGAAAACTGGATTGCGAGAAGCGCGGCGTCTTTGACGGCAGGTGGCTTGTTTAGGAGACGAAACAGTACGAAATGGCTGTTCTGTTCGCTCGGTGACGAATTCATTAGTGTGTACTCGATATTGCGGGGCTCGTGTTGGGTAAGAGTTTTTTTGCAGTACAAGAGACAAAGCGGTACAGATAGCGTCCTGAAGTTACCTCAGTGTCCTGATAGTGTCCCATCCACGCATCCCTCCTTTTTTGTCACCTCAGGTTCTTAAAACTCGTTATAAGATTCATCAGTACACTCGGGGTTACCCGCACAACAGCGCGCAGTAGCAGGCACTCGACTTCACCTTCTACACCTCACTTCGTCCTCTCTCTACCAGGCCTCATGTTTTCAGAGTTAAATTACTCTGTTTCTCTGAAAATCTTAGTCATTTTGAAAGTCACTCTGTACCCGCTGGGTAATTTTTTTGGGACTTCCGATTTCTCTGACCCGTCAGAGCTACGTTGTAGTCCACTCTGAGGCCCATGGGTTTTCTTTCGGGGACCGAATTTACTCTGTATAGGGAATACCTGCCGGCTGTCAAATATTATAGCCAGTAGTGGGTTGGGCTATATGGGGTACAACTAGTTAGGGTTAGGTTATGTACCCCAATTCTGTCAATACAACGCATTCCGCTGTAGTTCTCATTCTAACATGGTATCAACAGTAGGTTAGCGCTCCTAGTCCTAGGCCCGCCCTTCCCTACCACTAGGGTTACCACTGCGCCCTGCCAGCCAGCCAGCGCGCCAGCCCGCCAGCGCGCCAGCCAGCCAGCCAGCGCGCCAGCCAGCCAGCGCGCCAGTGCGCCAGCGCGCCAGTGCGCCAGCCAGCCAGCGCGCCAGCAGCCTGCGCGCCAGCCAGCCAGCCAGCGCGCCAGCCAGCCAGCGCGCCAGCAGCCAGCACGCCAGCCAACCAGCGCGCCAGCCCGCCAGCAGCCAGCACGCCAGCCAACCAGCGCGCCAGCCCGCCAGCGCGCCAGCCAGCCAGCGCGCCAGCGCGCCAGCCAGCCTGCGCGCCAGCCCGCTTGCACGCCAGCCCGCGAGCGCGCCCGCCAGCGGGCGCACCAGCGAGCCCGCCGGCTCGCCTGCCAGCGCGCACCGCCAGCGAGCTCGCCAGCACGCACGCCAGCGCGCCCGCTAGCGCGCCCGCCAGCGCGCCACGCCAGCGGGCCCCGCCAGCGCGCACGCCAGCGCGCCGCGCCCGCCAGCGCGCGCCCTGTTTAGCCGCCCGCCAGCGCGCCGCGCCCGCGCGCCACGCCAGCCAGCGCGCTGCGCCGGAGCGCGCCCCGCCAGCGCGCGCCCCGCCGCCCCGCGCCCAGCCAGTGCGCGCCCCGCCTACGCGCACCCGCCTCGCACTCACCTCCCTCTCCTCCTCCTCTCGCGGCTGGCGGCCGCTATCACTTGTCCTCGCCCCTCATGGCGACGTCTCGCGTGCTCTGTTTCGACCCTGAGGGGCGTGCGATCGACTTTAGTACCTGGCTGACGCAGGCCCAGCGCCACCTTAGGAGCCAGCGCCAGGATGGCGTGCACCTGTTTGCGCATGCGTCCGGTGCTCTGCCCGCCCCGCCGCAGCCTTCACCGCTGCCCACTTCCCCACCGCCTACTTCCGAGCAGGAGGCTGAGTACCAGCGCCGGTTCCTCGCTCGTGACGTGTGGGAGTCTCGTGACGCTGCTGCCTGCCTCGCCCTGACCGACCTTCTCCCGCCAACTGAGGCTGTCCACTTCACTCAGGTCGAGTCTGCTGCAGACCTTTACACTGCTATTGTTGCTCGCTACTCCACTCCCTCCTCTGCCTCCCTCAGCCGCCTCCTCGTCCCCTTTATCTACCCTGACCTCGCCTCCTTTGAGACTGTCGCTGACCTCGCTACCCACCTGCGCTCCCTTGAAGCTCGCTTCAAGGCCGCTTGCACTGAGGAACAGCTTGCCCTTGCGCCCCCCCCCCCATGTGGCTCACTATTCACTGGTTAGTCACTCGCCTCCCTGACCGTCTAGCCACAGCCCGCGACGCGCTTCTCCTGAAGCACCCCACTGAGCTTACTATCGATCTTCTTGAGACCGCTCTCTCGAAGATCGAGAGTAACCTCCTCGCTGTTGCCTCCGCCTCTTCCGCGCCTCCTCCTCGTCTCTTTGAGGGGTGTGCGGTACCACAGCTTCCCACCTTCACTGCCTCGCTTGCCACTGCCGCGTCTTCTGCCTCTGAGGAGACGGCGGCCGTTTCTGTCTCTGGCGGACAGAAACGTGGCAAGTCCGGCAAGAAGGGAGGGAAGGGCGGCGGGGGTGTTGCGGGTGGCGGCGGTGGCGGTAGTACTAGTGGCGGGGGTGGCGGCGGGGGTGACTCGGGACCTGACGGCTCTCCTCTAGCCGGTGGTGAGGGGTTTTTCGCAGCAGCAGCAGCAGCAGACTCCTCCGCAGCTGCCACCGCCTGGACAGCAGCAGCGGCAGGGACAGCAGCAGCAGCGCCAGGGCCAACAGCAGTGTTCGCCTCAGCAGCAGCTCCAGCAGTGGGGCACTCTGCAGCAGTGGGGCACTCAGCAGGAGTGGGGCCCTTCGCAGCAGTGGGCCCCCCCGCAGCAGTGGAGACCTACGGGCCCCCCGAGCACTGGGCGCAGTGGTGCCCCTTCTAGTCGGGGACCCCGCTCGGCCGGCCGCGACGTTGGTCCCTGTGAGTACTGGATCCTAACGGGTCCGCGCAGGGGCACGTACTGCGGCCGCCCCTACCACTCTGCTGCACGCTGCTTCAGCCGTCTTGACGACCTGTACGTCCTGCACCACGGTCCCTCCGCTCCCCCGCCACCGCGCTGGGGACCACTCCTTGCTCGTGGTGTTGCTGTGTTTGATATGTCTATGGATGATGCTAGGTCTTATGCCATGTATGCTGATGTTGAGTATAGTGCTGTCGGATCTGTTTACTTGCCTGTACCTAGCGTAGGATCTTTGCCTGTTGCTAGAGTAGGTGCTGGTGTAGGATCCTGTCTAGCTACTAGTATAGGTGCTCCCTCGGCGGACGCGTCGCTCTCCTTCACACTGGACTCCGGAGCGACGCAGTGCTTCTTCCGCGACAGCACGACTCTTACTCCACTCTCGGCGCCGGTTTCTGTAGCACTGGCCGATCCCTCTTCGGGACCGGTCATTGCGACTCACGCCACTACCCTTCCGGTTCTCTGACCGGCCTCCACGTTCCTACTTTCTCTAGGAACCTGGTTGGTGTGGCTCCTCTGGCGAGACAGCACGTCGGGGTCTGGTTTGAGCCTTCGGGTGACACTGCAGTCTGTGTGGACGGTGACACGTACGCCCCTCTGGCCACTTTTCGTCAGGAGCCGGGCTCTGGTCTGTACACCCTCCACACCGACACCCGTCCGGTTCCCCCGTCCCACCAGGTAGCCAGGTCCAGTCAGGTAGCTGTGCCAGGTCTAGTGGCTGCGTCGTGCTCGAGTCGGTCGCTGTCCCACCCTGCCCTCCTCTGGCACCACCGCCTTGGTCACCCGTCCCTCTCTCGTCTCCGCGCTATGTCCAGTCAGCGTCTTGTCTTTGGCCTTCCCCGCGACCTCCCGCCGCTCCCGCCGTCCCCCGCTCCTCCGTGCGGTCCTTGTGTCCAGGGTCGGCTGCGCGCCACTCCTCACTCCTCCTCCCTTCGTCCAGCCTCCGAGCCCTTTGAGACACTCCACTTAGACGTCTGGGGCCCTGCTCCCCGGCTTGGACCTGAGCGAGAGAGCTTCTTCCTAGTGGTCGTTGACGACTACTCTCGGTACACCACCGTGTTCCCTTTGGCGAAGAAGTCCGACGTGACTTCTACGCTGATCCGGTGGCTGCTCGCCACCGAGAGTACTCGTCGTCGTCGTGTCAGTTGTCTCCACTCCGACCGTGGGGGTGAGTTTCGCTCCGGCATTCTCGCCAGATTCTGTGCTGAGCAGGGCATCACCCAGTCCTGGACTCTTCCAGACTCTCCACAGCAGAATGGGGTTGCTGAGCGCCGGCTAGGCCTGGTCATGGAGATTGCCCGCACCTCCATGATCCACGCCCGCGCGCCCCATTTTCTGTGGCCCTACGCGGCTCGGTACGCCGCTCACCAGCTGAACCTCTGGCCTCGCGTCTCTAGGCCAAAGGCTTCACCGACAAGTCTTTGGACAGGGTCCCCTAGTGTTGCGTCGAGGTTTAGTGTCTGGGGCTGCTTGGCGCTTGTCCGCGACACCTCTGCGGACAAGCTCTCACCTCGCGGCGTCCCCTGTGTCTTCCTTGGTTTCCGTGAGGCCTCCTCTGACTTCACCTTTTACCACCCTCCCTCCCACCGGTTCTTTGACTCTCGTGACGTCAGTTTCGACGAGTCCGTCCCCTACTACGTCCGGTACCCCTGTCAAGGTCTCCCGGTTCCCCCCCCTCCCCTCTTCCTCGCCCCAGCTCCTCCTCCTCCCGCTCCCTCTCCTCCGGTACCCCCCCCGGTTCCCGCTCCGTCAGGTGTGTCGCAGGCTACCCCCCCTCCCTCGGTCCCCCCCCAGGTCTCTCCTCCTTCCCCACAGTCGTCCTCACAGCCTCCGCAGCAGCCGTCGGCGCTTCCTCTCCCGACTACTACGGACTCTGAGGGTGTTGGTGCTCGAGGTGAGGGCTCTGGCGGTGCCGGTTCTGGGGGTGTTGGAGTTGGAGCTGAGTTTGCACCTGCCGCAGCTGCACGTCCCGAGCGTGTTGGAGTCGGTGGTGGTGCTGGAGCTGGTGGTGTTTCTGGAGCTGGAGAGTCTGGGGCTGGTGCTGGTGCCACTGGCGGCGCCACGACTGGGGGTGCGGGTACACCTCCTACAGGTACTGGTCGTGCTGCCGCAGAGGGTCCTCGCTCTGGGGGTGCTCAGCTGGGTCCTGTCGAGGGTGGAGCCGGTTCTTCTTCGTCGTCTCCTGACACCACTCCTCCTCCTCACCCCTACCCGACTCGTTACCATGCCCTTCGTCTTCTAGAGCGTGAGGAGCAGCAGCGTTTGGAGCGTGAGAGGTCGGAGGTTCAGCAGCGGGTGGAGCGTGAGCGGTTGGAGTTTCAGCAGCAGCAGCAGCAGCAGCAGCCGCAGCCACAGCCACAGCAGCAGCAGCAGCAGCAGCAGCAGCAGCAGCCGCCGCAGCTGCCGGAGCAGCCTCCGGCCCCTGTTTCTGGCCTTCGGGCCCTTGGTCTCCCCTCCTCTCCTCCTGTGTTCGGTCCCACGTTTCCTCCTCCGGACTCCACTCCGGCTGTCTTCCCTCGTTCTCAGTCTCCTCCGTCCCCCCCTCCTCTCGCCCACACTTGGGCCTCTCGCCCTCCTCGTGCTCGTCCCTCGTCCCCTGTCACTGACCTCCGTACCGTGTTGTTTCGTCCTCGTCCTCCTCGTTCTCCTCCGTCTGTCCTTCCTCGTCCTCCTGAGTCTTCCCTCACTGCCTCCCTGTCCACTCCGGTCACTGACTACTACCGCACGTACCGCCCCACTCTCTCTCGTGTTCTCGCCTCTCTTGTTACAGACCCTCGTGCCTCTCCTTCCTCCGTCGCGGTCCTCACTGCCGCTGTCACTGACTTTACTGCTATGCGTCGCCTTGACTACGCCACTCGAGTTGTGGCAGCTCCTCCTGTCCGTCCTCTGTCCGCCGGGGGTGTGTGTGCCCATGGCTGTGACGTCCTAGAGGACAGACAGTTTGAGCTAGAGTTCTTGGCAGCTGCTTCGCCTCATCTCTGTGCCATGCTGCTCACTCCTGAGGGAGACCCCGACGCTCCTGACATACCTACTCCTCGCACTTACGCTGAGGCAGTGTCAGGGCCTTGGGCCTCTCAGTGGAGAGCTGCCATGGACGCAGAGATGGCCTCCTACAGGTCCACAGGCACTTACGTTGACGAGGTTCCCCCCCCCAGGGGTGAACATTGTTGACGGCATGTGGATCTTCAAGGTGAAGCGGCCGCTGGGATCTCCCCCAGTCTTCAAGGCACGCTACGTGGCTAGAGGGTTCAGTCAGCACGAGGGGGTTGACTTCTTTCAGACCTTCGCGCCCACCCCGAAGATGACCACTCTTTGGGTCTTACTGCACGTAGCAGCGCAGAGAGACTACGAGCTACACTCTCTTGACTTCTCCACTGCCTTCCTCCAGGGCTGCTTACACGAGGAGATCTGGCTGCGTCGTCCTCCGGGCTTCACTGGCACTTTCCGGCCTGGGACCCAGTGGAGCCTCAGACGACTGGTCTACGGTCTCCGCCAGGCACCCCGTGAGTGGCACGACACTCTCCGCTCTACTCTCTCCGACCTCGGGTTTGAGCCGTCTTCCGCCGACCCGTCGCTGTTTGTTCGTCGTGGCCGTACACCTTTCTTCGTCCTAGTCTACGTTGACGACTTGGTTTTTGCCACGGCCGACACAGCTGCACTGGCGGAGGTGAAGTCCGAACTGCAGAAGAGACACACCTGCACTGACCTTGGGGAACTGCGCCGCTACCTTGGCCTGCAGATCTCCAGGGACAGAGCCGCTCGCACCATCACTCTCACTCAGTCACACATGGTGCAGCAGGTTCTTCAGCGGTTCGGGCTTCAGGACTCTTCTCCTGCCCCCACTCCTCTTGCTGTAGACCACAGACTCACTGGGCCTTTTCCTGATGAGCCGTTCGAGCCCAGTGGTCCCTACGCAGAGCTGGTGGGCTGCCTCATGTACCTGATGACGTGCACTCGCCCGGACCTCGCCTTCCCCCTTAGCATCCTGTCTCGCTTTGTTGCGACTGGGAGACACCGTCCTGTTCACTGGGCGGCGGCTAAGAGGGTGGCGAAGTACCTTGGCGCGACATCAGGCATGGGGCTTGTACTTGGAGGGACACAGCCAGTTGTACTCACCGGTCACTATGACTCTTCCTACGCTGACGACGTTGAGACTCAGAGGTCTACGCAGGGTTACTGTTTCAGCCTGGGTTCTGGAGCTGTTTCGTGGAGGTCTACTCGGTCCTCCTCTGTTGCGACTTCTACCGCAGAGGCCGAGATCTACGCTGGGGCCCTTGCTGCTCAGGAGCTTCTCTGGTTGACCTTTTTGCTCACTGACCTTGGTGAGCGGCCGAGCTCTGCACCGACCCTGTTTGCTGACAACTGGGCGATGATTCTCCTGTGTCGTGAGCCTCGACTGGAGAGCAGAGTGAAGCACATCGACGTCAGGTACTTCCTCCTTCGAGAGTTGCAGAGACGCGGACAGGCTCGTCTGGACTTTGTGGCCTCCGAGGCCAACACTGCAGACATCTTCACCAAGGCCCTCCAGCCTTGTGACCACCGTCGGTTTTGTCTGCAGTTAGGCCTCGTTGAGACTGGGTCTAGTTGACTGTTGTAGGGTGCTCTTTGTCTGTTGCTTGCTTGTACCCTATATATATATTTGTTTGCACACTTTTGGACTGGCCTTGTGGCCCTTTGCTTGTGCTCAGATTAGGTGGTGACGTTGTGATCCACCCTGAGCTTTGTTTTCTTTCTCTTGTTTTTGACTGATCTTGTGACCGTAGGTTGCTTGTTGTTGATTGGCCTTCCCCACTTAGGCTATGGGGGTGTGTCAAATATTATAGCCTGTAGTGGGTTGGGCTATATGGGGTACAACTAGTTAGGGTTAGGTTATGTACCCCAATTCTGTCAATACAACGCATTCCGCTGTAGTTCTCATTCTGACACCGGCCCCCCCTCCCCAGCCCCCCCTGCGTTTGGCGGGTTTTCCCCGAATCGTCGAGATCACTCTCCTGATTCCTGTCGTGTGTTGGCGGCAATATGAGCGCTGATTGGCTACCGTAATTTGACAACTTTCCCAATCAGCGCACGATGCCAGCCAGTCCCCTCTCTCTTTATGTCTGAAGTGAACGTCGACGTTTCCCGACGAAACTTTGAGGGACGTCGAGGAATCCTGACGGTCGGAACGCTCAATCCGAGGGTTGAGATTCGCCAGCATTCCCCGACAAAACTGTACATCCGTCGACATTTCACTTCAGACACGCTCTTAATCAGATTATCGGTGCTGCCAACACCTCACTCTGAAACATTGCAATGAGGGGGGAAACGTGGGCGACGCGGAAATGAAACACAATGCAAGTACAAAAGGCGTAACAAAGGTCATGGTGCACCAAACTTAACTAACATCAGAGTAGAGAAAAATATTACTCTGACGTGCCCGTGTTTTTTTTTTAAGTATAGGGCTACTCTGACAAATCAGGGTAAGGCGCAGGAACAACCCTAGATTTCAGAGTTGGGAAAAAAACTACTATGGAAATCAGAGTACCTAAAATCCAAAAATAGGCCCTGCTCTGTACCCGCTGGGTAATTTTTTGGGACTTCCGATTTCTCTAACCCGTCAGAGCTACGTTGTAGTCCACTCTGAGGCCCATGGGTTTTCTTTTCGGGGACCGAATTTACTATGTATAGGGAATACCTGCCGGTCCCCCCTCCCCACCCCCCCCTGCGTTTGGCGGGTTTTCCCCGAATCGTCGAGATCACTCTCCTGATTCCTGTCGTGTTTTGGCGGCAATATGAGCGCTGATTGGCTACCGTAGTTTGACAACTTTCCCAATCAGCGCACGATGCCAGCCAGTCCCCTCTCTTTATGTATGAAGTGAACGTCGACGTTTCCCGACGAAACTTTGAGGGACGTCGAGGAATCCTGACGGTCGGAACGCTCAATCCGAGGGTTGAGATTCGCCAGCATTCCCCGACAAAACTGTACATCCGTCGACATTTCACTTCAGACACGCTCTTAATCAAATTATCGGTGCTGCCAACACCTCACTCTGAAACATCGCAGTGAGGGGGGAAACGTGGGCGACGCGGAAATGAAACACAATGCAAGTACAAAAGGCGTAACAAAGGTCATGGTACACCAAACTTAACTAACATCAGAGTAGAGAAAAATATTACTCTGACGTGCCTGGGTTTTTTTTTGAAAGTTTAGGGCTACTCTGACAAATCAGGGTAAGGCGCAGGAACAACCCTAGATTTCAGAGTTGGGAAAAAAACTACTCTGGAAATCAGAGTACCTAAAATCCAAAAATAGGCCCTGCTCTCTACCGCCCAGATTCCTTTGTGGGCTCTGGCGGAGTGAACAACGATTGTGTGCCCGACTCGTGGGTGTTGATTGATATGTACCCTAGGACACGACATGTACCCTAGGACACGACACAGCTACTACTTTAGACTTGTGATAAGATTCCTCAGTACACTCGGTGGCTGCCCACACAACAGCGCGCAGTTGCAGGCGCTCGAATCCGCCTCCTGGACACCATTTCCTCCTCTCTCTACCGCCCAGACTCCTTAGTGGGCTCTGGTAGGGTGAACAACGATTGTGTTCATTTCTGCCTGCCCAATGTGCCTGATTCTTGGGTTGACAGACATGCTTTATACAGGTTATATGTTCTCTATAAAAGTATATTTCCAGGTCCCTACAGTTGCTCTGGTACGGTAGTGTGGTGAATAGATTATAGAACGGATTGTGTTTACAGGCAGGCATGCATGCAAGATTCGAAATCATTTTGTGAATTGTGCATAGTAATTACCACAAGAGGGTAATTGCCAGCTATATATCGCCGTTTGTGTGGGTATGATCTTCTGCTGCATGTGGCTGCGACCTTTTAAAGAGTACAACAAACACCAGTGAGACGGCAAACACTACTACTGGCAAAGTGAGGCTTGGAAAAAGGGGAGAAACAGGGTCACGATGAGAGTTGCCGGAGGAGGGTATAGGACCTGGTGCGCCGGTGTGGGGAAACAAGGGTTTACTGGGAGGGACAGCATTTATATGAGGAAGAGGAGAGCGAGGGGAACGGGATGGATGGGGAGGATTAGGGGGAGGAGGGGAAGGATGAGGGGGAGGAGGGGGGGGATTAGGGGGAGGAGGGCGCGAAGCAGGGGGAGGAGGTGGGGTAGAAGCGGGGAGAGGGGATGAGGGTCTTAAGAGAATGGCGATGGCAGTAGCAGCTGTTGCTGCTAGGAGGAGGAAGAGCCAAGGAGATGGGTTGGAAGGTTCCTTGCTGCTTCCATCGCCCTCCTCCTCCTCCTCACTACCACCATCACGACCACCACCACCGCCACGGCGGTTACCACCATGGCCACCACCACCGCCACCACCATCACCAGAGACATCAGGAGTCGCATCGCCAGCATCACCACCATCACCACGGGTGGAACGGGCTGCAACCAATACCCACGCTGGTACCCACGCATACTGATCCTTTGCACTCCCAATGAGAAATGCTCCTACGTAACCGCCGGTCCGTCTCACCGCCCCTCGTTCTGAGGCGGAAATGGGAGCACCAGCAATGGATGTGACGGCATCCGGCCGCTTGCTCTGGTGGCAGAAACGGGAGGACGCCGCATCCCCGCTAAGAACCTGACGTGCAGGCAGGTGCGAAAGCTGGTAGGCGTGCGACGGCCAGCCTGACGGCGCGAAGAGTCCTCTGTTGCATCGGGATTGCCGATTGATCAGGGAGATCAACCCTGGTATGGCAATATTGCGGCATGTTGCCGCCGCTGTTACTGCTGCATGCGTTCCCATCAGCATAAATAACGGACTAGTTTCTCGGGTTAACAGTTGGCGATTATGAGTTTTGGGCAAGCGCTCCAATGAACGATGGAGGTGCTTAAAAAATTTGGAGGTTAGGAAACCCAATGAGCATATCTTCTAGCCCTTGGAATATTCCAGAACAATTCCGAGCGATAGTAATAATCGCCGGTCCGGGATCCACAACCTGCGCCGACGTGGCATCTTAGCCGCGACGCTGGTGGCCTGGTTTAGAGACACGAGAAGCGCCGCGCTTCCGTGAGCCTTGAGAGTATTGACGATGAGTGCTCGTCGCGCCATGGCGGATAGTACGGTCTAAAAGAGTTAGTTCGCGTTGTGGGATTGGGTCGGGGCGGAGGTGCACGAGAGGAGAGCTGGGTTGCGAGAAGCGCGGCGTCTTTGGCGGCAGGTGGCTTGTTTAGGAGACGAAACGGTACGAAATGGTGATGTTGGCTGTGTTGCAATTTCATCGGTGTGTACTCGGTATTGTGTGGCTCGTGCCGATATTATGATTCTTGTGCTGCAGCTTTAGGAGACGAAACGGTACAGGTCTTGTTCGATTCATACGCGTTTGTGCCTTGAGATTCTCGAATCCTTGACAGATGATCAAGTTTGCAAAGCTACACTTGAAAGTGTTTTCTTGGGTTTGTCTTAGCCAGCTCCTGAAGTGAGTTCTCTCCGCCTGTAGTTTTCAGAAACGTTGCCGATGTGTTGTATTCTACAGAGATACGTGCGCAGATTCACAGAATTGACTGCCAATACCATACGACGATATCGTTCCATGAAACGGATGCTTCCACCAATAAAACGTAGAGATGGATAAGCCTCCCGCGTTCAGAGACAACTCCTTGCACCACCGTAGCAAGCGGCCTCGTCAGCAAGACTCTCACGAATCGAATTCCACGTCAGGAAGGCGGTATGTTGTAGCCGTGCACGTGGGAGCGGGTTACCACTCCAAGCGTTACGAGCAGCGGTATCTGCGCGCCATGCGCGACGCCCTCGCAGCCGCGGAGCTGGTGTTGCGCGGAGCTGGCGGAACATCGGCGGAAGGGCAGCGAGGAGAATGCGCGGGGGCGGGAGAAGCAGGCCGATTAGACGCGAAGAATCGTGCATCTGCGCCGGGTTCGGGTTTGGACCGCTGCTGTTCGTCCACGTGTACGGCTCTAGATGCTGTCGTGGCAGCCGTTAGATGTTTAGAGGTGCGCTCACGTGTTTCAGTGTTACACATATCTGTGTGACCTTCTTGTGTGTTTATCCATTGATTCTGTGCGACACTTCTCGTCCTTAGCCTACGTTCTTGTTTTCTTCAACCTCTCTGCTTCACTTCTCCTCCGCATCTCCTTTTCCCTCCACCTATCTTCCGCCTCTCCTCTCTCCTTCTTCCTTTCACTGAAGAATCACTAATGTGTCTTTGCCCCCTCCCCAACCCACAGAGCCACAGTATCACCAATGCTGCCCGGGGATCCAATCTGACCGAAAAAGGCGAGGTGGAGTGCGATGCAAGCATTTCGGGCAGCATGTTGGGCAGCCGAGCAAAGCTTTTCGGCTCGGTAGCAGCAGCACCAGGTTAATGTTCCCCCTCCTCTAACCCCTCACGCACATTTCTCCCTATGATTCTTAGAGGTCCCTTCGCAGCGGATCAACTTAGAGGGATTCTGGGACGTGCTTTGCCGTTAGTCATGAGACGATTTTAGAGGCGCCTAAAAAATATGGGACGTGCTTTGCCGTCTTTGTTTCGTAGCTTCTCAGGGCCTCTTCTTTGGAACTGAAACTTTTCTAACTCATGCCCCTCTATGCGAATTTTTCTCGCCTTCAGGTTTAGTAAGCCCAGTGTCAGTGGCAGCAGCACTGGCAAGGCAGAGACACAAGGGTCCGCTTCCCTTCGGCCGCATCCCTCCCATGTGTGTCTGTGAGTGTCAGTGTTTGCAATTATGAGTGCCTTTGTGGGTGTGAGTGTCCTGTTAAGAGTTTTTGTGAATGCAGGGCAGCGTGTGAGGTACTAATTTTATACCAGAGCAAAAGAAAAAAAATCTTTACTTGAAGATTGTTGAGGAGTATTTTGTTTTAGTCACACTCGCATGAATGTATCGAGGGTCCTTCAGCTGCAAATGCACGTGTCCCTCTGCATGTATGCGTCTCTGGGGTGGTTGCACGTCTGCATGACTGCATGTCTGCACTGCATGTGCGTGGCTGTCAGGATGTTGGCGGGGGAAGGAGCGCTGCTGTGGGCTCAGACTCATGCGCCATACGCCGTTGCAAGGCACCCACAGGTGTGTGTGTGGGGAAGAGTGGGGGAGGAGGGCGTGTGTGTGTGCGCGCGCGCGCGCGCACGCGCGTCAGTCAGTGTGCACGTGTGCTCCATCTTATCATGGATTTCTCAGCACCTGGGATGGCATGACCTGGTGTGGCATGGCAACAACGGGACGGCATGGCATGGCAGGATCTGGTGTCAGCAGCAGCAGAAGCCCAGTGCCGCAAGTGCAGGAGACTCGTGGGGGCTTTGGATCAACCAACTCCGTTGGAGTCACTTTTGAGAATTCTCACAAGTGACTGTGTCGAATCCTTTGTTCTCTCGGCATGGCAGGATCTGGTGACGCCAGCAGCAGAAGGCCAGTGGCGCAAGTACCGGAGAATCGTGGGGGCTCTGGAGCAGCATCAGGGGAGAAAGGAGTGCGTGCGTGCGTTCAGGGCAGTAGAGAAAGAAGAGGATCTGGACGAAGTGCGGACGGAGCAGGGTAGCATGGGCACGTGGGGGGAAGATGCCAAGAGGGAGCGCAGGGATTATGGGGGATGGGGAAAATCAACGAGGGAGGGTGATGAGGAGGATGTTGAAGGTATTGAGGGCATGGGAGGTGAGGTGGATTGGACGGGAGGGAGAGAGGAAGAGGGAAAGACAAGGGTTGTGGGAAAGGGAGAGGAGGAAGGAGAAGAGGAGGGAGAGGAGGGAGAGAAAGAGGGAGAGGGAGAGGACGAAGAGGAGGAGGAGCAGGAGGGCCCGTGGGACACAGTGGGGGCGGTGTGTTTTGAGGTGGCAAGCGGAGCAGCAGCAGCCGCGTCTAGTGGGGGAATAGCTTTCAAGGTGAGCGCCGTTGCTGGATGTGAGCTTGGGCTCCTCTCCCTTTCAAACCCATTCCTCCGACCATCCGTTTCCCCTTCGTTCTTGCACCCCCCTCTTTCTCTTTCCATGCCACCACCTCTTTCCTTCCCACCTTACACAGGCGCCTGGCAGGGTGGGGTGTGCAGCAATGCACGGGGCAGCCTGCTGGGCTGATGCCTCCATCAGCACCGCATCCAACCTACCCAAGTCATCAGCAGCAGATCCAGCATGCTCAGAGGCTGCTCAAGAGATCAGCGTCAGAGGCGATTTCCATGCAGCGGCAGTGGAAACTGAGTCAGAGCATGATCAGAAGCAGCAGCAGCACCAGCCGCAGATGCTTGCTGTGGCTGCCAGTGTGTCCGGGGCCGGTGAGCCAATCGTGGAGTGCCAGCTCGCACGGTGCGTGTGCGAGGCGGCCATGGAAGGTGGTGAGTCTGACCCTGCAGCGATGGGGATTGCCAGGTTCAATGCTCATGTGGCAGCTCTGTCAGCAGCAGCATTAGATGATCAGCAGCAGCGGGGGGAAACAGAGAGGAAGAGGCAGTGGCCCGTTGCTTCCGATGTTGGTCTGCTGCTGCTCTCTGCTTACCCGCAGCATAAGGTACTGCACTGCACCCATTGGCCTCTCAGTCTTATTCCCTGCCCTCAGCAATTGTGCCGTGCAGCATTCCCTTTTGCTCTTGCAGAAAGGTCATCCTGTGCTTTCTGTGTTTCTGATGACATTATATTCAGAATGGTGAAGTGGCAGTGGAGCTGACGGCATCCTTTCAGGCTCGCTCGTTTGGATTTGGAGTGACCTCTTCTGCTGATACTCGGTTAGATGTAAGTGGTTTTCTCCTTGAGAGCTGTACTGTGTGTGTGACTGTAGTTATTTTGCTCACACCAACACTGATGACATTGTGCAGGTCAAGATTATGCGAGCAGCTGACATTTCTAGTCCATCTATGAATTGTACATTCATGTCACTCTTTCGGATATAAGCGATGGCACATCCTTTGATGCTTCAATCAATTCTACGAGAAATTTCAACAGAATGGAACTCTGTTGTCGTTTGTTTAGGTGGTTCCATGTGTCCACTTACTGTGCCTCTTACACGAGGGAACATTTTTTTATTCGAAACGGGTATTATCGAAGAGAATCTTCGGTGAATCGTCCCCACCGAAATTGGCAAGTTCAACGCACGTCGGTGTCGCTAACGACGGAGTTACCAGCCAAAGTTCTTCGCGGGGCCCGCGAACACTTCTTTGATGGTCAGAACTGTCGCTTTCTGACATCGCAGCCGAACTTTTGATGTTCTGCTAAAGGCGTGTACAAAGTGCTGCACAAACTCGACGTCGAGGTTCGTCGGTGAATCCTGACGGTTGGAACCTTTGATCCGAGGGTGGAAATTCACCGACGTTGCTCGACGTCGAGTTTTTGGGCACTTTGCACACGCCATAACAAGCATGTGGCATTCCATGCCATACATCGTGCGCTGCAGCCAGAACAGTAAAACTAGGTGTTTAATTCACTAGTACGCCTGCTACAGCATTAGTGTATGGGGGTTACTACATTATGTAGTGAATAGCTGAAACGTCAGCTATCAAGGATGAAGATATAGCATCCTAGTGAGCTGGCGATTCCTCGCTCGTGATTGGTTCCCTGCACAGTCAAGCTGACATTGTTTCAACCATTCTTTGGCTCTCTTAGGTAGTGCCAATAGAGAGTAAGTTATTCTGTTGTGTAAGAAAGATGGCGGAGGCAGCGGCTGCAGCAGTGGTATCGCGACGACATCACGACGAGCCAGCAGGCGATTCCGGCGACGCTGGCGACGACATCAACGACGCGTTGGGTCGCAGGAGTCCTAGAGGGAGCATAAACCGCCATTCCCCAGGGAACTCGCGCTCTTCGCCTAACTCCGGCTCGTTACCCAAGTCCGGTTCGCTTCCAAAGTCACCGTCAGGCGCGCTACTTGATCCCTCCTCGTCCGCTTACTCCGCCGGTCGCTCGTTTCCGAAGTCATCCTCGTTATTAGACGACCCCGCTAAGTTTGAGGCGTATGAGCAGCTCAACCTACACCAGGCGCGTTCTTCGAGGTGAGGACGCTGATTCCATTAAAAATGGTTTGTCTGCATGATATTATCTCGTTTTGCATGAGCTTGTCACCCAACCACCTTCTCACCCTCGTTACCAGCAACCACCATATGTCTGTAACCAGTAACCACCATTTGTCATTCGTGTAACCAGTTACAGCGTGTGTGCTTCGCCTGTGCGTGCAGCTCTGGCAGCAGCAGCGGCCTTCCCAAGCAACACAGCTACACCCGCAATGTCGCCTCCCCCAATTATACTCATGAGGGAACAGGGGCCAATCTGAGGCACCAGGGACCAGGGTCTCTGGAACTATCGGCATTCCCTAGGGAGCCACGATTTCCGGGACCAGAATCACATGAGGGTCGTTCATTGGTTGAAGTTATGGTTAACGGAGGGTTGGAGGGACCAGGGGTAGATCGGGATGGAGGCGGGGCTGGTGTCGTGGATTTTCCAGAATCGTCAGCATCAGGAATCGAACCCGGGTCTGCTGCACGTTCAGGGCATGCATCTGAGCCTGGTTTAGCTACAGCTGTAGAGGCAACAGTGACAGGAACCCCACGCTCCGAACCTCCAGGTTCAGGGCCCCCAGATCCAGGGCCCTCAGGGTCAGGAGGAACCCCACGCTCCGAACCTCCAGGTTCAGGGCCCCCAGATCCAGGGCCCTCAGGGTCAGGAGGAACCCTAGGCACAGGAACCCTTATCACAAATACCCTAAGCACAGAAACGCTAATCACGAAAGCCCTTAACGCAGGAACCCTAACTCTACAAAAGACACCACAATCATTCCCACGCTCCTCCCTCAGGCATCCGAGCGTTAAGGCTGGCCGCTCTTCCTCCTCTGCTTCCTCTCGCGGGAAGCTGAGTGTGCGGTGGGCTTTGGAGGAGGGAGAGGAGGGGCATGAGGGAGTGGGGAGGAGGAAGAGTAGTGTGGCTCGGGTGGAGGAAGTGGATGGGGAGGAGATGGGTGAGGGGGATGGGCTGATAGGCGGAGAGGGGGGTGAGGGGAGAGAAGAGGAAGGAGGGGTTGAGGGGGACGGAGAGGGAGGGGGAGGGAGGAGGCGGAATGGGAAGCTTTTTCGGATGTTGAGTGCAGATTTTTGCGTTGGAGGGGAGAATGGGGGTAGGAGTGGGGCGTATGGGGGAAGGGGTATGGATGAGGGGAGCAGGAATTGGGGGAGAGGGGGGAGAAGTATTGGAGGAAGGGGGGGATGGGGAGGGTCAATGGGTTGGTGGCGGGGTTGGGGAAGAGATGCAGCAGAGGGAGGGGATGTGAGTGATTGGGGGGAAGGAGGGTCAGGAGGAAGCGGAGGACGAGGGGGAGGAGGAGGAGGCGGAGGAGAGGGAGGAGGAGTGGGAAGCAACATGAAGGGGATAGTAGGAGAGGGAGTGGCTCTTTTAGATGATGAGGAGGTGGAGAGGATGGATGACGAGGTGATTCAAGGTACGTACCTGCACAAGGGTTCCACTTTCACCTGTTGGTGAGGGTTTTATCTGCAGGAGGTCACTTATGCAGTTCATTTAAACTGCCTTAGTGTGAAAAGCTGCTGTTTATGACGCGCCTCAGCGATTTTAATACAAGCTACATCAGGATGGATAAGGAGGCACAGACGCAGCTGCACTACGACAAAAACCTGCTCCCCATCCCTTCCCTTTCCGCCACCTTCCGCACCCCCCCCCTTCCCCCTCTCCTCTCTCCCCCCCTTTGCTCGCTTGCAGCCTTGTTCGAGCGAGTGGTGGAGGCACAGACGCAGCTGCACAATTATAAGAACCTCGTCGCCTTTTCACTCTTCACCGCGCTCTACCTCCTCATGCTCTGTCTTCAGGTGCCTTCAGGTGTCTTCAGGTGCCATCAGGTGCCATCAGGTGCCATCAGGTGCCTTCAGGTGCCATCAGGTGCCATCAGGTGCCATCAGGTGCCTTCAGGTGCCAATCCTCGCCATGCGTGAGTCATCCTGTTGACTTTCTCTCCTCTCGGCTTGCTTGTCGATTTCAACAGGAGAAAATGCTTCTCCCATCGTTGGCTTGTTGCACCCTCACTCACGATCTCCCTCACTCACGAGTCACGCCCCCCTTCTCTCACATCCTCCTCCCCGTCTCATTCATCCCCTCACCAGGCTCAGTCATTTCAGAGCTACCAGGTGGTCTCAGCCCACTCCATCCTCCTGCCGCCTGTATGCCCTTCCTCCCTCTCTTCCCTTCTCCTCCCTCTCTCCAGTATCCTCGTGTTGAACAGCTCCCGTAACTTTGTTCTCTAGCTTTCCTTGGCCCCATTCCATAACCTATGGATGTTCAGACCCTGGCCTTGTGTTTCGTGTGTGTCTGTGTGTGTGTGTATGTGTGTGTGTGTGTGTGTGTGTGTGTGTGTGTGTGTGTGTGTGTGTGCCTGTATGCATGTGTGATTCTGAGGCAGGACTACTCAGGGGACTCAAGCTACTCCTTTGCCAGCAGCAGCGACTTCTACACCTGGCTTAACAACAGCATCATTCAGGTGGGTCCATTCCACAGGGTTATTGCCCCACCGTGGGCCTGAACTGTTAGGGTGGTTCGCCACTGCCCTAGTGTCTACCGGCCTGCGCGCCTGACCTAGGGACGGTAGAAGAACTCTAGGAACGGTGGGAACTACGACCTAATATGGGGAACCGGTACCTAGAACGGTGTGGCTGCATGCTAAGTAGTTACGAGAGGAAAACGTGAGGAAAGTAAAGGAAAACGGAATGACTGAGAAATAGGGTTCGGGAAATGTCGAGAAGACATTTTCGAAGCCTAGAATGTCCAACCGAAACCGAACCATGTTCGGTGCGGAAGGGACAAACGGGTTTCGGTTCCGGTGACGGTTACCGAATTCGGTTACGCGTGCGACTCGGGCTGAAACGCGGATGACGCGTTACGCGAGGCGCACATCACATTTCGAAATGCTTGAATGTGTTTGTTTTCAATCAGTTGTTTGTACTTCTCTGTTTTCAGTGAAAATTGCACCAGAAAACCAGATTTTTCTCCAAGTGACTACTAATCTCCAACGCTAGCCGGAGGCTATACCTAAACTTAGAGCTGGTATCAGAGCTTGGTTATCGTCGCGTCGAGCCTCATTATAAAAGCCTTGGAGGCATTATAATTTTTTAGAGTAATTGGAGAGGGCGAATATTCAACGACATGGGGAAAGGAGATGGAGAGACCAGTTGAGGGTCTTCAGTGAACACTGACAGTGCGCAGCTGCAGAGTCTACTCGATGCCCTTGCCAAGGGGCAAATCGTGGCCAAACCGACAATTGGCCTAAGTGAAGCTCAACGCTTCAATGGAGAGAACTATGGCACATGGAGGCTGAAGTTCATGCGACGCGCCCGGGAGGTAGATTTGTGGCATTTCTACAACCTAGAGGCAGTGACGGAGGAAGATGGACCTGCACCTGCAACCGCACAAGAGAAAAAAGCGTTAAAGAAAAGAAGCCAACAAGCTTTCTTTCAACTCTGCCATTCGGTCTCGGATTCAATCGCAGCACGACTCGACCCGTTCTCTGAGGAGGACAACGCAGCAGAGAAGGCGTGGGCGTACATGGAACGAGTGTACCTCGGGAAAAGCGAGGCAAAGATGACAGCAGTGAGGACGAAACTCATATTGCTGGCCATGGAACCTTCCGAGACGGTGGTGGACTACGTGGGCCGTGCTAAAGGCTACAACGACAACCTGACGGCTATGGGAGTGCCCGAATCGGAGAAGCAAATGATGAGCTACATCATTGGCGGCCTACCGAAATCATGGGCAGCAGAGAAGCGGATGCTGGCCTGCAGACGCCCCACAGACATGACGGACCTGGTGGAGTCCCTTCAAGACGTTGCGCTTATACGTGCTGAGGAAGAGCGAAGGGAGGCGCTGCCGGACAACTTCAGCAACAACAAACATGCCATGTTGAACGCAACTGGGGCAGGAAAATCATTCGAGGTTTGCTTCCACTGTGGGAAGAAAGGGCACAAGGCTGCCGAGTGTTACTCCAACCCAAGAAGCAAGAATTTCAGAGGTACGGCAGCAGTTAGGCAATCTGCCAATGAGGAAACAAGCGTAGGAGGACAACGACAGCGAGGCGGATTTGCTGGAAACTGCAACCACTGCGGGAAATTTGGTCACAAGGCAATCGATTGCTACAGTAACCCGATGAGCAAGAGCTTTAGGGGAGGGCAGCAGCAGCAAAGGAATCACGTACCTGTGAAGATCAACGCCACCGAAGCGGAAACCAGCGACGACGACGTCATCCTCGGGGGAGCCCACAAGGCCAATGTTGCAAGAGCATCCGGAGCATGCCTGCTTGCAAAAGGCCTCAAAGGCAAGGAGTGGTACATGGATAGTGGATGTACCCAACACATGACCAATCGGAAGGAGTGGCTGCAAAATTTCAGAGCATCACCGATCCCGTACGTGCTGTTGGGAGACGAGGGGAAACTTCCTGTGAAAAGGAAGGAGATCTAGTGCTGCAAAGTGTTTATGGTGAGGTGAAACTGGACAACGTGCTGCTGGTGGACAAGCTCACACTCAACCTCATAAGCCAATCGCAGTTGGACAGTGGTGGGTGCAAGACTTTCAGTGACAAGGGCAGCATATGGGTGTTCGGTTCGGATTGGAAGGTGATAGCGGAAGGATCACGCAAGCAAGGGCTGTACGAGATGAAGCTGCACGAAAAACAGAGTGGGGAGAAGCCCACGTACATGGCTGAACCGGAAGGGGGCAAGGTGGCACGAGATGAGCTACGCACCAAGTTGAAAAAAGTTCCGATCAAGGAGCTGCAGCAGCAGGCGCTTCCTATGGCTGCAGCAGTGAGCACGGTGGACGTCAACCTGCTGCACAGGAGGATGGGGCACGCTGGTCACACTCGAATCAAGCAGCTGGTCAAGAAGAATATGGCAGCAGGAGTGAAGGTAGTCGAGGGTGGAGAGGAAAATCTGAAGTGCAGCACTTGCGTGGAATCAAAGGCAACAAAGGCACCACATCCCAAGCATGGAGTCTGTGAGCCATACGAGACAATGGCTATTGTGGCAGCCGACGTATGTGGACCGATGCGAGTGGCTTCACGACATGGCAGCAAATATTTCGTTACCTTCACCGACCTTAGCACACGACACACATGGGTGACTGAAATCAAGAACAAGTCAGAAGTCTTCACGAGCTTTCTCGATTGGCAAGCGGAAGCGGAAAGGCAAAGCGGCAAGAAGCTGAAAGTGTTATGTACGGATAACGGGGGAGAATTCGTCAACGCCCAGTTCAACACCTACCTGAAGTCAAAGGGGATACGAAGGCAGCTGACAGTCCCATACACTCCTCAACACAACAGCACTGCGGAGCGGGTGAACCGATCACTGCTGGAGGGTGTGAGGAGCTTGCTCGCGGACAGCAAATTGCCCCTTCACTACTGGGGAGATGCACTAGGCATGTCATTTTGGCTGAAAAATCGGCTACCGACAAAGGGATTAGCGGCGGACGTTACCCCTCACGAGGCGTTCTACAAGAGGAAGCCGAATCTGGAGTTCTTACGTGTTTGGGGCTGCATGACGCAATACGGAGAGGCGGCGGGACCCGATCACAAGCTTCTCCCTCGGACCAAGTGGGGAATTCACTTGGGAATCTGCCCGGAGAGCAAAGGGTGGGTGATACGCGATGTGGAGACTGGAAAAGTCACGGCGACTAGAGATGTTACCTTCTACGAGCAGGACACCTACTTGGAGTGGAAGGGACGGAAACAAGGAGCTGTTGCAAAGAAAGCGGCAGCAGCACCAACTCCAGTGGAGGAGATGATAGATGGGAGTGAGAAGGAGGGGATAGGGGCAGCCAATGGAAGCGGTGACAATGACGACTACGAAGACCACACTACACCGGGTTTCGACTGGGTGTGGGAGGTCCAGGAGCTGTCCTCACCTTCAACTGCCGTGGAAGAGGGTGAAGAAGAAAATGATAAGGAAGAAGAAGCGGGTGACAGCGCAACGAATGAAGCCGGTGAGGAAGAAGCTGAGATTTCGGATGTGGAAGAGAGTGTGGCTGAATCTGCCAGCACGGGGTACTCCGACCCATGGCGCATCATTGACACGGGGGACAATGAAAAGGCGGCAGCAGAGATTGAAGACCTACTTGTAGACGGAGCGATCATCATCGGAAGAGAGATTGAAGGAGATTCCGTGCAACAAGGAACGGATGATAATGCAGCAGCAGAGAAAGGTGGAGCTGAAAATGAGAATGAGAAGATGGGCAAAGGGAAACGGGTCAAGAAACCCAACCTCAAGTATGCCCAAATGCTTCTGACCTGCTGCAAGGACATTCACACCCACCTCCTCCTTACCACTACGGCAACGGCACTTCTATCAAAGGGGAAGGTGGAAAGCTACAAGCTGCCCACCGAGCCTCTCACCATTGAAGAGGCACTGTCCGGACCGAACAAGGAGCAATGGAGGGCTGCAATCCAGGAGGAACTTGATACCTTGGCTGAAAGGGGGACATGGGAGCTTGTGAACATGCCCGAGGGAAGGAAAGCAGTGGGAGTGCGCTGGATTTTCAAGATCAAAACAGGAGAGATGGGACAACTTGAGCGTTTCAAGGCACGACTTGTGGCTAAAGGCTACACTCAGGTGGAAGGAGAGGACTACGACCAACTCTACGCACCCGTTAGCAAATTAACAACGGCAAGAACCATGCTAAAGGTGGTGATGGCACTTCATGGTGCAGCTGGACATAAAAAATGCCTTTCTCTATGGCATTTTGAAGGAGACTATCTACATGAATCAGCCACCGGGGTGTGAGGACGGCACGGACAGAAAGTGCAAACTCATCAAAACACTTTATGGGCTGAAACAAAGCTCACGGGAGTGGTACCTAGCCATGGACGCACAACTGGAAAAGGGGGGGTTCATCAAGAGCCAATGTGACCGTGCATTCTACTGGAAGGGAGAGGGGGAAAACAAGGTGTTCTTACTCCTCTACGTGGATGATATTCTAGTGGCTGGAGCAAAGGAGGAGAAGGTGGAGGAGGTGTGCACTCACCTCGCAGCTGTATTTCAGGTGAAGAAGATTCCAAGGACCACTCTCTTCCTTGGAATGAACATAGAGAGGAATAGGGAGGAGAAGAAGTTGCTGCTATACCAGAAGAAGTACTTTCAAAGGTTGCGGGAGAGGTTTGGAGGGCATTGCAAGACTAAACTAGTGACAACACCTCTCAGCAGCCTTGCGGACAAGGAGGTCGATGTGGGAGCAGAAATTGAGGCATGGGGCAACAGGGAGAGAGCGCTCAAAGCTTACCAATCCATGGTAGGCTCAGTCATGTACCCGGTGTCATGCACACGGGTTGATGTGGCCTATGCTGCAAGCTTTCTTGGACAGAGGGTGTTGCAGCCCGAGGGACGCAAGTGGAAGGAAATTGAGCGGACCATCACTTACCTCTTGCAGGGGGATGATGAGGGGCTGCTGTTTGAAGGGGGAGAGGAGAGTCTAGAGCTAGTGGGGTACGCTGACGCCTCACACGGATCAGACAAGAAGGATGGGAGGGGAGCCTATGGCTATGTTTACCTCCTTGGCGGTACAGCAATCATGTGGCAAGCCAAGAAGCTCACCGACGTCGCTCTGTCCACCGCGGAGTCTGAATATATGTCGCTGTTTTATGTATGCCAAGAGGGTGTGTGGCTGAGGCGCCTACTTCAAGAGATGGGGGTCAAAGTGGAAGGACCTACAACAATCAAATCGGACAACAAATCAGCAATTGACCTCGCACGAAACGACAACTGGCATGGGCGCACGAAACACAAGAACGCGAGGTACCATTGGGTACGGGAGCAGCTACAGAAGAAGGCATTCACCTTCGTGCACGTGGGAACACATGAGCAGCCAGCGGATTTCCTCACCAAGGTGCTACCGAAGGCAAAATTCGAGTTCTGCAAGTATTTTGTCGGCATGCGCACCCTCAAGGACTTGCAAGGGAGCAGCGGAGCAGCAACACGAGATACTACACCACCTTACGGTTGGGATCAGCAAGGGAAGAAGAAGGCGGGTTACATTGTAACCACTGGAGCATAGGAGGGTGGCAGCTGGCAAACCACGGGGGAGATTGTTAGGGTGGTTCGCCACTGCCCTAGTGTCTACCGGCCTGCGCGCCTGACCTAGGGACGGTAGAAGAACTCTAGGAACGGTGGGAACTACGACCTAATATGGGGAACCGGTACCTAGAACGGTGGGGCTGCATGCTAAGTAGTTACGAGAGGAAAACGTGAGGAAAGTAAGGGAAAACGGAATGACTGAGAAATAGGGTTCGGGAAATGTCGAGAAGACATTTCCGAAGCCTAGAATGTCCAACCGAAACCGAACCGTGTTCGGTGCGGAAGGGACAAACGGGTTTCGGTTCCGGTGACGGTTACCGAATTCGGTTACGCGTGCGACTCGGGCTGAAACGCGGATGACGCGTTACGCGAGGCGCACATCACATTTCGAAATGCTTGAATGTGTTTGTTTTCAATCAGTTGTTTGTACTTCTCTGTTTTCAGTGAAAATTGCACCAGAAAACCAGAATTTTCTCCAAGTGACTACTAATCTCCAACGCTTGCCAGAGGCTATACCTAAACTTAGATGAACGAGCTCAAAGTTGACTAAGAAATATCCTGGATAGGAGCACTACAAACTGATTCTCATGTCTGCCTGTCCGACTGCTCCCAGAATGATCCTAAGCCAGCACAAACCCTCTCTCCTTCTCCCTCCTTGCAGGTCATATGGTCGGATCCTCAATGCGGCGACGGCACATGCACACCCCCAACTGAATTTCCTGCAGTGGGCCGATTTGGCTGTGCCCAAGACTGTGGTAACGCGCGTAACGTTACAACGGTGACGGTGGCGCTGCGATGTCACTTTGCATCGAGGGAAGCTATGGTTAGCAGCTCCTGGAACCTCTGCTCTACTGCTATCAGAGATGTGTGCTGGTGAGCCCTCTCTCTGTACCAGAGTGAGTGTGTGGGAAAGCGTGAGCGGGCGTGTGGGGGTGGGAAGGTGGTGACGGTGGCTCTGCGGTGCCACTTTGCATTGAGGGAGGCCATGGTTAGCAGCTCCTGGAACCTCTGCTCTACTGCTATCAGAGATGTGTGCTGGTGAGCCCTCTCTCTGTACCAGAGTGAGTGTGTGGGAAAGCGTGAGCGGGCGTGTGGGGGTGGGAAGGTGGTGACGGTGGCTCTGCGGTGCCACTTTGCATTGAGGGAGGCCATGGTTAGCAGCTCCTGGAACCTCTGCTCTACTGCTATCCGAGATGTGTGCTGGTGAGTTCCCTCTCTGTACCTGTGTGAGTGAGTGTCTGCGTGGCTGTGTATGAGCGAGTGTGGCGATGGTGTGGTGACGGTGGCGCTGCGGTGCCACTTTGCATTGAGGGAGGCCATTCAGAGCAGCTCCTGGAACCTCTGCTCCACTGCCATCCGAGACGTGTGCTGGTGAGAGTTTCTCTCTGTACCAGGGTGAGTGTTTGGAATTGCGTGTGCAGGCGTGTTTGGGTGGGAAGGAGGTGACGGTGGCATTGCGGTGCCACTTTGCATCGAGGGAGGCGATGCTTAGCAGCTCGTGGAACCTCTGCTCCACTGCCATCCGAGACGTGTGCTGGAGAGTGAGTGAGTGAGTGAGTGAGTGAGTGTGTGCGTGTGTGGAGTGGGAGGATGGCGGTGGGGTGGTGACGGTGGCCCTGGGGTGCCACTTCACATCAAGGGAGGCCATGATGATGAGCAGCTCGTTCCTTCTCCCCCTCCCCGCTTTTCTCTTTCCTCCCCCACACCAGGTTCCAGGACCCCCAGCTATTCACAGAGTTCACGGGCTGGTACACGGTCACAGTGCGCCTGCCAGACAACGACTGGTACGTTGCTGGTGAATGGGAGAGAGTACGTGCTAAGATACACACCCTCTCCCCTCCCTCACACCCGTTCAGGTTCCAGGACCCCCAGCTATTTATCGAGCTGAAAGGCTGGCACACGGTCACAGTGCGCCTGCCAGACAACGACTGGTTCGTCTCCCTCACTGCTCCCACCGGGGGCGTGGGCGTCTATGTCTATGAGTCCCTAGGGAAGAAGACCACAGGCGCTTCAGAACCTGGCACAGACTCCTCCTCTGGTGTTTACAGCTCAGGCTCAGCTGCTGAAGGCTCGGTGATGATATCAGCACCGCCGCCACTGCCACCGCCGCCACCCCCTGTTTTTACCACCCCTGCCCCAGCCCCCTTCCGACTGCCCTCCTCGCGTGTCTCCCCCTCCGCCTCTCCTCCACCCGCCTCGCCCACCGCTTCGACTTTTGAGTCGACTCAAAAGTCAACTCCTCCACCCGCCTCGCCCACCGCGTCGCCTTTTGAGTCGACTCAAAAGTCAACTCCTCCACCCGCCTCGCCCACCGCTTCGCCTTTTGAGTCGACTCAAAAGTCAACTCCTCCACCCGCCTCGCCCACCGCTTCGCCGTCCACAAAGGAGTATCTGCGGCCTTCCAACGGCACGGGGGCGAATGTGCTGCTGGCGAGCGTGGATGGGTGTGTGGAGGACGGCGAGAGCGGTCTGCAGCGGTGCAGACAGGTACGGTGTGGTGGTGAGGTGTTGGACGCGGTGCATGTGCAAGCAGGGGTTTGCAGCGGTGCAGACAGGTATGATGCAGTGGAGAGGTGCTGAAGACGTGCATGCTGCGGTGCGGTGCAGACAGGTGCAGTACGTGGTTATGTCATTGTGAGCACTCTGCTCTCCCTATTCCTCCCTCCTGTCTCCTCACTTCCCTCTCCGCTCTCCTCTCTCCCTCACGTCTCCCATGCCCCAGACCTGTGCCATATGGACTATCTGTCTCCCGCAACTGTGCACCAGAAGCAGCAGCAGCACTGGCAACACCACCAACAGCACCAGTCCTCACTCACTCCCTTCTCTTCACTCCTCTCCCTCGCGTCTCCCATGCCCCAGACCTGTGCCATATGGGCTATCTGTCTCCCGCAACTGTGCACCAGAAGCAGCAGCAGCAGCACGGGCAACAGCAGCAGCAGCGCCGCAAGCACCAGTCCTCCCACGACTCTGCCCGTGCGTGTGGCATCTGCAGCGCTAGGCAGTTGCTTCCAGGCGTGCAACATCATGCTGCCAGGGACCACCTTCGACCCCCCTGACAGCATCACCTGCTCCCAGGTGAGATCAGACCCCTCACACACGCATTCCCTTTGCATGCTTCCATTTTGGTCTTCGATGTGTCTCGGATGTGCTTGGTGCTCTCAGGGGTTCATACTTTCAACTGCAGTCCTGTTCCTACCGTCCCTCCTGCCCCTCACCTCCTTGCCTTGCCCATACCCTCCTCCGGTGTCCCCCTTCTTTCCCTCCCCATACAACGCTGTTCCCGCCAGGCGTTCACTGTCTTCGAGGCGTCTCTGCAAACACCCTCATGCACTGGTGCTCCCCCTGCCCCTCACCTCCGCCCTTGCCCATACCCTTCCCCTGCCATGTCGTCATATCCTGCTGCACTCTCTGCCGCTTCTCCTACCACCACTTCTCCTTTGCCTTTTGCCTGCCTGCCAGACGCCTTAAACACACACACCATCACCTACGCCCTCTGATCCTACCACGTGTGCCCTGTATGGATGTGCGCAGATATGCTCTCAGAGTCCCCTGCAGCAGCAGCATCCCAGCCACCTACAACAGCAGCGGCACCGACAGCACCAGCAGCAGCAGCAGCACCAGCAGCAGCAGCACCAGCAGCAGCACCAGCAGCAGCAGCACCAGCAGCAGCAGCACCAGCAGCAGCAGCACCAGCAGCAGCAGCACCAGCAGCGCCAGCAGCAGCAGCACCAGCAGCAGCAGCACCAGCAGCAGCAGCACCAGTAGCAGCAGCACCAGCAGAGGCAGCAGCAGCAGTGGACGCACCAGAAGCACCAAGTTCCCTGTCTGCTCGTTTGCTACTAGAGTCGTCTGCTCACAGCAGCAGCGCCAGCAGCAGCAGCCACTTGCAACAAGCACCTCTTCAAGTCACTCCGTGTGACCCTTCCAGCACCAGTCTCCCAACCAACACCCCAGCCGCTCCCTGTGTGCACAGCCGTGTCAGCTCCTCTGCTCCTGAAGCGCTCCCCATGTCCTCCCCGCACCCCTCTTGGCCTGCCGGGTCTCTCTTGGATCCCTGGGCTGGCATGGCGTCAGTGCAGCTGGTATGTACTCTGAGGCAAGTTCTTCCCATGCTCTCCTTCAGTCCAGGTATGTGCTGGCTTGACGATCCTCTGTCTTTGGTTGTCATTGCGTTGTCTCGGTTATGATATCCTTTGTCATCGGGGCGTTTAAGATGATCCCGTCAACCCCTCCTCTTTTTGACCCTAATTGTGTTTCCTGATTACACTCCACGTCGTCTCCATGCCCGCGTGTCTCCCTCCCTGCCAGCACCACCAGCAGCTGAGGCAGAAGCTAGAAAAAGAACGGGTCAGTGCTCCCTCCTTCCACGCTTCCAGTCTCCACCACCCCCCTAGTCTCCACGCTCCTCCTCACAAGAGTGCCGGTGCTTTTCGCTCCAGCCGACAGCTCTTCCCCTCTCCACCGACCTCCTCATTCCTCCCAGGTGAATTTTGATGCGCCTCCCACCCCCCCTCTCCCTCCCCCCCCCTTCCCAGCTTCCTCTTCCCACCAGCCACCGAAGCTGCCTCCTTGCACCTCACCCACCCTTCCATCCCCTCATCCTCACCCATTCTCCCCCCCACCCCCTCCAGCCACCTCCTCCCAGCCAATCGCAGAAGCCCAGCGGCTCGTGTGGGAGAGCCTTGGGACGACAGACGGAGAGCGAATCAGGGTGTGCCAGGTGGCGGTGGCACGGGCGCTGTACACCGCAGTGAAGGAGAACTGCCTGGCCGGGCCGACAGCTGGCGGCAGCAGTGACAGTGGTGGCAGTGGCAGTGGCAGTGGCAGTGGCAGTGGCAGTGGCAGTGGCAGTGGCAGTGGCAGTGGCAGCAATGACAGCAGTGGTAACAGCAGCAGTGGCGGTGGTAGTGGCAGCAGCAACGATAACAACAGAAGCAGCACCACCAGTAATAGCAGCAGCTTGGAGCAGTCGTCCCCAGCCAAGAGCCTCTCCCTGGCGTCGCGCAATCGCCTCGTTGCCTTCCTCTGCACGCTCTTCGCTGGGCCTTTCACCTCCCACCCTCACTGCAACTTCACGGACGCTTTCTTCGGGCGGCAACTGACGGATCATGCAGAGCTGGTGGATTACATTCGAGCAACGCACCGCAGGTAAGGGAAGGATGGTGTGCGCTCAACCTCAACTATATGCAATTAGTGGCAAGGGGTTTATCCACCAGGCTCCTTCTCATTATCCACCATCCTTCCTCTCCCAAAGCCTTTTCATCTCTCCCTCCTCTCATGCCCATCCCAGTTCTCCCCCCTCCCTTCCCCCACTCCACCCGTTCTCTTCTTTCTCAGTCCCTCCCGGCGCTTCTCTGCCGCCCAGCAGGCTCTTTTCGTCCGCATCCTCGTCATGGCGCTGCAGTCAGTCGTGCAGAAGATGCCGAGCGGTGCCGTCCAGGCTGCCACCCACTTGCTGCACATCTTCAACGACGCAGTGGTCTCGCCAGACGCCTCGCCGTGCCCCCAAGGTGCATCTCTCTTTCTGTTGCTCTCAAGTGCCCCTATGGTCTTCCCAGGTGCTCCTGCTGTTGGTCTCAGGCGCTCTCTGTTTTTCTCAGGTGCTCCTGCTGTTACCCTCAGCTTCCTGTCTGTTTCTCCCTCACGTGCTTTTGTAATAACTCCTCGTCAGGGCGCAAGCGTTTCGAAGAGCCTTGCGCGTCCCAAGTGGGTGCTTTTGTAATAACTCAAGAGCTTCCTCCTCTCCCTACAATCCTTCTCTCCTCCCTCCCCGGGTCCCCCTCCTCTCCCCCAGCGGATTTCATGGTTCTATGGGACTCTGCGTCCTTCACCCGCCGCGCCATATCAGACGGGCAGCGGGTCACGTGGGTGTGGAACGACGACGACTACCACGAGCTCTCAGGTGTGGCGAGCAAGGGTAGGGAGGAGAGGGAGACGGGAGAGGTGAGAGGTGCAGCAGTGCCCTGCCCTTCGCTTGTGGGTCTTTGATTTGATGTGGTGGGCCTCTGCCCATCCCATGCCCACGTGGGTAGGTATGGAACGGCGACGACTACCACGAGCTCTCAGGTGCGGTGCAGTGAAACTCGCACAGGGTCCTCTCTCTTTTACTCTTTCACTGGGTTCACTGCAGGGTTGGTGGGCACATGCATTCTACTCCATCTGACACTCCGCATGCATTTGTTTGATTTTTCTTCCTCTTTCGTCCCTCACTGCAGCATGGGCGGGTTCGGAGCCGTTTCTTGGGTTTGGAGCGGGGCGGCTCGGCCTATCACGGCTTGCCACATGTGCATGGGATAACATTGGGCCCAGAGATGCCTCGGATGAGCCTGCGCCATGCGTGCTGCGTGAGTGGTGACGTGGCATGCCATGCTGGCATATGGTGACATGGCATGCATATGTGAACGTTTGTTATATCTTTTCAATGCCGTTTGCACTTAAACACCAGGTTTGTTGCCATACCTCCCTCAAACACCCCTTCATCTCCCCCTACTATCTCACTGTCCTCAACACCCCTCATTTTCGCACTACCTCTTTTGTCCTCCATTAACCCTCAACCACTCCTCATGCCTTTTGTTGAGGTGCCTGAAGAAGTCTGTTTAAGGTTTCTCAAGAGTCCCAAAGCACTCCTCACCTCACCCCACCCACCACGCCTTCCCTGCAGGCTCTCCCGACGACACATCACCTCCCCAATTCGCATACACCAAGGTGTTTGGCACTGCGTGCTTGTTATTTGCGATATCATAGAAATTTGACTTTCAACTCATTCCTTCTTGCACCCTCCCCTGCAGGCTCTCCCGACGACTCATCACCGCCCCAGTTCGCATACACCAAGGTGTTTGGCACGGCTCGAGACATAGCTGTGAAGGACTCGCCTCAGTCACTCGCATTCACCCTCATCCGCGCCAGGAATGATTCAGGTGCGCGCATGGGTGCATGGATGCGTGGGTGTATGGGTCCAGGCTTGCATGTGGGCATGTGGTGCATGGGTGTTAGGCACGGCTCGAAACATGAAAGTGAGGGACTCCCCTCTGTTACACGCATTCACTCTCATCCTGCAACGTCACCCTCTATGGATGCACATAACTCAACCTTGCAATATGCCCCTCTGCAGCTTCTGACTCTTTCTCCGCCTTTCCCAACCATTTCCTAATGGTCATGGTAATGGTAATGATAATGGTAATGGTAATCGTAATGGTAATTGTAATGGTAATGGTAATGGTATTGATATTGGTATTGGTAATGGTAATGGTATGGTAATGGTAATGGTAATGGTAATGGTAATGGTAATGGTAATGGTAATGGTAATGGTAATGGTAATGGTAATGGTAATGGTAATGGTAATGGTAATGGTTGATAATGGTAATAGTGGTAATGGTAATGGTAATGGTAATGGTAATAGTAATGGTAATGGTAATGATAGTGGTAGTGGTAGTGGTAATGGTAATGGTAATCGTAATGGTTGATAATGGTAATGGTAATGGTAATTGTAATTGTAATGGTAATGGTAATGGTAATGGTTGATAATGGTTATGGTAATGGTAATGTTAATGTCGCTGCTACCAGCCCTGCAACGTCGCTCTCTGTGGCTTTGACGGGGGTGTGGCTCTCTGTTTATTGAGGCGTCTCAAAACCCAACCCTGCACCGTGCTTTTTTGCACCTTCTGACTCCTCTCCCCTTCTCTCAACCATTGCCGGCCCCCCATCCCCTCCCTCACACCACCAGCACCCCAGCCCCGCGACTCTCTCCCCCCCTATGTGCTCCTCCTCGCCTCCCTCTGTGCGCCTGCCTGCCGTCTCGCCATGCTGGCCAACGGTCGCTGCGACCAGCAAGTACCCCTTTGCACCTTCTGACTCCTCTCCCCCTCTCCCAACTCTTTCCTGTTCCCCCTACCCCCCACCACCAGCACCCCAGCCCCGCGACTCTCTCCCCCCCTACGCGCTCCTCCTCGCCTCTCTCTGTGCGCCGGACTGCCGTCTCTCCATGCTCGCCAACGGCCGCTGCGACCAGCCCTGCAACGTGGCTCTCTGTGACTTCGACGGGGGGGACTGCGCTTGCGGCGGCGCTGGCAGCGGGAGTATTGGAAGCAGCGTGAGCAGCGGCAGTGATGCTGCTGGTGCTGGTGGTGGGAGTGGGAGAGGAGGCAGCGGCAGTGGCAGCAGTGGCGGTGGTGCGAGTGCGGGTGGGAGTGTGGGAGGAGGAGTGGGTGTGCAGTGGTGCACATGTCCTGTGTTGCAGATACGGGGCGATGATGGAGGTACGCGCGTGCAGTTGTTTGTTAGGCTGCTCAGAAGGTAAATGATTATACTTTCCCTAGGCTTAAGTGGTCCAAACCCGTGAATTGTTTAGATGAGCGGAGGAGGCCCTTTATCAGTGGCTTTTGAGAATTCCCAAAGATGGCTTCACAGCATTCGGTCTTTCTCTTTCACTCTTTTTTCTCTGGCCTCCCTTCCTCCATCACTCAGCGTGCTGTGAAGCAGCAGGAGCAGGCACGGGCATCAAGGTCCCCTTCAGTCTGCAACGATTTGGCCCCACAGTGCATCCCCTCCTCTCCACTCTCGGCAGCACCGCTACTGCTCTGCCTCGTGTTGTGTCCCAATACAACAGGTTCGTGTTTTGAGACGTCTCAAAACTTGTGTTGTGTCCCAATGCAATAGGTTCGTGGCCACAGCCTCTCCTGTTTTGCAATTAACGCCGTGTTCTTGTTCTGCAATCTCTTTATTTCTATGCATGCCGCCCCTTTCCCTCTCCTGTAACTCCTGCCTCTTCAGCCCCCCCCATGTGTCCCTCCTGCACCTCCTTCCTAGCCCCTCCCCTCGCCTCAGTGTGCTGATGGGTTTCACTATCGTGCAATACCTCTGGCACTCCTCACGCTCTGATTTGAAGCCAACCAAAGAAGCAGAGTGTGATGTGATGCTTGCTGTGAGCCAACCAGAACCATAGCTGCGTGCTCTGCGTGCTCTGCGTGCTCTGCATCCTGCCTCATTCCTGTCCTGTCTTTCCCTCTCCTGTCTCTCCTGCCTCTCCTGCCTCTCCCGCCCCTCGTGCATCTCCCGCTTCTCCGTGCTCTCCCCTCCCCGCACAGGGTGCTGATGGGTCTCATCATCGTACAATACCGCTGGGACTCTGCAGACTGTGCCACGAGCAGGTAAGCGGGCCACATGCATGGGCATGCGCAGGCAAGTGAGTGAGGCACATGCATGTGTTAGAAGAGAGAGAATTGGTGCACTGAATAATGAGCCAAAAGGCTCTTTAGTACAAGCAATGAGCAAGGGAGAGATGAGAGGGAAGCTTACCCTATTGGCCAATAAGTTGGCCAATGGGTGAGCTTGCTTGTGGCCCAAGCAACCACAAAATGTGTGTTGGTTGGGATTGGTTGAGGTAAAGACCAATCCCCACCAACCACAAAATGTGGTTGGAGGGTACACTAACCAACCCCCCAATTTATAAGAGTGCTACACATTAGACATGAGCATATTCACGAACGTTCGAGTCGAACCGAACATTCCTTGTCTTTTGGCTAAAAAGGTTCGATACGAACATGTTCGAGTTCAACTCGAACATGTTCGAGTTCGAATGCGTTTTTTTTTACCGCGCCGCTTCGAACTCGAACGGGTTCGAGTTCGAAATTGCCCTACGCGAACATCAAAGTGTTCGTGATAAATACCAGCGCGACATCGGCCGCGCTGGTTTCCAATTTAGGATTGTGCATATCTGGGATTGAGCTCATTTCAAGCTCGATCTCGTGCTTTTAGTTTAGCATGGCTTAGGCTCCTAGTGTACGCAAACATAAGCCAAGAACGGGTACTTAGGCATTTCCGCTACTAAGAGCCCGTTTATAGCAGATCCACTATATAGTAAACGCGGCTAACCGTTACTTGTAGTCTGGACAGACCCTTCGCCTGTGGCGAAAGGCATTCGCCCGTCGACCTCTCCTTCCCTCCTTTCCAAGGGATAACCTGATTTAGGGACGAGATCTCTGGCGATGAAAGGGACTGGTGATACCGGTTCAGGGTGGGGAAACGACGAAGGACTTGTGGAAAATCCAGGGGCGAGCTCGAACACGTTTGAGTTCGCCACGAACACTTAGATGTTCCCGTGAACATCTAAGTGTTCGCCTCTGAATGCGAACACTCGAACATGAGTTTTCTGAAAAAATGTTCGAGGGAACCGAACACGTTCGGTTTGAAATTTCCAGGTGTTCGAAAAGGTTCGAATCAAACGTGTTCGGATTCGTGCGATGCTCATGTCTACTACACATCTAAGTCTAGCCTATGCATGTTGTATAAAATATGGAATTACAACATAACCCCCGAACATGCATAAGGCTAGAAGGCTACAATCAAGAAGCGGGGACCAACTTCGGAGGAGTAAGACCAAGGAGACGAATTAGTGAAGAGTGAGCCGCATGAGGAAGAGCTTTTGTGAAGATGTCGGCAAGGTTGGCCGCGGAGTCAACCTTGTCGAGCCGCAGGTGCCCAGCCTGAACAAGATTGCGAATGAAGAAATGACGGAGCTCAATGTGCTTGGAGCGCCCGTGAAACACAGCATCCTTCGTGAGGTGAATGGTGCTGGCGTTGTCACACCAAATGGTGGGACAGCGCTGGGGGGCACCAAGCTCCTCAAGAAGGAAGGAGAGCCAGCGAGCCTCTTGTGCAACCATGGTGGCGGCATACAACTCGGCTTCGCAGGACGAGAGGGCGATAGCCGAGGAGCGCGTGGAACGCCAGCTGATGAGGCCGCTGCCAAGAGAGAAGCCATAGCCCTAGGAGGAGCGACGGTCTGGTCGGGAGTCAGCCCAGGAGGAGTCACTGTAGCCGCTGAGGAGAGGTGGGGAAGGGCCGCCAAGGGTAAGGACATAGTCCTTGGCGCCACTAAGGTACTGGAGGACGCGCTTGGCAGCCTGCGAGTGCTCAGCCGTATGCTTGCCAACGCCAATAAACCAAGCGAGGACGCTGATGGGGTAGGCAATGTCAGGGCGAGTGGAGACCATGGCGTACATGAGGGAGCCGATGAGCTCGGGATAAGGATGGGAGGAGGCGGAGGGGGAGGTGGGTGGAGAGAGGTGGTGCCCGACAGAAAGAGGTGTATGTTGGGCGCCGCCGCGGGCCATGTCAAACCGCTCCAAGACCTGCTGCAAGTAATGACCTTGGGAGAGTGAGATGGTGCGGGCGGAGCGGTCGCGGGTGATGGTCATGCCCAGATAATGCCGTAGCTCTCCCAAGTCTTTGCACTTGAGACGGCTGCCCAACTCAGCCTTAACATGCTCCAACTCTTCAAGGTCGACAGTGAGCAGAATCATGTCATCGACATACATAAGGATGTAAAATGGGGAGGGGGAGGTGCGGAGGAAGAAGCTGGCGTCAGAGCGGGAGGTGCGGAACCCAAGTTGAGCAAGGGTGGCGGCAAGTTTAGCATGCCACTCCCTCGGGGCCTGTCGAAGCCCATACACCGGTCGACGCAGCTACCAGACAAAGTCTGCTGGGAAGGGGAGGTGAAAGCCGGCTGGACGCTCCATGTAGATAAGCTCGCGGAGGACGCCTTGTAGGAAGGCGTTAGAAACGTCCATCGAGTGGATCTCCATAATGAGGCGAGCGGCGAGGTCGAGCACGGCGCGAACAGTAGCAGGCTTGGCAGTAGGGGAGAAGGTATCGAAGAAGTCAAAACCATACCGCTGCGTGAACCCCTTGGCGCAGCAACGAGCCTTATAGACGGGCGGCTCCCCTGGCAGCTGCTTGACACGAAACACCCACTTTCCTTTCACCACGTTCGTAGGGGCGGGAGGGCGAGGCACATCGACAAAGGAGGAGTTGCCGATAAAGGCCTCCAGCTCCTTGATGATGGCTGCGAGCCATAGCGGAGCGTCAGGGCACGCCATTGCCTCCTCGTACGTGGTAGGAACGAAAATGGAGGGAGCAGAGGAGAAGGCGAAGACAGGTGTGCCGGAGAGGTCGAACGTGATGGGTAGAAGCGAGGGGTCATAAAGGTGGAGGTCAAGGAACTCCTCATGGGAGTCCTCAGAGAGGGAGGTGTGGAAGGCGCGGATGACTGCTGGTGCTGCTGGTGGAGGCGTTGCCGGTGCTGCTGCTGGTACTGCTGCTGGTGCCGCTGCTGGTGCCGCTGCTGGTGCTGCTGCTGGTCCTGTTGCTGGTGCTGCTGCTGGTGCCGCTGCTGGTGCCGCTGCTGGTCCCGCTGCTGGTGCCGATGCCGTTCCCGCTGCTGCTGCTGCTGCCGCCGCTGGTCCCGCTGCTGCTGCCGCTGCTAGGAGCCGCTGCTGGTGCCGCTGCTGGAGAGGAGGTGGCTGAGGGGGCTGTTGCATGAGGGGCTTGATGCAAGACAGCCTGGAAGAAGTGACGAAGGAGGGGGGAGAGAGGGGGAAGGGTATAGGTAGAGAGGGTAACGGGAGGCGGTGCACCAAGGATACCGTCATGTGACCTGGTGTGGGGATACCGGGTGAGTATGGTGCGGGAAGGGGGAGGACGGGTTGGTGGCGAGGGAGAGGAAGGGGGGGGGGGGAGGGGTACTAGGAGAGGAGTGAGCGGGGGAGACAGGAGAAGACAGAGGTTCCGGGTCAAAGATGTCACCAGAAGAGGGAGGGGCACCATGGGACTGGGACGGCGGAGAAGGGGGGGGTGGGAGGATGGGGGGAGGAGGGAGTAGTGGGGGAGGGGTGGTGTCAGACCAGACAAGGGGACGGGTGAGAGGGGGGAGTGGGTCAGTAGATGTGGGAGAGGAGTAGTAGGGAGTGGACTCGTCAAAGACCACATCCCTGCTACGGATTAGACGACCGGATGGGGGGTGGAGGAAAAGGTAGTCGGGGGAGGAGGGATTATGACCAAGGAAGATGCAAGGAAGGGTACGAGGGGCAAGCTTTCCCATGGAACGAGAGCGGTCAGAGGGGTGAATGAGGACATGTGCCTTAGAGCCCCAGACACGAAGTGATGAGGCATCAGGCTTGTCCTTCGTCCATAGCTCAGTGGGGGTGATGGAGGGGAGAAGGGGGTGAGGGTAAAGGTTAGTAAGGAGGGCGGCATGAAGGAGGGCGTAGCCCCAAAGAGAAGGGGGACAGGAGGCGTGGACAAGCAGACATCGGGCTGTTTTGGTGATCTCTCAAACACGACTCTCAGCCACGCCGTTCTGCTGTGGGGAGTGAGGGAGGATGTAAGTCTGAAGGATGCCACGAGACTGACAATAGGAGGAAACTTGGTTGTTAAAGAACTCACCACCTCCATCAGAGTGAAGACGGTGAACAGGGCGCCCAAAATGGGTGTTTGCCCGCTCGAGCCAGGCGATGATCGCAGCCGGGGCATCCGCCTTCGTCCGAAGGAGAGAGACGGATGAGTACCGACTGTGATCATCAACAAGCACGAGAAGGTAGCGATGGCCCTGGCGAGTGGGAGAGGGATTAGGGCCCCATAGGTCCATGTGAACAAGATCAAGTGGCTGCGCAACAGCGGAGGGGGAGCTCCGGTGCGGCTGCTGCTTGAGCTTGCTCTGAACGCAGACGGTGCATGAGCAGGCAAGTGAGTGAGGCACATGCATGGGAATGAGCTGGTGAGCTGTGCTGTTAGCATGGGCCAGCCTTAACGCGCATGGTCAGGCATAAAGCACGCCTGTATTCAGTGACCACACCAGTCGCGACATCACTACGCCCGATTAACCATTTGCTGCTCTTTCAAAACTGCTTCAGTGACCACACCAGTCGCAACATCACTACGCCCCACCAGGCGTTCGGGGTGAACCCAGTCTTCCTTCCGTCCTCCTCGCTATACAACGCCAATGCTGCTGCCAACACCTCCGCCTACACCAACGTAGGGATGAGCAAGTGGCGAACACGAACGTGTTCGTGTTCGCCCCTACACGAACACCTTCGTTTGCCGAACCGAACACTGTTCGGTTCGGCGAACACTTTGAGCAAAAAATGGTGTTCGCCGTTCGCCTGTGAAGGCGTGTTCGGGCGAACCTCGAACACTGTTCGTGTTCGTCGCGGGCAAATTGCAGCAGCGGCCCGAACACGAACGTGTTCGGGCGAACATCGAACACTGTTCGGCGAACATTTTAAGCCAAAAAAAAAACCTGTTCGGTTCGCCTCGAACGTGTTCGAGGCGAACCGAACAGGTGTTCGTTTTTTTGCTCAACCCTACACCAACGCTTCCTTTGCCAACCCCACCCTGCTCGTCTCCACTTCACCCCCAACCGGATGTGCAGGTTTCACTTCCAGGACTTGTGTGTGAGAGGCGAGTCATCCGAGGCTTTCGGGGTGAACCCAGTCTTCCTTCCGTCGTCCTCGCTGTACAACGCCAATGCTGCTGCCAACATGACCGCCTACACCAACGAAACATTTGCCAATCCCTTTGAGCTCAACGCCAAGGGGTTGCCATATGGCTTTCAGCAGCTGGTGAGACTCCCTCTCTGCTTTTGATCTTTGAGTTTTGGGCGCCTCACATTTCAACCTCGCTCCACTTTGCTAGTGCGGCTGCCAACGCCTGCCAACGTCTCCAGGAACAAGTCCTTTGCCAATCTTGCAGATTGTTTTTCAGAATTCTCAAAAACAATTTCAACCTCGCTCCACTTTGCTAGTGCGGCTGCCAACGCCTGCCAACGCCTGCAGGAACAAGTCCTTCGCCAATCTTTTTGAGCTCAATGCCAAGGGGTTTCCCTATTGCTTTCAGCAGCTAGTAAGACTCCAAGGCAGTAGCGCTCTGGCGTTGCTGTGAGGGTGTTGGTGCGACTCTGGCATGCTGCTGCCAATGCTCCCTCCAGCAACTGCTTCCCACTGGTATTTGATGTGAATCTGTAACCTTGTCCCCTGTTGTCTGTCCGCTCCCTGTCTCTCATGCAGCCTGGCAGCAGCCGCTTCCCGCTGGTGTTTGATGTGAATCTGGACAACGGGGCAGCAACACGGCGGCTGCAGTACCTGGTGGACGGGTTCTTCGTGGACAACTACACGCGCAGCATCGACGTTGTTCTTATCACTCGCAACGGTGAGGGGCAACGGTGGTGAGATGCGGTAATGAGGTGTGCTCATGACAATGGTGCATCCACACGGCGGCTGCAGTACCTGGTGGACGGGTTCTTCGTGGACAACAACACACGCAGCATCGACGTTGTTCTTATCACTCGCAACGGTGAGGGGCAACGGTGGTGAGATGCGGTAATGAGGTGTGCTCATGACAATGGTGCATCCACACGGCGGCTGCAGTACCTGGTGGACGGGTTCTTCGTGGACAACTACACGCGCAGCATCGACGTTGTTCTTATCACTCGCAACGGTGAGGGGCAACGGTGGTGAGATGCGGTAATGAGGTGTGCTCATGACAATGGTGCATTCACACGGCGGCTGCAGTACCTGGTGGACGGGTTCTTCGTGGACCACTACACACGCAGCATCGACGTTGTTCTTATCACTCGCAACGGTGAGGGGCAACGGTGGTGAGATGCGGTAATGAGGTGTGCTCATGACAATGGTGCATCCACACGGCGGCTGCAGTACCTGGTGGACGGGTTCTTCGTGGACAACTACACACGCAGCATCGACGTTGTTCTTATCACTCGCAACGGTGAGGGGCAACGGTGGTGAGATGCGGTAATGAGGTGTGCTCATGACAATGGTGCATCCACACGGCGGCTGCAGTACCTGGTGGACGGGTTCTTCGTGGACAACTACACACGCAGCATCGACATTGTTCTTATCACTCGCAATAGTGAGGGGCAACGGTGGTGAGATGCGGTAATGAGGTGTGCTCATGACAATGGTGCATCCACACGGCGGCTGCAGTACCTGGTGGACGGGTTCTTCGTGGACAACTACACGCGCAGCATCGACGTTGTTCTTATCACTCGCAACGGTGAGGGGCAACGGTGGTGAGATGCGGTAATGAGGTGTGCTCATGACAATGGTGCATCCACTCGGCGGCTGCAGTACCTGGTGGACGGGTTCTTCGTGGACAACTACACGCGCAGCATCGACGTTGTTCTTATCACTCGCAACGGTGAGGGGCAACGGTGGTGAGATGCGGTAATGAGGTGTGCTCATGACAATGGTGCATCCACTCGGCGGCTACAGTACCTCATGGACGGGTTCTTCGTGGACAACTACACGCGCAGCATCGACATTGTTCTTATCACTCGCAACGGTGAGGGGCAACAGTGGTGAGATGCGGTAATGAGGTGTGCTCATGACAATGGTGCATCCACTCGGCGGCTGCAGTACCTGGTGGACGGGTTCTTCGTGGACAACTACACACGCAGCATCGACGTTGTTCTTATCACTCGCAACGGTGAGGGGCAACGGTGGTGAGATGCGGTAATGAGGTGTGCTCATGACAATGGTGCATCCACACGGCGGCTGCAGTACCTGGTGGACGGGTTCTTCGTGGACAACTACACACGCAGCATCGACATTGTTCTTATCACTCGCAACAGTGAGGGGCAACGGTGGTGAGATGCGGTAATGAGGTGTGCTCATGACAATGGTGCATCCACACGGCGGCTGCAGTACCTGGTGGACGGGTTCTTCGTGGACAACTACACGCGCAGCATCGACGTTGTTCTTATCACTCGCAACGGTGAGGGGCAACGGTGGTGAGATGCGGTAATGAGGTGTGCTCATGACAATGGTGCATCCACTCGGCGGCTGCAGTACCTGGTGGACGGGTTCTTCGTGGACAACTACACGCGCAGCATCGACGTTGTTCTTATCACTCGCAACGGTGAGGGGCAACGGTGGTGAGATGCGGTAATGAGGTGTGCTCATGACAATGGTGCATCCACTCGGCGGCTACAGTACCTCATGGACGGGTTCTTCGTGGACAACTACACGCGCAGCATCGACATTGTTCTTATCACTCGCAACGGTGAGGGGCAACAGTGGTGAGATGCGGTAATGAGGTGTGCTCATGACAATGGTGCATCCACTCGGCGGCTGCAGTACCTGGTGGACGGGTTCTTCGTGGACAACTACACACGCAGCATTGACCTGGTTCTCATCACTCGTAATGGTGAGAGGCAACGGTGAGATGCGGTTATGAGGTGTGCACATGACAACCGGTGGGCCACGCGCCGGCTGCAGTACCTGGTGGATGGGTTCTTTGTGGACAACTTACACACGGAGCATTGATGTCGTGCTCATCACCCGTAATGGTGAGAGGCAGGGAGGAACAGTGAGAGGCAGGGAGGGGGGGCTGCTCCTTGACAATGGGGTGGCGGCTGCAGTGGATGGGTTCTTTGTGGACAACTACACACGCAGCATCGATGTCGTGCTCATGAGACGTCTCAAAACTCATCACTCGCAATGGTGAGACGCAGGGAGGGAGGGATGGAGGGAGCATATTCTCAAACTTCTTTGAGATGTCTCAGTATTCTCCTTCGACAACCTCTTTTCCTCTCCTCTCCCTTTCCCGATTACCCCTGTCCCTGTCACCTCATCCCTTCCTGTTGCCTCCCTTGCTGTCGCCCCCTCCAGCCAACAAGCAACTTTTCACCACCACCATCAACCATGTTCCTCATTTTCACTAAACCCATTTCCTCATCCCCTTGTACCCCCTCTTGCCCCGGCTTCTCTTGTCCCTGTTGCTCCCCTCCAGCCAATGAGCAACTGTTCACCGCCACCAAAGCCACCCTCTCCCTTCAGCCGGGCGGCAGCATGGACGCTACTTTCCTAATCCAGCCGGTCAACGTGGAATACTACGACCTGAATGTGACAAACAACGTGATACGGCTCGTCCTGGAGCTGCTGTTTGTGGCCGGCGTGGTTTGGAACGTAGTGGAGGAGGTGAAGGAGATGATGTGGATTTGGAAGGTGCAGCGAAGGTCCTTCTGGCATTACTGGCGGCAGGGGTGGAACTGGGTGGACTGGCTTTCGATCTCCGTCCAGATTCTCTGCATCTGCATGTGGTGAGTATACATGAGCATTTGACCCGGACGGGTCGGGTAACCCGACCCGACCCGCCCTTTAGGGCGGGTCGGGTCAGGAATGCTGAGAAGGCCGACCCGCCCGGGTCGGGTCGGGAAAACCCGGACAGGTCGGGTCGACCCGTGACCCGTCACTGTGATTTAGTGACGGGTTTTTGCGACCCGCCGGGTCGGGTTGACCCGTCCCGTCCGGGTCGCGTATGTTGTAATTTCATATTTCATACAACATACATAGGCTAGAAGTGTAGCACATTTATAAATTGGGGGGTTGCTTAGTGTACCCTCCAACCACATTTTGTGGTTGGTTGGGATTGGTCCTTAGCTCAACCAATCCCAACCAACACACATTTGTGGTTGCTTGGGTCACAAGCAAGCTCACCCAATGGCCAACTTATTGGCGAATAGGGTAAGCTTCCCTCTCATCTCTCTCTTGCTCATTGTTTGTACTAAAGAGCCTCTTGGCTCATTATTCAATGTATCAATTCTAGCTTTCCAACAGCGTACCCAGTCAAATGACAGGGTTACCCGACCCGTTTTCGGATTAGGGTAGGGGTTGAACATCGGTTGGTTTTTTAGGTTTTTTTTCCCTCGACATTCTGATCTAGTCGCTAGACTGAATCAAGGCTAGTACTTCTGCGCTGCAGCTAGGGAGCCTCATACAGTCTTCACTCTTCAATGTTTGCACTATTTAAACTGCGTATTATCTTCAGGTTAGGGTTTGGCGCTCCCGCCATTTCGCAGGGTTGCACGACCAGGGGCGCAGCAGCGCGCGTGTAGCCACGCATTGGCGGGATCGCGTCCCCGCAATAGCGCGATCTCGGCCCCGCGTTTGCTCAGCGCGATCACGGCCCCGCATTGGCGCGATCGCCGCCCCGCATATGCGCGATCGCGGCACCGCATTAGGACAGGGCGATCGCGGCCACCTTCAGCAGCGCGAAGGCGCCACCTTCAGCAGCGCGAAGGCGCCACCATCAGCAGCACGAAGGCGCCACCTTCAGCAGCGCGAATATAGTTGTAACATGTAGTTTACAATGTAGCAATTCAGACCTAACCCCCATACCCTGCTGCTATGTAGCATATTTTGATCCGACCCGACCTGACCCGTGGTGTAACCGACCCGGTAACGGGTCACAAATACCCGTTCCCACGGGGCGGGTCGGGTCACCAAAACAGAGTCAAACCCGACCCGCTAACCCGACCCGACCCGACCCGTTAAGCTTACGGGTCGCCCTCAACGGGACGGGTCGGGCCGGGTCGGGTCAAATGCCCATGCTTAGTGGTGAGTGGGGGAGTGTGATGTTGTGGCGTCATTAGTGTTGTGAAGTGAATGTGGAGTGAGTGTGAAGTGCGTGTGCAGTAAGTGTGCAGTGAGTGTGCGGTGAGCTTTACCATGCAAGCCCGCTACAACATATGCTATACTCTTGATGAGTACCCTTATTACTGGGCACTCCCTAACCCGCCCTCTTGCCCTCTGCCCTCTCAAGTGGTGCTTGTATTGATGTGCCCTGTCCCGCTCACTCTCCCCTGCACCATGCGCAGGATATCAATGGCAGTGCTATCCGGGCAGAGCTTCAATATGCAGGCACGCTACAACATCTACTACACTCTGGATGAGTACCCGCGCTACTGGGCCCTCCCCAACCCGCCCTCGGGGTACCTGGCTGCAGTGGCTGCTGCTGACAAACTGGGCAGTATTATCAACACGAGCTCAGCTTACTTCGCTCTGCAGGGCATGAAGTGAGTGCAGTGAAATGAAGGGCTTGCAATGAGCGGGTTGCAGTGAGTGACTTGCAGTGAGTGTTTTCCGGGTTTGCACTCTCTTTTCCCCCACCGCCTTTCCTGTACCCATGCGTCCCTCTCCATCCTTCCCTCCCCCATCTCTCCTACGCCCCAACCTCATCAGTGTGTTCATCATGGTGCTGCGAGTGCTCAAGCTGATGGACTTCCAGCCGCACATGGGCATCATCACTCGCTCCATCCGCGTCGCCCTCCCCTCCATCCTGCACTTCTTCCTACTCTCCCTGGCTGTCTTCCTAGCCTATGCCACCTATGCCTACCTCGTGTTCGGCATGACCATGGCACAGGTGAGTCGGACGTGTGTGTGCGGGGGGCGCATGCGTGGCGCCTTGTGTGGCAGGCTGGTGAGGGCTCTCCCCTCCATCCTGCACTTCTTCCTGCTCGCCCTAGCAGTCTTCCTCGCATATGCCACCTACGCCTACCTTGTGTTTGGCATGACCATGGCTCAGGTGCGTGCGTATGTGTGTTGTGTGTAGGTGTGGGCGGGCAAGCAGGCAGGAGGGGAGGCAGGCTGATGAGCCTTCTCCCCTCAATCTTGAACTTCTTCCTGCTCGCCCTCGCTGTCTTTCTTGCTGTCTTTCCCGGTATCCCGGTTTCCCGGTTTCCCGGTATCCCGGTATCCCCGTATCCCCGTATCCCGGTTTCCCGGTTTCCCGGTATCCCGGTTGCCCGGTATCCCGGTATCCCGGTATCCCGGTATCCCGGTTTCCCGGTTTCCCAGTTTCCCGGTATCCCGGTATCCCGATATCCCGGTATCCTGGTATCCCGGTTTTTGGGTATCCCCGTATCCCGGTTTCCCGGTATCCCAGTATCCTGGTATCCCGGTATCCCGGTTTCCCGGTTTCCCGGTATCCCGGTATCCCGGTATCCCGGTATCCCGGTCTCCCGGTTCCCCCGTATCCCGGTATCACGGTATCAAGGTATCCCGGTATCCCGGTATCCCGGTTTTCGGGTATCCCCGTATCCCGGTTTCCCGGTATCCCGGTATCCTGGTATCCCGGTATCCCGGTTTCCCGGTTTCCCGGTATCTCGGTATCCCGGTTTCCCGGTATCCCGGTATCCTGGTATCCCAGTATCCCGGTTTCCCGGTTTCCCGGTTTCCCGGTATCCCGGTATCCCGGTATCCCGGTATCCCAGTATCCCGGTTTCCCGGTTTCCTGGTCTCCCGGTATCCCGGTATCCTGATATCCCGGTATCCCGGTATCCCGGTTTTCGGGTATCCCCGTATCCCGGTTTCCCGGTATCCCGGTATCCTGGTATCCTGGTATCCCGGTTTCCCGGTTTCCCGGTATCCCGGTATCCCGGTATCCTGGTATCCTGGTATCCCGGTTTCCCGGTATCCTATCCCAATATCCCGGTATCCCGGTTTCCCGGTTTCCCGGTATCCCGGTTTCCCGGTATCCCGGTATCCCGGTTATCCCGGTATCCCGATTTCCCGGTTTCCCGGTATCCCGGTATCCCGGTATCCCGGTTTCCCGGTTTCCCGGTTTCCCGGTATCCAGGTATCCCGGTTTCCCGGTTTCCCGGTTTCCCGGTTTCCCGGTATCCCCATATCCCGGTATCCCGGTATCCCGGTTTCCCGGTTCCCGGTATCCCGGTATCCCGGTTTCCCGGTTTCCCGGTTCCCCCGTATCCCGGTATCCCGGTATCCCGGTATCCCGGTATCCCGGTTTCCCGGTATCCCGGTATCCCGGTATCCCGGTATCCCGATTTCCCGGTTTCCCGGTATCCCGGTATCCCGGTTTCCCGGTTTCCCGGTTTCCCGGTATCCAGGTATCCCGGTTTCCCAGTATCCAATCCCGGTATCCCGGTATCCCGGTATCCCGGTCTCCCGGTATCCCGGTCTCCCGGTCTCCCGGTCTCCCGGTATCCTGGTCTCCCGGTCTCCCGGTCTCCGGGTCTCCCGGTCTCCCGGTCTCCCGGTATCCCGGTATCCCGGTTTCCCGGTATCCCGGTATCCCGGTATCCCGGTATCCCGATTTCCCGGTTTCCCGGTATCCCGGTATCCCGGTATCCCGGTTTCCCGGTTTCCCGGTATCCCGGTATCCCGGTATCCCGGTTTCCCGGTATCCCGGTATCCCGGTTTCCCGGTATCCCGGTTTCCCGGTTGCCCGGTATCCCGGTATCCTGGTATCCCGGTATCCCGGTTTCCCGGTTTCCCGGTTTCCCAGTTTCTCGGTATCCCGGTATCCCAATATCCCGATCTCCCGGTATCCCGGTATCCCGGTTTTCGGGTATCCCCTTATCCCAGTTTGCCGATTTCCCGGTATCCCGGTATCCTGGTATCCCGGTATCCCGGTTTCCCGGTTTCCTGGTATCCCGGTATCCCGGTATCCCGGTTTCCCGGTTTCCCTGGTTCCCGGTATCCCGGTTTCCCGGTATCCAGGTATCCCGGTATCCCGGTTATCCCGGTATCCCGGTTTCCTGGTCTCCCGGTATCCCGGTATCCCGGTATCCCGGTATCCCGGTTTCACGGTTTCCCGGTTCCCCGGTTCCCGGTATCCTGGTATCCCGGTATCCCGGTTGTCAGACTTAGGTTTCCGCTATCCTGGTTTCCCGGTTTCCCGGTATCCCGGTTTCCAGGTTTCCCGGTATCCCGGTTTCCCGGTTTCCCGGTATCCCGGTATCCCGGTTTCCTGGTATCCTGGTATCCTTGTTTCCCGGTATCACGGTATCCCGGTATCTCGGTATCCCGGTATCCTGGTAGCCCGCTATCCCGGCTTTCCCGGTTTCCTGGTATCCCGGTATCCCGGTATCCCCGCATCCTGGTTTCCCAGTTTCCCGGTATCCCGGTTTCCCGGTATCCCGGTTTCCTGGTATCCCGTTTTCCCGGTTTCCCGGTATCCCGGTTTCCCGGTTTCCCGGTTTCCCGGTATCCCGGTTTCCCGGTTTCCCGGTTTCCCGGTATCCCTGTATCCCGGTTTCCCGGTTTCCTGGTATCCCGATTTCCCGGTTTCCCGATTTCCCGGTTTCCCGGTTTCCCGGTTTCCCAGTTTCCCGGTTGCCCGGTATCCCGGTATCCCGGTATCCCGGTTTCCCGGTTTCCCAGTTTCCCGGTATCCCGGTATCCCGATCTCCCGGTATCCCGGTATCCCGGTTTTCGGGTATCCCCGTATCCCGGTTTCCCGGTTGCCCGGTATCCCGGTATCCTGGTATCCCGGTTTCCCGGTTTCCCAGTTTCCCGGTATCCCGGTATCCCGGTTTCCCGGTATCCCGGTATCCCGGTATCCCGGTTTCCCGGTATCCCGGTATCCCGGTTTCCCGGTATCCCGGTTTCCCGGTATCCTTTCCCAATATCCCGGTATCCCGGTATCCCGGTATCCCGGTTTCCCGGGTTCCCGGTTTCCCGGATTCCCGGTATCCCGGGTTCCCAGTATCCTGATTTCCCGGTATCCCGGTATTCCGGTTATCCCGGTATCCCGGTTTCCTGGTTTCCCGGTTTCCCGGTATCCCGGTAACCCGGTTTCCCGGTATCCTGGTATCCCGGTTGTCAGACTCAAGTTTCCGCTATCCTGGTTTCCCGGTTTCCCGCTATCCCGGTTTCCCGGTTTCCCGGTGTCCCGGTTTCCCAGTTTCCCGGTATCCTGGTTTCCCGGTATCCCGGGATCCCGGTTTCCGGGTATCCCGGTATCCTTGTTTCCCGGTATCACGGTATCCCGGTATCACGGTATCCCGGTATCCCGGTATCCCGGTATCCCGGTATCCCGGTTTCCCGCTATCCCGGTTTCCCGGTTTCCCGGTGTCCCGGTTTCCCGGTTTCCTGGTATCCTGGTTTCCCGGTATCCCGGTATCCCGGTTTCCGGGTATCCCGGTATCCTTGTTTCCCGGTATCACGGTATCCCGGTATCACGGTATCCCGGTATCCCGGTATCCCGGTATCCTGGTTTCCCGGTATCCCGGCTTCCCGGTTTCCTGGTTTCCCGGTATCCCGGTATCCCGGTATCCCCGCATCCTGGTTTCCCGGTTTCCCGGTTTCCCGGTATCCCGGTTTCCCGGTATCCCGGTTTCCCGGTTACCCGGTATCCCGGTTTCCCGGTTTCCCGGTTTCCCGGTTTCCTGGTTTCCCGGTATCCTGGTATCCCGGTTTCCCGGTATCCCGGTATCCTGGTATCCTTGTTTTCCCGTATCCCGGTATACCGGTTTCCCAGTTTCCCGGTATCCCGGTTTTCGGTATCCCGGTATCCCGGTATCCCAGTTCCCGGTATCCCAGTATCCCGGAATTTCCCGGTTCCCGGTTTCCCGGTATCCTTGTATCCCGGTCCCCAGTCTCCCGGTCTCCGGGTCTCCCGGTCTCCCGGTCCCCCGGTATCCCGGTATTCCGGTATCACGGTTTCCCGGTATCCCGGTATCCCGGTATCCCGGTATCCCGATTTCCCGGTTTCCCGGTATCCCGGTATCCCGGTATCCCGATTTCCCGGTTTCCCGGTATCCCGGTATCCCGGTTTCCCGGTTTCCCGGTTTCCCGGTATCCCAGTATCCCGGTATCCCGGTTTCCCGGTATCCCGGTATCCCGGTTTCCCGGTTTCCTGGTTTTCCGGTTGCCCGGTATCCCGGTATCCCAGTATCCCGGTATCCCGGTTTCCCGGTTTCCCGGTTTCCCAGTTTCTCGGTATCCCGGTATCCCGGTATCCCGGTATCCCGGTTTTCGGGTATCCCTGTATCCCGGTTTCCCGGTTTCCCGGTATCCCGGTATCCTGGTATCCCGGTATCCCGGTTTCCCGGTTTCCCGGTATCCCTGTATCCCGGTTTCCCGGTTTTCCGGTTTCCCGGTATCCCGGTATCCCGGTTTCCCGGTATCCCGGTTTCCCGGTTACCATCCTCATTGTAACCTACATCAATTCTATAAGCGTAGGTTCGAGACAGCCACCCAAACTTAGTTTGGGTGTAGAACCAGGGCCAACCCTAGTTGGGGGTTTGAACTCAAACCTTGACCCCCAAGGTTGGGGTGGGAATTATTGGTCCCCCCAATTATGTTGAACCACTTGGTCAACATTATTGGTCCCCCCAATAATCCCTCAACCCAACGTATTGGTGGGGGCCAATAATGTTGGTTTCCCGGTATCCCGGTATCCCAGGTATCCCGGTATCCGGGCTTCCCGGTTTCCCGGTTTCCCGGTATCCCGGTATCCCGGTATCCCCGCATCCCGGTTTCCCGGTTTCCCGGTTTCCCAGTTTCCCGGTTTCCCGGAATCCCGGTTTCCCGGTATCCCGGTTTCCTGGTATCCCGGTTTCCCGGTATCCCGGTTTCCTGGTTTCCCGGTTTCCCGGTTTCCCGATTTCCCGGTTTCCCGGTTTCCCGGTTTCCCGGTATCCCGGTTTCCAGGTATCCCGGTTTCCCGGTTTCCCGGTATCCCGGTTTCCTGGTTTCCCGGTTTCCCGGTTTCCCGATTTCCCGGTTTCCCGGTTTCCCGGTTTCCCGGTATCCCGGTTTCCAGGTATCCCGGTTTCCTGGTATCCCTGTATCCCGGTTTCCCGGTTTCCCGGTATCCCGGTTTCCCGGTATCCCGGTTTCCCGGTTACCCGGTATCCCGGTTTCCCGGTTTCCCGGTTTCCCGGTTTCCTGGTTTCCCGGTATCCTGGTATCCTGGTTTCCCGGTATCCCGGTATCCTGGTATCCTTGTTTTCCCGTATCCCGGTATACCGGTTTCCCAATTTCCCGGTATCCCGGTTTTCGGTATCCCGGTATCCCGGTATCCCAGTTCCCGGTATCCCAGTATCCCAGTTTTCCCGGTTCCCGGTTTCCCGGTATCCTTGTATCCCGGTCCCCAGTCTCCCGGTCTCCGGGTCTCCCGGTCTCCCGGTCCCCCGGTATCCCGGTATTCCGGTATCCCGGTTTCCCGGTATCCCGGTATCCCGGTATCCCGGTATCCCGATTTCCCGGTTTCCCGGTATCCCGGTATCCCGGTTTCCCGGTTTCCTGGTATCCCAGTATCCCGGTATCCCGGTTTCCCGGTATCCCGGTATCCCGGTTTCCCGGTTTCCTGGTTTTCCGGTTGCCCGGTATCCCGGTATCCCGGTATCCCGGTATCCCGGTTTCCCGGTTTCCCGGTTTCCCAGTTTCCCGGTTTCCCGGAATCCCGGTTTCCCGGTATCCCGGTTTCCTGGTATCCCGGTTTCCCGGTATCCCGGTATCCCGGTTTCCTGGTTTCCCGGTTTCCCGGTTTCCCGATTTCCCGGTTTCCCGGTTTCCCGGTTTCCCGGTATCCCGGTTTCCAGGTATCCCGGTTTCCCGGTTTCCCGGTATCCCGGTTTCCTGGTTTCCCGGTTTCCCGGTTTCCCGATTTCCCGGTTTCCCGGTTTCCCGGTTTCCCGGTATCCCGGTTTCCAGGTATCCCGGTTTCCTGGTATCCCTGTATCCCGGTTTCCCGGTTTCCCGGTATCCCGGTTTCCCGGTATCCCGGTTTCCCGGTTACCCGGTATCCCGGTTTCCCGGTTTCCCGGTTTCCCGGTTTCCTGGTTTCCCGGTATCCTGGTATCCTGGTTTCCCGGTATCCCGGTATCCTGGTATCCTTGTTTTCCCGTATCCCGGTATACCGGTTTCCCAATTTCCCGGTATCCCGGTTTTCGGTATCCCGGTATCCCGGTATCCCAGTTCCCGGTATCCCAGTATCCCAGTTTTCCCGGTTCCCGGTTTCCCGGTATCCTTGTATCCCGGTCCCCAGTCTCCCGGTCTCCGGGTCTCCCGGTCTCCCGGTCCCCCGGTATCCCGGTATTCCGGTATCCCGGTTTCCCGGTATCCCGGTATCCCGGTATCCCGGTATCCCGATTTCCCGGTTTCCCGGTATCCCGGTATCCCGGTTTCCCGGTTTCCTGGTATCCCAGTATCCCGGTATCCCGGTTTCCCGGTATCCCGGTATCCCGGTTTCCCGGTTTCCTGGTTTTCCGGTTGCCCGGTATCCCGGTATCCCGGTATCCCGGTATCCCGGTTTCCCGGTTTCCCGGTTTCCCAGTTTCTCGGTATCCCGGTATCCCGGTATCCCTGTATCCCGGTTTTCGGGTATCCCGGTATCCCGGTATCCTGGTATCCCGGTATCCCGGTTTCCCGGTTTCCCGGTATCCCTGTATCCCGGTTTCCCGGTTTTCCGGTTTCCCGGTATCCCGGTATCCCGGTTTCCCGGTATCCCGGTTTCCCGGTTACCATCCTCATTGTAACCTACATCAATTCTATAAGCTTAGGATAGAGATAGCCACCCAAACTTAGTTTGAGTGTAGAACCAGGGCCAACCCTAGTTGGGGGTTTGAACTCAAACCTTGACCCCCAAGGTTGGGGTGGGAATTATTGGTCCCCCCAATTATGTTGAACCACTTGGTCAACATTATTGGTCCCCCCAATAATCCCTCAACCCAACGTATTGGTGGGGGCCAATAATGTTGGTTTCCCGGTATCCCGGTATCCCAGGTATCCCGGTATCCCGGCTTCCCGGTTTCCCGGTTTCCCGGTATCCCGGTATCCCGGTATCCCCGCATCCCGGTTTCCCGGTTTCCCGGTTTCCCAGTTTCCCGGTTTCCCGGAATCCCGGTTTCCCGGTATCCCGGTTTCCTGGTATCCCGGTTTCCCGGTATCCCGGTATCCCGGTTTCCTGGTTTCCCGGTTTCCCGGTTTCCCGATTTCCCGGTTTCCCGGTTTCCCGGTTTCCCGGTATCCCGGTTTCCAGGTATCCCGGTTTCCCGGTATCCTGGTATCCCGGTTTCCTGGTATCCCTGTATCTCGGTTTCCCGGTTTCCCGGTATCCTGGTTTCCCGGTTTCCCGGTATCCCGGTTTCCCGGTATCCCGGTTTTTCGATATCCCGGTTTCCCGGTTTTCCGGGTTCCCAACAGTGTGCAGGTTTCTTCCATGTATCATGCCCTCCCCCCCTCGCTCCACCCCTCTCTTCCTGTTCAGCACCCTGTGGGGAGCCATGCAGACCTGCGTGCAGAGTTTCTTTCAGCACATGGAGAGCTGGCAGTACGTCCGTCCCACACCATCACATGCAGATGTATCACTCCTACCTCTCTTTCCCTCCCTCCTCCACCCTCTCCCCCTCTCTCTATAACAGTTCAGCACCCTGTGGGGTGCCATGCAAACCTGCTTCCTCATTATCCTCAACGACAACAGTGTGCAGTACTTTTTTCAGCACATGGAGAGCTGGCAATACGTCGCGGCGATGATCTTCTGGTTCTCCTTCGTCATCATCTTCTTCTTTGTGCTCTTCAACTTCCTCATCGCCATCATTGTTGATGCGTTCATGGATGTGAAGGTGAGTGAGTCAGCGCCAGTCAACGCCAGTCAATGCCAGTCAACGCCAGTCAATGGTAGTCAAACGTTAGTCAGCACAAGTCAATTGTGGTCAATGCCAGTCAACGCAAGCATTGGAGTGCTCCTCAATGTTGTCACGCTGCCTGTACTATCTTCACCTTCCCTCCCTCCCTCCTTCTCGCCCGCTTCCCACTTGCTCGTTTCGGCAGGATGCAGCAGAGAGTGCATCAGCGATATACGAGGACATGTACCTCATCGTTTTGCGGTTCCTCCCCGTCCCTCTCTCCCTCTCTCCTTCCCTTCCTCCCTCTTTCCCTCCCTCTCTCCCTCCCTCCCATGCCCACTTGCTCGTTTTGTCAGGACGCAGCAGAGAGTGCATCGGCAATATACGAGGACATGTACCTCATCGTGCTGCGCTTCTTCCGCCGTGTTGCAACGCCTTATAGCGAGTACAGCCGCCTGCTGCGGCACCTCATTCGCCTGGGAGCAGTGGACACAGCCCATACGGTCATGGAGGTGAGTGTGAGCGAGGGCAGTTGGCAGAGGGGAAAAGGGTGAGTGAGATGAGCTGGCAGGAGGGCGTATAGGCGTGTGTGAGACATACTTAAAGAGGCGATCGGCTCTCTCTCCTTTTGTGCCAACCTCAATCGCTTAGGAGCAGTGGACACTGCTCACACGGTCATGGACGTGGGTGTGAGTGAGGGCACCTGGCATGTGCTTTCTTTTGTTCACTGAGTCGCCTCTTGTGAATCAACTGATTCGCCTGGGAGCAGTCGACACTGCCCAGACGGTCATGGGTCATGGAGGTGGGTGTGAGTGAGGGCAGCGGGCAGGAGAGTGAGTGAGGCATGTGCAGTGCTCTCTCGATTTGGCAATGGGTTCTCTGCAGTGCCCACATAATTTGCCTTTGTTTTCCTTCCTTTCTTCAGAAGAGCCTGTGACAGTCGACACAGCAGAGCCTTGCGAGGAGACGTTGCCACCGCAGGGCAAGGGAAGGCGGCCCCAACTCCTGTACTGTCATTACCTCCGGATGAATCCCCTAACTCCATGCTCTGTCCCTTTTTTCTATTGGCTTCATCTTTTCAGAAAAGCCTGTGGCAATCGGCACAGCAGAGCCTTGCTAGGAGCCTTCGGCACAGCCCAGCAAGGGAAGGGGGCAGCAAGCATGTGAGCAGTGGTGGGGCAAATGGCAACAGCAGCGGCGGCAGTGACAGTAGGGCAAGTGATAGGGGCAGCAAGAATGGCAGTATGGGCAGCAGGGGCTGCAGCAGGGAGGGCATGAAGGAATTAGTAGTGGAGGATGGTGTGGATGATAGTGGGTCAAGGAGAGGTGGGTTGGAGGATGGGCGACGAGGGGGAGCAGAAGTTGCGGAGGAGGGGAAGTTGGGGACGGAAGAGAGAGAAGCTCTGGTAAGGGTGCAGCGGCAGGGGATGATTGATGGTAAAGCGGTCATGATGAGGGTGCAAGGGCGGGGGATGTTGGGATTGGGAGGGATGGTGGATGCAGCTTCTGGCGCGCCTCATAGGCTGCAAGGGGCAGGAGCTGAAGCTTCCAGAATGGACACAATCTCTGAGGCGCCTCAACGGCTGGAAGGGGGAGGGGCTAAAGGTCGGATCAGAATGCAAGACGAGGGGATGGAAGAAGCAGAGAGAATTCAACCAGGCGTGAGTGAGAGAGACGAGGGGGATGAGGGTCTTAGGAGTGGCACGGAGGTAGTGAGAGATGGTGGGAGTAAGTTCTCGGGAGTGTCTGCTGCCAGATCTGCTGCTGAAGGTACGGAGAGCAGCAAAGGAAGCAGCGGCAGCGGCAGCAGCACCATGGAAGCGGGTAGCAGCACCATGGAAGCGGGCAGCAGCACCATGGAAGCGGGCAGCAGCACCATGGAAGCGGGCAGCAGCACCATGGAAGCGGGCAGCAGCACCATGGAAGCGGGCAGCAGCACCATGGAAGCGGGCAGCAGCACCATGGAAGTGGGCAGCAGCAGCAATAGCAGCGGCGGCAGCAATAGCAGCACGTTGGGGACAAGCAGCAGCAGTGGCAGCAGAAGGGGGAGTGCGGGGGTGCGGAGCAGGGACGAGGTGCCGCACTCCAGAGGGGGGAGTGCCATGGTGCGGTCGCTCCGAAGGCGAGTAAGCTTCTGGCGGGAGGACTCACTGGAGGAGCGGCAGCGGGTGGTGGCTGTCGGGGGCAGGCACCTCAACGCCCTCTCGCTCTCTGCTATTCTGCAACGCGCGCTAGCCAGAAAGGTGTGTTGGTGGGATGGTGCAGGACGGTGGGTTGTGGATTGTCGAATGCATTACAGTAGTTCCTTCGTCAGGAAATGTACAAAACATTATAAAAAAATCACGCGCGCACACACACACTCACTCACTCACTCACTCACTCACTCACACACACACTCACTCTCTCACTCACTCACTCACTCACTCACTCACACACACACACACACACACACACACACACACACACACACTTTACCAGGAGCCAGGATGGTCAATGATGGGGTGAGGCCCTTATCCCCCTCTGCTCAACCCTCTGCACGTACCCCTCTGCGCCCCACCCAACCCAACAGCTGCGCTCGGTCCCTCCCCGCTACACCCACCACCTAGAATCCATCGACCTGCCAGCACTCGTCAAGATCTCTTGCTCAGGGGCAAGAAAGAGCCTGTTAGACTCACAACTCTCTTCACATCTCTCAACCCCACACAACCCCACCCCACCCCACCCAACAGCTGCGCTCTGTCCCTCCTCGCTACACCCACCACCTGGAATCCATCGACCTCCCTGCACTCGTCAAAGTCCTTCTCTCAGAGACAGGAGAGAATCTGTCACGCTCCGACCTCATGGCTCGTGCAAGCTCAGCTGTGGCCATGTCTCGGCAAAAGCGAGACATACTGGCATTGCAAGAGCAAATGGGAGCCCTCCAAACAGACCTGACTCAGAGGTTTGACGAGCTCGAACGTGGGATTATGGATCGGTTACCGAACCAAGGTCATGAGAAGGCGGGTCGTGAGGTTTGGACGGAGCAGGTGCGGCGAGAGGTGGATGCTGCTCGGGAGGAGGCTCGGCGGGAGGCCTGGGAGCAGGCACGACAGGAGGTTGAGGAGGCTCGGCGTGAGGCACGAGAGGCTCGGGAGGAAGCTCGGAGGGAGCGGGAAGGGTTTGGGGAGATGCTGAGGGAGTTGAAGAGGGAGATGCAACTGCTTCGGGTGGTGGGGGAGAGGAGAGAGAAGGGACGAGGGGACAAGAGAGGGGACGGGAGAGGGGAGGAGAGAGGGGAGGAGGGAGGAGGGAATGTGGAAGTGGGACCTTAACTCCTCCTATAGCTCAAAGGAGGTACAACCCTGTAGCAGGGTTTTGCTGAAGCAATTTCAGGAGTATGTGTGATGTGTGCAGATGTTGTGACATAATTTCTCAGCGAGAGGTTGCTGTGCCATGTTGCTTGCTGTACCATGTACTACTGAGCGCAAACTCATTTCAAGTCTATTTCACCCACCCCCACATCCTCGTTACAACATGTCCAGGAATCTTATACGTATTTCTTGCCGTGGGCTTAGTATTTCGAGCAATCCACGCCCACTGCACCTCAGCAACATCTAGACAGGTAACAACTCTACACCTCTTAGCATTTCAATTCCCCACAATACCCCTCAGCACCGACATTTCAGGACCGGAAACACAATATTGTCACCGTATTCAAAGTGATATGAAATCAGGTATAGCTGCAATCCTGTCAAATCCTTGTCTAATCCGCAGACATGTTCACCCAACATCAATGGCTAAATGACATTCCGGGAATCAAAGGCCAACTAGGAGGCTTCACAGCGCTAACCAATGACGAGACGACCAGCCAAAGCAACCAGCGCTGCAGGAAAGCAATTAGAGCTGCAGCAAACGCTATTAGCGCTGCTGCAAGCAATTAGTAGCGCTGCAGGAAAGCAATTAGCCCCGCGTCAGACCAGTTAGCACTGCACCAAAGCAGACAGCCTTGCAGCAAGGCAAGGCGTCCGGCAGGCAAGCAGAGTGAATGGCCACCTCTAGACGCAGAGGTAGCCAACGCAGTTGACAAAGTTCATGATACACTGCAGACCGGTGCAGCGCCAGTCATTGGGACAGAGGACCGGCGAGGCAGAGCCGCATACGGTGTCTGCACACACACACACAGGCGCAGGTGGGCCACAAGGAGGGAGAGAGAAGAGAGGGGGAGGGAGAGAGAGAGAGAGAGAGAGAGAGAGAGAGAGAGAGAGAGAGAGAGAGAGAGAGAGAGAGAGAGAGAGTAAGAAACCGAAGGCAGTACTGAGATGGCAGCGTTAGTCAGTGCCACACACAATGTCTGCACGCACACACACAGGCACAGGTGGGCAGGTGGGCAGGGCACAAGGAGACAGTGAGAGGGAGGAGACAGTGAGAGGGAGGAGACAGTGAGAGGGAGGAGACAGTGAGTGGGAGGAGACAGTGAGTGGGAGGAGACAGTGAGTTGCAACTGAAGGAAAGGAAGTGCTGAACATGACAACAGGACCAGCCTCAGGTGCACCAGCGTCAGCAGCATCTCAGCTCCCCCCACTCCTCCCCGGCCTGTCTCTCTGAGCACACTGCACTTACTGACGCAAGTAAAGGGCAGCGTGGCAGTGCTGACGACATTAGGCGTGCCAGCAGCAAAGGATACGGAAGCGTTTTTCGATTTTTGAGATGACTCAAAAGTGACCACTTACTGACGCAAGTAAAGGGCAGTGTGGCAGCGCCGACAGCATTAGGCGTGCCAGCAGCAAAGGGCACAGAGGCGTTGACGGTGCAGACGCCGCGGCCGTAGCACAGCATGCCCTGCCCCATGCTGGCCTCGCAGAAATTGCACCCTGTCGCGCGCTGCGCTGTGCCCATGGTGGTGCACCCAGTGACGGCCTTAAAGCAATTGTTGCTGGCGCCGCATGAGGTGGCGGTGTTGGCCGGGAAGGAGCCCGAGAGGAAGTTGAATCTCACGTCGATGTCCTTGAGCGCTGCTGACACCGGCGGCACGCGGTATGTCAGGTAGTTGTAGGACAGGCCTCTGGTGCGAGCAGGACGAGAGGGGGGTTTAAAGGTGGGGGTGGGTAGAGGGGAAAGGAGAGAAGAGTAATGTCAGGTAGTTGTAGGACAGGCCGCTGGCGCGAGCAGGACGAGAGGGGAGTGGGGTGGGAATGAGCGGAGGGAGAGAGGATGAAGGTTGGAGGAGAGAGGATGGATAGAGGCGCAGATATGCTGCGCTATTTTAATGGCTTGAGACTTTATGCATAAATGACCCGTTTGGTTGAAACCAGGTAAGAAAAAGAAGCAGGGAAGCGAAGCGCAATGGGGGGGTGGTGGTTGGAGAGTGACTGACAGGCGTGTGAGCTTGGGCATGCCGATGACTGCAGGAGGCAGACTGCCAAAGAACCAGTTGAAGTCCAGCAGGCTGCAGGAGACTCACACACAGACACAGACACATGCAGGTGGCACACACAACGGAAACCGGAAGAAGGGCAGGAGTTTTGAGGCGCCTCAAAAGAAGGAGATGGACAGTGGGTATGTCGAGAAGACTAGATGTGGTGTGGGGTGTGGGGGCTAAGTTCGCAGACCAAGTGGTGCTGTGCGGTGTAGAGAATTCTCAAAAACACCCTGCACCTTCACGGATAGTGTGAATGTGCCAGGAAGACAAGATGTGGTGTGGCAGGGATAGCAGGCAAAGAAAGTAGTGCTATGGGCACCACCAAGGTGACTTTTGAGTCATCTAAAAAGTCACTGGGTTAGCTGGCAAAGCAAATGGTGCTATGGGCACCACCAAGGTGACTTTTGAGTCATCTCAAAAGTCACTGGGTTAGCTGGCAAAGCAAGTGGTGCTATGGGCACCACCAATGCCAACCAACCAATCCACAGCAGCGATGCGCGATGGGCTGAGTAGAGGCAGAGCAACCAATGAACAGCAATGCGCCTGCCTGTCGGGGAGTGACTTTTGAGAATTCTCAAAAGCAACCAATGAACAGCAATGCGCCTGCCTGTCGGGGAGTGACTTTTGAGAATTCTCAAAAGCAACCAATGAACAGCAATGCGCCTGCCTGTCGGGGAGTGACTTTTGAGAATTCTCAAAAGCAACCAATGAACAGCAATGCGCCTGCCTGTCGGGGAGTGACTTTTGAGAATTCTCAAAAGCAACCAATGAACAGCAATGCGCCTGCCTGTCGGGGTAGGATGGCGACTCACAGCACTGCGAGGTTGGGCAGTGCAGGAATTCTGCTCGAGAACTCGTCCAGACGCGCCCTGAAGAGGTTCGACTTGAGCGAGCTGCAGCAAACAGGCGTGGAGGGGGGAGGGAGAGAATGAAAGTGGATGAGACGAGAGTAGGGGGTGGCGAGGCAATCTGATGAACCAACTTGTCCAGGCGCGCCCTGAAGAGGTTCGACTTGAGCGAGCTGCAGCAAACACACACAGTGGCACACACGGGGAGGAGGGGGGAAGGGAGAGGAGGTGGAAAAGGAGGGCGGGACTGGAAGGTATTTGAGAGTAGGTTGGCATCTGGAGAAGCTGTGGCCCTGGGCGAGAAGCTGTGGATGGCTAGACTGGAGGAGAGACAAGTGAGCATGCGAGTGCTCGTGCAAGTGCAAGCAATGATTGTTCTTGCATGGATGTGAGTGCAAGAAGGCAACTTGTGTGCTTGAATGTGTGAGAGTCTTTAGGCACAATTCGTGCTTGCATGAATGTGAGTGCTTACAAGACTGTACATGCTTACAGGAATGTGAGTGCAGTGAGCTTGGTGATGTCAGCATGCAGAATGCCAAACAGCTTCTGACTGTCCAGGGTGCTGTAAAAGGTGAGGCAGGCGTGGGGTTGATGTGGGAAGGTGGGTGGGAGCAAGTGGAGAGAGTGAAGGGGAATAAGGATGGTGGAATAAGGATGGGGAAACTGATAAGGGGAGGGGGGGGGAAGGGGTGGGGGGAGGGTGAGGTGAGAATGACAAACGCGAAGTCAAACACACACGAGTGTTTGAATGAGAATTCCCTTGCTTCTCTCGCTTCCCTCCTCTCCACTCCTATGCTCCCCATTCGGTAGGCAATTGTGGAAAATCGAGCCTTTGGAATGACCCCCCCCACCCTCTGATGCTCCTCATCTCCCCACTTCTCCTCCTCTGGCGCACCTAAGAAAGGGGCCTAAAGAATGATAATGAGGCGCTTTAAAAATGATAATTCAGCGCCTCAGAAATTGACTAAATCTCACTTCTTGATGGGGTTGCTGAGGGAGTCCCACTCAACACCAGTGAGGTCGCCACAACTTCTAAGGGACCTCGAAAAGGCACCTAGGCACCTTGAAAAGGCACCTTTTAATTGAGGTGCCTCAGGAATCGACTAAAGCTCACATCTTGACGGGGTTGCCAAGGGAGTCGCACTCAACACCCGTGAAGCCGCCGCCCCCTGAGCTGCCGACAGCAGTGCAGGAGGCTGAGGCTGCCCAGTTGGTGTACGTCACTCCCAACGCTGTCTTGATGTTCATCAGTGCCGATGCTGGTGGCGGGGGCGGTGGAGGGGGTGGGGGTTGGGGTGCATGGAGGGAAAGGGGCACGTGGCAGCAGCGGTGAGAGGCATGGGCATGCGCAGGCAGCAGTGCAGGAGGATGAAGGCGCCCAGCTGGTGTACGTCACTCCCGGCGCCATCTTGATGTTCATCAGCGCCGATGCTGGTGGAAAAGGGCACAGGGGCACACGGACAGCAGGGGTGAGACACATGGGCATGCGCCGAATACTAAAAAATCAAGCTGCCGACAGCAGTGCAGGAGGAGGAGGCTGCCCAGCTGGTGTACGTCACTCCCAGCGCCGTCTTGATGTTCATCAGTGCCGATGCTGGTGGCGGGGGCGGTGGAGCACACGGGCAGGTGTGATGAGAGGCATGGGCAAGCACATGGAGTGGGGGGGCATGAGAGATGATGCACAGGCATGCGTATGGGCAGCAGCAGCAGCAGTGAGACGCATGGGCAAGCACACGGGCAGCAGTGGTGAATCGCATGGACTTGGGACAGCAGGTGCATGGTGGCAGCAGCAGCATGAGGCACAGCCACAGACGTACCTGCAGTGGCGTCAGTGGTGACGGGCGGAACAGGCGGGCAGGTGAGCGGCAGCACAGGAGTGCTGGTCGTTGGGAAGGAAGTAGCAGCCTTCACAGCTGCCGGGTCTGGCTGGCAGGCCACAATCCCACCGCACAACGTGCCCGTTCCATCCGCGCTGTTACAAATGGCACAGGACGGCCGCTGCGTGATGCCCTGGTTGTTGTTGTTCTTGCACGGCGTGGGGTCGATGAAGCAGTTGGCGCGCGCCGTGCAGAAGTACCAGTTGGCAGTGGAGGGGAATTTGCCGGTGAGCCAGTTGTTCTCCAGATCCAGCACCTGCAGGGTTGATGTTCCCAGCACCGGCACCGACCCTGTCAGGTAGTTCCACCCCACGCTCCTGCTCACACACGCACGCACGCACACGCACACACGCACACGCACACACAATTTTTGAGATTGCTGAAAAACCTGCAGAGCTGTGTCCAGCACTGGCACCGACCGGGTCTGGTAGTTCCACCCCACGCTCCTGCATTCGCCGAATGCACACACACGCATGCAGCATGGGGGAACGGGGTGGGAGAGGGGTGCAAAAGAGCCAGCTGGCGAGTTAAAGTAATTCTACTCCCAACTCCAAATCCCAGCACCGGCAGCGACCCTGTCAGGTAGTTCTACCCCACGCTCCTGCTCGCACCACATGTGCGCACACGCCACACACACGCATGCACACACGCGCACGCGCAGCACGTGGGGACGGGGTGGGATATGGGTGGGTGTGGTTTCATGGTGCATCCCATCCCACAGCAAGGCAGAACAGAGGGCATGCAGAGGGGAGAGCGAGTGCAGGGAATTTGGACAGGGTGGTTGCGGGGGAGAGGTTGAGGGCGCTCACAGCATCAAAGGAAAGATGGAATTAGGGAAGGGCAGTTGAGTGGGGGGAGGTGGAGGGTACTCACAGCATGTGGATGCTCTTGATGGCGGAGATGGTGGAGGGGATATTTAGGGGGCTCATAGCATGTGAGACAAGCTGGTGTGACTTTTGAGAATCTTCGAAAGACAGGGTGCTTGTGGGGGGAGGGTCTGAGGTGGAGTGGAGGGTACTCACAGCATGTATAGGCCCTTGATGGAGGAGATGGTGGAGGGGAGGGAGCCCGAGAAGAAGTTGTAACTCATCACGCTGCACCACGGCATGGCACACAGGAGGTGGGTGGGGAGGGAGGGGATTTCTGAGGAGCCAAAAAATCAACTCAATGTAACTCATCACCCTGCGCCGCGGCTCGCAGGAGGTGGGTGGGGAGGGAGGGGATTTCTGAGGCGCCTCAAAAATCAACTCAATGTAACTCATCACCCTACGCTGCGGCTCGCAGGAGGTGGGTGGGGAAGGAGGGAGAGGATTTCTGAGGGGCCTCAAAAATCAACTCAATGTAACTCATCACCCTGCGCCGCGGCTCACAGGAGGTGGGGAGGGAGGGAGGGGGAGAGAGGGGGGATGCGGCATATTACGGACGAGCAGAGACAGGCGGGACGAGGGCGCAGAGAACAGCGACGAACAAGGATTGCAGGAGCGAGCGGGAGAAGAGAGAACGGGGGCAGGGTGGAGCGCGTACAGGTATTTCAGCGCGGTGAGGCCGGTGAGCGGCGTGATGAAGGGGTCCAGCCGGCCCGACAGGAAGTTGCTCGACATGTCCCTGTAGGGGGGCACGGAGCAGGGCAGAGACAGGAAGGAAGTTGATCAACATGCCCCTGCGGGAATGAGGAGCGCGATGAAAGGGGTCCAGCAGGCCCGGCAGGAAGTTGCTCGACATGCCCCTGTAGGGAGACAGCAGGGAAGGGGGCGGTTTGGAAGTGGGGAATGACTTTTTAGTTGGATGAAAACCAGCGAGATTAAAGGGTCCAATGGGCCCGACAAAAAGTTGCCTGAATTGTCCCTGCAGAGGGCACGGAGTGACAGGCAGGAAGTTGCTTGACGGGAATGAGTGGCGGAGATGAGCTGCGGGCAGGTATACCCGGCAGGAGGGAGCGAGCGGCACTGACAGGGCAGTGAGGGGGGGCTGTGAGCTGAATGTTATTCGACTAAAGCATCGTCTCCTTGCTGACAGGGCGGTGAGGGCGGTGAGCTTGGAGATGTCGGGGTGCATGGTGCCACGCATGAAGCGCTGCTTTGAAAAGTTTCTTTTGAGAATTCTTTACTGAGAACTCTGAAAAGTGACTCAATTATAGACGATGGGAGCAGGCGAGAGGGCGCTGACACGACAGTGAGGGCTGGAAACATGGAAACGGAGGGGTGCATGGTGCCACCATGGTAGAAAAAACGGTTCGAGCCGCAGCAAGCCGTGGGTCTCCACAAAAACCTCATCTAGAGAATAATGGGTGCACTGACAGGGCGGTGAGACCGGTGAACTTGGAGATGTCGGAGTGCATGGTGCCATGCATGGTAGATACAAGGGCTTGGTTCGGACCCCTGCAAGCCATGGGTCTCCACAAGAGTCTCAATTAATTAGTGATGGGTGGGTGGACCGACAAGGCGGAGAGGGGACTGACAGGGCGGTGAGGGCGGTGAACTTGGAGATGTCGGGGTGCATGGTGCCACGCAGGAAGCGCTGCTTGAGGAAGATGTCGACCACGCCGCCCTGTATGTTGCAGTTGACTGCCGACATGTCCTGCGGGCCCCTGTAGATGCCCGTCACCGTGCACAGCGTCTGCACGCCCCACCCTTGGTGCGGCACTCCCAGCGCTGTTTTCAGGTTTGCCAGAATCGGCACTGCGGGGAGTGGGGACGCAAGGAGGCGCGCAGGGGGATCCAGGGGGGTGAAGAGGCCGAGAGGGAGAGTGGGTGAGCGGGAGCGGAACGCAGAGGTGGCAGAGTGTATGGCACATGGGAGAGGGAGGAGGGTGTGTGAGCAGCAGAGCAAGCAGAGGGAGGAGGCAAAAGGAGGAGGCAGAGGGAGGAGGCAGAGGGAGGAGGCAGTGGGAGGAGGCAGAGGGACTCACGGGCAGCAGAGCAGGCTAAAGGAGCAGGGCAAGGGAGCAGGGTGAAGGAGGGGGAAGAGCAACGCACGGGCAGCAGGGTCGACGCGAACGCCAGTGCACATGAGTGGCAGCACGGCAGCAGAAGCGCTGTTGGGCGTCTTTGTCGGCAGCACCAGGGTAGTATTCGGCGCACACACCCCCCCACCGCACAGCAGCGTGGACGCGTTTGCATAGCCGCAGATCATGCAGGCGGTGGCAGTGCGCTGCGCGGAGGAGCCCGAGGAGACACACTTGGAGGCGTCGAGCAGGCAGTTGTTGCGCGCGTCACACATGGTGGTGGAGGAGGCTGGGAAGGAGCCCGCCAGGAAGTTGGACGCCACGTTTATGGTCTTGAGGGCTGCTGCTGGGACGCCTGTGATGCTGCCGGTGAGGTAGTTGAATTGTAAGTTGCTGTAGGTGGGAGAGCAGGGGAAAGGGGTGAGGGTGGGGTGGGAGAAGGGAGAATGGTGAGTGGCATGTGTTACTGATGGTGACGGTGATGCTGCCTGTGAGATAGTTGAAATGCAGGTTACAGCATTGGAGAGTGGGTGCCACATACAGCGTTGTGAGGGTCGAGAGAGTGAGCAGGTAGGACGGCAGAGGGCCGGAGAACCAGTTGTAGTTGAGAGCGCTGTTTGGGAGGGGTGGGAAGGGATGGAGAGGGGTGGAGACGTTGGAGAAATGAAAAGGCGGGAGACAGGTGGACTTGCCAGCACAAGGAAGGCAGGACAACGCAGGGCAGGGCAGGGCAGGTCAAGAAGGGCAGATCAGAGAGAGAGGGCAAGGCAGGGCGGGCAGGCAGGGACGGGGAGGGAGAGATCAGGTTGGGCAGGCAAGGCAGGGAGGGCAGGCAAGGCAGGGAGGGCAGGCAAGGCAGGGAGGGCAGGCAAGGCAGGGAGGGCAGGCAAGGCAGGGAGGGCAGGCAAGGCAGGGAGGGCAGGCAAGGCAGGGAGGGCAGGCAAGGCAGGGAGGGCAGGCAAGGCAGGGAGGGCAGGCAAGGCAGGGAGGGCAGGCAAGGCAGGGAGGGCAGGGCAGGGAGGGCAGGCAAGGCAGGGAGGGCAGGCAAGGCAGGGAGGGCAGGCAAGGCAGGGAGGGCAGGCAAGGCAGGGAGGGCAGGCAAGGCAGGGAGGGCAGGGCAGGGAGGGCAGGCAAGGCAGGGAGGGCAGGCAAGGCAGGGAGGGCAGGCAAGGCAGGGAGGGCAGGCAAGGCAGGGAGGGCAGGCAAGGCAGGGAGGGCAGGCAAGGCAGGGAGGGCAGGCAAGGCAGGGAGGGCAGGGCAGGGAGGGCAGGCAAGGCAGGGAGGGCAGGCGAGGCAGGGAGGGCAGGCAAGGCAGGGAGGGCAGGCAAGGCAGGGAGGGCAGGCAAGGCAGGGAGGGCAGGCAAGGCAGGGAGGGCAGGCAAGGCAGGGAGGGCAGGGCAGGGAGGGCAGGCAAGGCAGGGAGGGCAGGCAAGGCAGGGGGTGCAGGCAAGGCAGGGAGGGCAGGCAAGGCAGGGGGTGCAGGCAAGGCAGGGAGGGCAGGCAAGGCAGGGAGGGCAGGCAAGGCAGGGAGGGCAGGCAAGGCAGGGAGGGCAGGCAAGGCAGGGAGGGCAGGCAAGGCAGGGAGGGCAGGCAAGGCAGGGGGTGCAGGGCAGGGAAGGGCAGGGCGGGCACTGACAGGTGCTTGAGCCCCTTGAGGGTGGTGAGCACCGTGGCCCACTCGTTCAGTCGTGCCTCCAGCAGGTTGGACGCCATGTTGCTGCCGGGGAGCAAGGAGGAGGGTGGGGTTTATGGGGGCAAAACACGAGGGCGAGGGAAGCTGTGAGTCGCGACTCAAGGGAGGTCTTGAGCGTGGTGAGCACCGTGGCCCACTCGCCCAGGCGTGCCTCCACCAGGTTGGACGCCATGCTGCTGTGGGTTGGTGGGAGGGATGGGAGAGGGAGGGAGAGGAGAGAGGGGATGGGAGGGAGGATGAGAGCACATGGCGTGGGTATGGCGCTCGCATGAAGAAACATGGGGCATTCAGCACGGTAAGCAGAAGTGGGGGTTGCAAGATAATGGGGCGCGGGTCTCAAGTGGGAGAGTGTGCAGAAGCGAGTGCAGAGGGAGGGGCACTCACATGCGGGTGAGGGCAGTGAGCTTGGAGACGTCAGCGGGCAGATCTCCCCGCAGCCCCTGATTGGGCAGCTCCCTGGGGTGACGTCACAATACCACCATGCCATGCGAGCATCAAAGCAGTGGAATGAGTCAGCGGACCAAAGGCGCAGTGGCAGGCCAGAGAGAAAAGAACAAAGGGAAATGCACCTGCATTCATTGCAGAGAAACAACAGTGGAACGCACCTGCATTTATTGCAGAGAAACAACAGTAAAATGCAGGACACACGATGCAGGGCGTGCGGCACTCACAGCTGTACGACTTGGCCCGTGACGTCACAGGCAACGCCCGCCCAGCTGCCGGGCATGATTTGTGAGGCGTCTCAAAAGCAACACAGCATGGGCAAGGGCATGCAGGGCGTGCGGCACTCACAGCTGTACGACTTTGCCAGTGGTGTCACAGGCAACGCCCGCCCAGCTGCCGGGCATGGGCGGGTTGCCCGCGATGTCGCACGGCGAGTCCACCAGCCAGCTCGTCTGCGTCACTCCCAGCGCCGCCCTCAGCACCAGCAGCGCTTGCGCTGCCATTGCACGGACAAAAGAGGGGAAGAAGAGGGGGTTGAGGGGAAGAAGGGCGGGTTGAGGCGAGGTGAGGCAACAGGGAGGGCAGTGAGGGGAGAGGAAGACAAGAAGAAGCACGATGAGTGTTGTATATCAGCGCATGTGCATGCATATGACCGCATGTGCATGCATATGAGCGCATGTGTGTGCATGAGTGCACATGTGTGTGTGCATGAGTGCACATGTGTGTGTGCATGAGTGCACATGTGTGTGTGCATGAGTGCACATGTGTGTGCACATGAGTGCAAGTGTCTGCATGAGCTGCCTCTAGCTGCATATGGAACGTGCAGGCAGGCAGGGCGGGTGGGCTCACCAGCAGTGGCGTCAATGATGGCGGGTCCACAATAGAACGGCTGCACGGGTGTCATGAGACTGTTCACCGTGCCAGCCGGGTGTTTTTGAGAATTCTCAAAAACACCCAGCAACAAGTGCAGGCTTACCAGCAGTGGCGTCAATGATGGCGGGTCCACAATAGAACGGCTGCACGGGTGTCGTGAGACTGTTCACTGCGCCAGCCGCCGGGGGGGCCATAGCGTTGAGAACACACGGAGCGCATGTGACGCAGAGATGTGGGTGTGCACTCACCAGCAGTGGCATCGATGATAGCAGGTCCGCAGTAGAAGGGCTGCACGACCGCCGTGAGGCTGTTCACCGTGCCAGCCGCCAGAACACTCGTGGCGTTGAGAATACAGGGAGCGCCGCTGCAGAGGGGTGGGGCGGCGTTGCTGGTGGCGCAGATGTTGCAGCCGGAGGTGCGCTGAGCCACGCCGTAGGCGTTGTAGCAGGTGCCAAGGTTTGAGAAGCAGTTGTTGCGGATGTCGCAGAACTGGAAGGCTTGATTGGGGAAGGCGCCGGCGAAGAAGTTGTGGTTGACGGCCAGGTACTTGAGCTTGGTGGGCACAGCTGGCAGCGTGCCCGTCAGGTAGTTGGCACTCAGACGGCTGCACGGGGGGTTTTCGGGGAGGAGGGGAGCGGGGAAGAGTGGTGGACAGGTTTTGAGTCGACTTAAAACTGGGAGGGGAGGTGGACAGGTGGTGACTTGTGAGTGAAAGAGTTCTGAGAGGTCTCAGAAGTTGTGGCTGACGGCCAGGTGCCTGAGCTTGAGCTGGGTAGCCATAGCTTGAGCTTGAGGCGCACACATGCAGCTCGGGTAGCCATAGCTTGGTGTTCCAACACATAAGGACCAAGGGCACTTCAATTAGGGCAGAGGCATCACTCACACCCACCCACCAACCCAATCCAGCACCTGACAGCCATTTCAGCACCTGATAGCCATCCCGACAGCCATCCTGACGGCCGTCCTGACAGCCGTCTTGAAGCTTGTAACTGTTACTGATGGGAGTGATTGCAACTGACGTTTCTGTGAGTGATGCCATGTTGAGCAGAGTGACTTTTGAGTCGACCCAAAAGCCTGTAACTGTTACCGATGGGAGTGATTGCAACTGACATTTCTGTGCGCGATGCCATGTTGAGCAGAGTGACTTTTGAGTCGACTCAAAAGCCTGTAACTGTTACCGATGGGAGTGATTGCAACTGACATTTCTGTGAGCGATGCCATGTTGAGCAGAGTGGAGGGCACGCTGTCGTAGAGGTAGTTGAAGTTGAGGTTGCTGGCGGGCGAGAGGTTGACGTACATGCAGAGAGGCGCACACATGCAGAGAGGCGCACACATGCAGAGAGGCGCACACATGCAGAGAGGCGCACACATGCAGAGAGGCGCACACATGTGGGGGGGGCGCACACACATGGAGAGGAGGACGCGTGAGCAAAGAGAGGGGAAAAGGAAGGTAGTGCTAGAAAAGGTTGGCAAAGTGAGGGGAAGGTGAGCGGATGGTGGGAGGCATGTGAGATGAGGGTGGGAGGCATGTGATATGAGGGTGGAAGGGGAGGAGAGGGGCGAGGGGACGCACAGGGTGACAATGGAGGTGAGCGGCGTGATGTTGGAGACAAAGGTGGAAAGGCGGCCGTACAGCAGATTGTACCCCAGATGCCTGCCCACAGGGAAGGAGGGGGAGGGTGGAGGGGGGGCGGGGGGAAAGGAGCATCAGGGGGGTGAGCGAGCACTTGGGAGAGGGGAGGGAGGGGGGGAGTGAATAGGTGGCGGGCTGGCGAGCATGGGAGAATGGGGGAGAGCAGAAATAACGGCTGGGTATGAGGCCATGCGCATACAGGTGGGTGATGCGCATACAGGTGGGTGATGCACATACAGGTGGGTGATGCACATACAGGTGGGTGATGCACATACAGGTGGGTGATGCGCATACAGGTGGGTGATGCACATACAGATAGGTGAGACTGGTGAGTTTGGTCATGTCTGCATGGATGGTGCCTCGAAGCTTCTGGTTGTCCAGAATGCTGCCACGGCCACATGCACACAGCGGGTGGGGCGAGTGGAGGTATATGAGTGGCATGAGAGGCGAAGCTCCTGGGAAGGAGAGACATACAGAGAGCCAAACAAATGTGCATCTTCCTTCCACTTCTCATCATGCCCTCATCATGTCCTCGTAACTTGACATTCACGTTCCGTTTGTTTCTGGCCGCGTTAGTCTTACTTGCCAAGATTCACATGTTACAAAAAAAAAAACGTTTCAAGCGGGTGAGGACAGAGAGAGGAGAGCGAGACGGAGGGAGGGTGAGGCTCACAGGGAGACGACGGCGCCGCTGCCGCTGCACCAGACGCCCGGCCAGGACTTGGGTGCGGGGCTCTGCCCCAGGATGCTGCAGCCGCTGCTGGCACTCCAGTCCGTGTGCGTCACTCCCAGCGCCGCCCCTATGTTCACCAGCGCCGCCGCTGCTCACAGGGCGAAGGCAGAGGAGTGAGGGGGGGCAGCAGCACGCACAGAAGAAAGGAAACAAGACATTGGTGAGAATCTGTGCGTCACTCCCAGCGCCGCCCCTATGTTCACCAGCGCCGCCCCTATGTTCACCAGCGCCGCCCCTATGTTCACCAGCGGACACATGCAGGAGGAGCGGGAGTGGGGGGGTGGAGATGGTGGGGGGGGGCAGCGTGAGGAGAAACGGGTGAGCAAGTGTGCATGCACGCCCACGCACTCCCATACGTACATACACATCTGAGTAGCAGGTAAGGCAGCAGGCAGCATGGCAGCATGGCACACTGCAGGCGCAAGAGTGGGCCGGTGCAAGGCATGGCAGCGCTGTGCGGTGCAGTGGGCACGGCATGGGCAGGGGAGCACTCACAGCTCGTGGCATCGAGGGGCAAGGAAGGGCACTTGAGGGCGAGGGTGGGAGCGGAGGCGCTGTTGGGTACTTTGGACGTCACATACGCCGAGGGGTCGGGCGTGCACACCGCCCCACCACACAGCGGCAGCTGCCCATTGCTGGACCCACACACGTTGCAGCCTGTGCCCCTCTGCACGGTCCCGTCAAGGTTCAGGCACGCGGTGGCGTTGACGAAGCAGTTGCTGCGGGCTGTGCAGTAGGCGAGAGAGGCGACGGGGAAGGAGCCTGAGAGGAAGTTGAACTCTGTGTCGAGCGCCTTGAGTGATGCCCCTGGCTTGGGCAGTGTGCCTGTGAGGTAGTTGTAGCTCACCACACTGGGGTTTGGGGGAAGAGTTGCACGCACGCACCAACGCAGGCGAAGCATCGGCTGTGTGTTAGGAACGGGTGGGTGGAGGGGAGCTTGAAGCGACGTGAAGGAGTGAGAGCGATGGGGCAGTGGGTTAGGTGGGGAAAGGATGTTGAGTGGAGGAGGGTGTGGGGGGCGGTGCGGGCTTACGGAATGGAGAGGGCCGTTTAGAGACACCTCAAAACTGGAGGGTGTGGGGTGCAGGCTTACAGAATGGAGAGGGCTGGCATGTTGACGAGCGTGGTGGGGACGGTGCCATAGAACCAGTTGAAGTTGATGTGGCTGGTGGGGGGTTGGGGAGGAGGGGGGGACGGGGAGGACGAGGGAGCACGCACACAGACATACACATAATTGAACCAGCTGAGGCACAAACGAGGGACAGTGCCATAGAACATGCACACACACATGCACACATACATGTGGACGGGTGGAACGGGTGGAACGGGTGGAACAATGTTTTGAGAACGGGTGGACAGCAGAAAGCCGAAGTAAACAAGCACAAGAGCAGAAAGAGCAGAAAGAGCAGAAAGAGCAGAAAGAGCAGAAAGAGCAGTAAGAGCAGAGAGAGCAGAAAGAGCAGAAAGAGCAGTAAGAGCAGAGAGGTGCGAAGAGGCAACTAGAGAGGGTGGGGGCATGCAAGGGGGGGAATGGGCATGGAGGGGCGGAGGCGTGGTGGCACTGACAGCTCCTTGAGGCTGGCGGTGGGCGTGATGGGCACGATGTAGGAGTCGAGGCGGCTGAAGAAGAGGTTGGACGACAGCCGCCTGCATGCATGGTTGGGGGGTTGATGCAGGGGGGTTATAAAGGGTAGGGGGGTTATAAGGGGTGGAAGGAGGAGAGCGTGGGGGGAGGGGCGTGATGGGCACGATGTAGGAGTCGAGGCGGCTAACGAAGAGGTTGGACGACAGCCGCCTGCACACAGGACCAGGGGGGTGGCGGAGGGGCGTGGGGGAGGGGCGTGGGGGAGGGGCGTGGGGGAGGGGCGTGGGGGAGGGACGTGGAAGAAGGGCGCGAGAGAGAGGGCAGGCTTGTGTTGCCGTGTTGAGGCTGAGACACTGACAAGCGGCTACAGCGAGCAGCACAGCTGGTGGCATCGGACGTGGGCACCACAAGGCAGTCCTCACACAATGACCACACGGCTCACTGCGAGTTGATGGATGGCTTACTGCAACGTAAGGGGCGGCTTACAGCGAGGTGAGGGTGGAGAGCTTGCTGATGTCGGAGTGCACGGTGCCACTCAACAGCTGGCTCCTCAGGTCCCTGCTCACCGGGTTTCAGGCAGCAACAGGGGGCGCACGGAGCAGCAGCAGAAGCACACAGGGGCAGGGAGAGAGGTGAGTGAAAGGCAGCCGGAGAAGCGCCAGCGGTGCACAGGCACGGTGGGGTAACATAGGGAGAGGGAGGGCAGCAGAAGCGGCGGCACTCACAGGCTGACGACTTGGCCGAGCGGAGAGCAGCGCACGCCAGTCCAAGAGCCAGCAATGGGCGTCTGGCCCTGGATGGTGCACGACCCCACCGCCTTCCAGTCGTACAGCAGCCCTGACCCCCTCCCTTGCAGGGACCGGCGCTTGGGCCCCTTCTTGGGCTTGGTGGAGGTGGCCTTGGGGGCGGCGAGTGTGGAGGCGGTCCAATCAGAGAAGGTGGCGCCCAGCGTGGTCTTGAGCGCCAGCAGGATGTTGCCCTGCGTGGCGTCCAGTGGCACGCCGACGCAGAACCACGGCAGCACCGCCGCCGTCGCGCTGTTGGGGGTGCTGGTGCTGAGAGGCGCAGCTGTGTCGGGTGCACACGTGCCGCCGCCGCACACGGTGCCTGAGCCGTCTGCGGTGTCGCAGACGGCGCAGGCGGCGGCGGCGCGCTGCACGGTGCCGAGCGTGGTGCAGGCGCCGATGCTGGCGAGGCAGTTGCTGGTGGCGGAGCAGGAGGAGAAGCCGGTTCCAGGGAAGGTGCCCGACAGCCAGTTGCCGTCCAGCGCTATGGCCTTGAGTGCCGCGCCTGGAGCGGGAATGGAACCGTACAGGTAGTTGTAGCTCGCACCACTGCAGGTGGGGGGTGGGGTGGGGGGAAGGGGGAGGGAGGGTGGGCAAGGAGGAGTTAGTGTGGAAGCACGTGAGGGGAGAACATGAGGCTTCAGTGAAGGGCAGGCACGGTGTGTTAGAGAGCCGAAGAGCAGGGGCGGAAAGGCGGTGGTGTGATAGGGAACGAGGGGAGCAGGGCGTCTACGTGCAAGAGACTCAATGTACTTGGGAGCAGCGGGACGTGAGTGCCATTTGGGGCTAGCACTGGGTTAGAAACTCGCAAGGAAAGCAGTCCTGAGGAGGGAACTGTCCCATCCCAAGGCAGGGAGAGGTGGGATCTACAAGGCAGAGAGGGTGTTGAAGGTGACGAGCGCGGACGATTTTGAGGCCCCTCAAAAGTTGAATTTTGAGGCGCCTCAAAATTCAACACAAGGCGGAGAGGGTGGTGATGGTGACGAGCGCGGACGATTCTTAGTTACTCAATATCTGTGTTGTTTAAAAAAGTTGACGTCCCATCCCAAAGCAAGGACCGGCGAGACTCACAAGGTGGAGAGGGTCGCGATGGTGACTAGGGTGGACGGGATCGGCCCTGTGAACCAGTTGAAGTCAAAGTAGCTGCAGGGGGCGAAGGGGGAGACGCCAAGGGATGCAAGGAGGGGAGGAGAGAGTGTAGGTAAGGTAGGGCGTCAAGGGCGGGAAGCATGCGGAGGTTGACGCTATACGGAGATGACACGAAGGGGATGGGGTGGCAGGAACGCTTGAGGCAAGGGCATGCAGTGCGGTGCGGCGCGGTGCAGTGCGGTGGTGCCATTCCATGCAGGCGGCACTCACGCTTCCTTGAGCGCCGTGAGCGCCTTGAAGTTGGTCGTGAAGACGTCCAGACGGCCCTCCAGCAGGTTGGAGCGCAGATTACTGCGAGGGGAGAGAAGCCAGGGCGCATGCAAGCACAGGGGGGTGAGGATTCAACGATGGCAGCAGAGACAAGGACAAGGGCAAGGGCAAGCACAAGCGAAGACTTCCAGACAACTCTCCAGCAAGTTGGAGCACAGATTGCTGCGCGGGAGCTGGGCGCATGCAAGCACAGAGGTGATAGATGAACGGAGCGGGATGAACGAAAGTTGGCACCAATTTTGAGACGTCTCAAACCTCACATGTAAACAGAGGTGATAGATGAACAGTGCGGGATGAACGAAAGTTGGCACCGAAGCGCGCGCACACTCAAGGTCAAGCGCAAGAGTACAAGCGAAATTACTCTGAGCAGGCAGTTGGGCGGCACACATCTGCGTGAGCTGATCACATGCACATGCAGCTGCTTACATGTAAGTGAGAGCGGTGAGCTTGGAGATGTCCGCATGCATAGTCCCTTGGAGCTTCTGCTGCGCCAGATTGCTGTATGTTGCCAATGGTCATGCATACACACATGGAAAGGACACCCACAAGGACACATGTGAAACGTGAGTCTCGCAGACAAGTGTTTCAGCAGTTCTAAGCAGTCACCAAAGCACGAAGAGAGGCGCGTCAAGGTGAGTGCAGTGAGGTACTCACAGCGAGATGACTTTGCCCCAACCCAAGAGGCATTCACAGCGACATGACTCAGCTCCAAGAGGCACTCACATGGACATGAATTTGCCACTCACATGGACATGACTTTGCCGGAGACGTTGCAGATGACGTTGGACCAGGCGCCTGGCAGCGGCGGCAGCCCCTGGATGGTGCACGGCGAGTCCAGCGCCCAGTCCGTGAACGTCACCCCCAGCGATGCCCTCATGTTCAGCAGCACCGCCGCTAAGGTTGGGATTGAATGGTAATGGGGGAGAGGGGAGGAATGGCAGGGGAGGGACAGAGAGGCAGCAGTCCGTGAGCATCACTCCAAGTGCCGCCCTCACGTTCAGCAGCGCCGCCGCTAAGGTTGGGATTGAATGGTAATGGGGGAGAGGTGAGGAATGGCAGGGGAGGGACAGAGATGCAGCAGTCCGTGAGCATCACTCCAAGTGCCGCCCTCACGTTCAGCAGCGCCGCCGCTAAGGTTGGGATTGAATGGTAATGGGGGAGAGGTGAGGAATGGCAGGGGAGGGACGGAGAGGCAGCAGTCCGTGAGCATCACTCCAAGTGCTGCCCTCACGTTCAGCAGCGCCGCCGCTGGAGGCGCACACAGCATGGGTGGGTGAGCATGCGGGAGTAACGTGGCTGCAGAGAGACACAGCAGTGCTGAATCAATGATCAATCCAAACAGCATAACTCGAGAGCCGCAAGCATACCGCTCCACACACCCCACCCCCCAGCGCACTCACCCATAGCAGGGTCCATGGACGCCCCGAGGCAGTAGAGCGGCGCCGTGTCGGGGTTGACCGTCTGCGCTGCGATGAGCGCTGTGGCGTTGGGCGTGCAGATGCCGCCGCCACACACCTATGACAACACACTCACTCATACCAGCGCACTCACCCATAAGGGCATCCATAGACATGCAGTGCATGCTCCCTGCACCGCACCGCACCACAGTGCAACCCCCAGCGCACTCACCCATAGCAGGGTCCATGGACGCCCCAAGGCAGTAGAGCGGCGCCGTGTCGGGGTTGACCGTCTGCGCTGCGATGAGCGCTGTGGCGTTGGGCGTGCAGATGCCGCCGCCACACACCTATGACAACACACTCACTCATACCAGCGCACTCACCCATAACGGCATCCATAGACATGCACTGCATGCTCCCTGCACCGCACCGCACCGCAGTGCACCCCCCAGCGCACTCACCCATAGCAGGGTCCATGGACGCCCCAAGGCAGTAGAACGGCGCCGTGTCGGGGTTGACCGTCTGCGCTGCGATGAGCGCTGTGGCGTTGGGCGTGCAGATGCCGCCGCCACACACCTATGACAACACACTCACTCATACCAGCGCACCCATACGGGCATCCATAGACATGCACTGCATGCTCCCTGCACCGCACCGCACCGCAGTGCACCCCCCAGCGCACTCACCCATTGCAGGGTCCATGGACGCCCCGAGGCAGTAGAGCGGCGCCGTGTCGGGGTTGACCGTCTGCGCTGCGATGAGCGCCGTGGCGTTGGGCGTGCAGACGCCGCCGCCGCACATCCTGCCCGTGGCGTCGGTCGTCTCGCAGATGGCACAGCCGCCTGCAGCGCGCTGAGCAGAGCCGGCGGGGCACTTGGAGGCGTCCTGCAGGCAGTTGCTGGCGCAGGCGACGGAGGTGGCGGTGGTGGTGGGGAAGGTGCCCACCAGGTAGTTGTTCGACAGGTCGATCACCTTGAGGGATGCTGGCAGTGCTGCCGGCATGCTGCCCGTCAGGTAGTTCAGGTTCAGGCGCCTGCGTTACCCATGGTATATATAGTGGTGGGCAGCAGTGGAGTGGTGCACAGGGATTGGCGCGTGTGGGAGACGGAGATGAGAGGGGTCAGGAAAAAGAACGAGAGCGCAGGCGCTTGCAATTCCGAGAGGGCAGTGAGAGTGAGTGGAGATGAGTAGGAAATGAACGAACGAGGCTTGAGGTGAGAGAGGGCAAGAGGGCAGGGGGGCAGGGAGGCTTACAGTTCTGTGAGGGCAGTGAGGGCGGAGATGCTGGCTGGGAAGGAGCCTGATAAGTAGTTCTGGTGGAGGCGACTGCATGCATGGGCGCAGCAAAGAGGGGGGTGAAACAAGTTAGGGGACGTCTCAAAAGATGGTAATGAGGGGGAGATGCTGGCCGGGAAGGAGGCCGAAAAGTAGTTCTGGTGGAGGCGGCTGCATGCATGGGCGCAGCAAAGAGGGGGGGATGAGCGGGGTGCAGGCACAGAGGGAGGTGAAGTGAATGCAGGCACAGAGAGGAGTGAAGGGATTGCAGGGAGAGGAGGGGTTGACATGCTTACAGGTAGAGAGGCAGCAGGAGAGCGGTAAAACATCAAACGTGATATTCTCACAGGGGTGCAAGTGTGGGAGGCTTACAGGGTGTTGAGGGTCTTGATGGGAAGGAAGGGTGCAAGGAATGTGTCGATGCGGTTTGAAATTTCTCAGAAGATTCCAGCAAGGCAGGGGTGCGGAAGGTGGGTGGGAGGCTTACAGGGTGTTGAGGGTCTTGATGGGAAGGAAGGGCGCAAGGAAGGTGTCGATGCGGTTGGTGAAGAAGTTCACCGAGAAGTCACTGCGACGCAGCACAGCAGGCATGGCAGAGCACACAGCGCGGCACACAGCACAGCACACAGCGCGGCACACAAACACATACGTTGATGTCAGGTGACTTGTGAGACGAATGCAATGGCACTGCGGTGTGTGATGGGAATGAAAGCACTGCGGTGTGTAAGGTGGAGCTTACAGCCTGGTGAGCACAGAGAGCTTTGGGAGTCGGGGGAAAGGAAGAGGTGACTTTGGATATACTCAGAAGTCACCTTTCAAGAGGTGGAGCTTACAGCCTGGTGAGCGCAGAGAGCTTTGGGAGTCGGGGGAAAGGAAGAGGTGACTTTTGGATATACTCAGAAGTCACCTTTCAAGAGGTGGAGCTTACAGCCTGGTGAGCGCAGAGAGCTTTGAGGAGTCGGGAGGGAAGAAGCCTGACGCTTTGACACCGTTGAGAACACTGTGGGACACAGCGTGGGGCACAGCGTGGGGCACAGCGTGGGGCACAGCGTGGGGCACAGCGTGGGGCACAGCGTGCGGCACAGCGTGGGGCACAGCGTGGGGCACAGCGTGGGGCACAGCGTGGGGCACAGCGTGGGGCACAGGAAAGGAGCGGAACACACTCACAGATCATGAGAAAGAAGGAGCTCACGCGCAGAAAGAAGATTCAAGAACACAAGAACAAGACCTTGTGACAACGAACATGCATCGTGGCGTTCCCCCGTAGGAGGTTACTGCTCGGTACAAACGTGAACACATGACGTGTGCCGTGCAGCTTAATTCAACGCATCCTTCACGAATGAGGCGCGCATGGGGCATGCACCACTCCCTGTCACATCACAGGCATGCAGGCGTGCAAAAGGCAGGCGTACATGTCCAGGACCAAGCCAGCGGGATTGCAGAAGACCCGGGGCAGCGTGCCAGCAATGTAGGCCTGCCCGGCTATGGTGCACGTCGGCTGCGTCCACAGCCCCGGTACCATCGCCTGCAACGCCGCCGCTGCCAGGGGCGGCAAGGGAGGAGGGGGGATGGGCGCCATGGGAGGGGTGTGGTGTGGGGAGGGGGACTTTTGCATGAGGGCATGAGTCATGTGTGAGGAGGTGTGCACGTTGGCTGCACCTACAGCCCCGGTACCATCGCCTGCAGCGCCGCCGCTGCCACGCACCATGGGGATAGGGAGTGGGGGGAGGGGGAATTGAGCATAAGGGGGGGGCAACCCGTGGCTTATGTGCAAGTCATGGTTCACGTCACGCAGTGAGTGGGTACCCTGGGAGGCCTAGGTGCGGCACTATGAATGGGTGAGTTACCTTGAGTGGCTTGGATGGGGACAGGATCGCAGCGCATGACAGGGACGGGGTTCCACTTGTTGACCGCCGTGATGGGCGACGGCGTCACCGGCACACACGGGTTGCCCATGCACGCCGTGCCCAGCGCGTTGGTGGTGCCACAGAACTGGCACCCATAGCTGGGCTGAGGCAGGTTGGGGTAGACGGCGGGGCAGGTGGTGTAGGAGGTGATGCAGTTGTAGTAGGCCGTGCAGTAGGTGGCGCTGTTGGCTGGGAAGGTGCCGCCCAGGAAGTTCTGGTCCACCATGAGGCGCTTGAGTGCGGTGGAGATGGGTGCTGGGAACGTGCCCGTGAGCGCGTTCATGCTCAGCTCGCTGCACGCAGGCCGGGGGGAGGAGAAGGAATGGGGAGAGGGAGGGAGGAGGTTGGAAGGGTAGGAAAGGGGCGGATGAGGGAGGAGATAAGGGGACGGCCGCATGGGGCACGGAAGAGGGCCAAGGGACAGCGGCATGCGGCACAAGAGGCAAGGGTGAGGGAGAGCATGATACACGAGAGGCCACAGATGGATGGAGCAGAGGGGATAACATGGATTGTAAAACGATTGGGAAATGCACGAGGCTAGGGGCGGCTGGGGTGGCAGGGGTTGATTGATAACTTTGTGGCAGGTGAGGGCAGGGTGGAGCAGGGTGGGGCAGGGTGGGACACGGTGGGGCACTGACAGGTTGGTGAGCTTGGCGAAGGAGACGAGCCAGAGGGGCACAGAGCCGAAGAGATAGTTGTTGTTGAGGCGGCTGCATGCGGGGCGGGGAGAGAGGGGGGGCAGGGAGTACAGGGTTGACTGCAGGGAGTACAGGGTTGACTGCATAATTTTTGCAAGCAAGGCACTTGAGGTGAGCATGATAGAAATGCACTCACAGCGATCGCAGGTTTGCAAGACACTCACAGAGGCAAGGCACTCACAGAGGCAAGGCACTCACAGAGGCAAGACACTCACAGAGGCAAGACACTCACAGAGGCAAGACACTCACAGAGGCAAGGCACTCACAGAGGCAAGACACTCACAGAGGCAAGGCACTCACAGAGGCAAGGCACTCACAGAGGCAAGACACTCACAGAGGCAAGACACTCACAGATGCAAGACACTTACAGAGGCAAAACACTCACAGAGGCAAGGCACTCACAGAGGCAAGACACTCACAGAGGCAAGACACTTACAGAGGCAAAACACTTACAGAGGCAAAACACTCACAGAGGCAAGACACTCACAGAGGCAAGACACTTACAGAGGCAAAACACTCACAGAGGCAAGGCACTCACAGAGGCAAGACACTCACAGAGGCCAGACACTCACAGAGGCAAGACACTCACAGAGAGAGCAGATTGGTGGAGAGCTTGAGGGACGAGGCCCAGGTGTCGATGTTATTTCGGAAGAAGTTGAAACTCACATCCCTGCACGGGCAGCAGCAGATTGTGGTGCGAGGAGAGGAGAGGGGGGAGGAGGGGGTGGAGCGGAGGGAGGGAGGGCATGAAGGCATGGAGGAGTGGAGCGGGTGTCCTGCCTACCGCCCGGCATTGGCGCTCGGCATAGGGGAGCATGTGGTCGGCACTCAGCACATGCAGCACATGGGTAGCACATGGGTAGCACATGGGTAGCACATGGGTAGCACATGGGTAGCACATGGGTAGCACATGGGTAGCACATGGGTAGCACATGGGCAGCACATGGGCAGCACATGGGCAGCACATGGGCAGGGCCGCACATGGGCAGCAAGTGAGCGGCACTCACAGCATGGTGAGCGGCACTCACAGCATGGTGAGCGTGGAGAGCTTGCTGATGTCAGCATGGAATGAGCCGGTGAGCTTCTGATTGTCCAGCTTCCTGCCAGCATGGGGTGGGGAGGAGGGAGGGGCATGGCGGGGAGGCGAGTTACATGCTGCCATGGTTACGTGCATTGGTAGTGGCTTGAACAGCAAGACAGGCACTGCAACAGCCCGAGCAGCAGCTGCAGAAGGAAAAACGAGAGCGCAGCAGGGGGCAGAGGGTGAGAGGGTGCTGACAGGCTGACGGGCTGGCCGAGGGAGCTGCAGAGCACGCTTTTGAGTCGACTCAAAAGCATGGCAGAGGGAGCTGCAGAGCACGCTTTTGAGTCGACTCAAAAGCATGGCAGAGGGAGCTGCAGAGCACGCCAGACGCGGTGGGAAACAGCGAGAGAGCACAGCAGTGGGCGAGGGTGGGAGGGCGCTCACAGGCTGACGGGCTGGCCGAGGGCGTTGCAAAATACGCCAGACCAGGCGCCAGCGACGGGGGTCTGTCCCTCCACCGTGCAGTAGCCGCCCGTGGTGAGCCAGTCCGTCAGCGCCACACTGCCACTGCCCGTGCTGCCCGCTGCCTTGGGCTTGAGCAGTGCCGTGGGCGCCACCCAGTCCGTGAAGGTCACTCCCAGCGCCGTCTTTATGTTGCCCAGCGCTGTGACTGGCGCAGCGTAGGGGGCGGTCCAGTCAGGGAGCCCGACAAGGGGACAGATGTGAGTGTGGGGGAGGTTTAAGAGGAGAGCAAGACACAGGGAGGGAGGAGGCATGGATAGGAAGGGATGATCACTGGTGAGGAGCACACACAATGCACGGCGCATAGCATGGGTGCATAACGGTGGCGTGGAGACGGGTGAGAGGGCAGGAGAATGCATCAACTGAGGAGGCGTCGATGATGACATTGGTGAGGTGACTTTTGAGTCAACTCAAAAGTACGTTGACCTGATGGGCGCGGACAGCGTGAGGGTGCTTTCACTCCACTATGGGCCTAGATGCTGCTACTCTTGAGAACTCTCAGAAGTGATTCCAGCATTGCATTACCTGAGGCAGCGTCGATGATGACCCCCGTGCAGTACATGCTCATGATGGGCGTGGACAGCGTGGGGACGCTGTTACCCGCCACTGCCTCCGTAGCATTCGGCACGCACAGCCCACCGCCGCACAGAGTGCCCTGGCCGTCAGGGCTGCCGCAGATGCCACAGCCGGCGCGGTTGAGAACGCCGCCGGAGGTGCAGCCGCCCTGGGAGGTGAGGCAGTTGAGTGCTGCCGAGCACGTCACGCCGGTGAGGGTGCCGATGCTGCCTGACAGGAAGTTGCCTCCGATGTTGAGTGACTTGAGCGCCGTGCCTACAGTGGCGGGGACGGTGCCTGTGAGGTAGTTGTAGCTCATGTCGCTGGGAGGATGCGGCACAGTAACACATGGGTGGGGTGGAGTGGAAAGAGACAAGGAGGTGAGAGGGTGGACGCAGGGCAAAATGGCCTGTCTAGCAGCACCGACAACAAGGAGGTGAGAAAATTATACAACGCCTGAGCAGCAACACTCTGCGTGGATCTTGAGGAGAGTATTCCTGGTACTTACCTGAAGTACCAATTTCCACCTACAACATCTCGCACTTGTCTCAGGGACCTTTGCTTCAGGAGCGTCCGGGTGAACGCACGAGGCAAGGAAGAAGATCGGTGACACAAAAGAGCAAAACGAGCAGGTGGCATGTTAGAAGAGGGGGGGGGGGAGCGACTAGGGTGGCAGTGGTACAGGTTGGTGAGTGTGGGGAGTGTGAGCAGTGCAGAAGGCAGCGGTCCCGCAAAGAAGTTGAAGCGTGCCTTGCTGCAGATTGGCAGGCAGCGGGGGAAGGGGAGAGAGGTAGAGCAGGCACGGGCACAGGCAGCAGTGAGTGAGGGCAAGACAGACCAGCAACACACAAGCAAGAGAGCGTGAGCAAGCGGAACAGCGGAGAGCAGAGAAAGCAGTGCTGCAAAGTCCGATGAAGCTTGCAACAGGGATAATGGGATGGGCGGCAGAGGGCAGGTGGGGGGCAGGCAGGCAGAGGCGGCTGACAATTGCTTGAGCGCTGAGAGCCCCTTGAAGGCCGACGTGAAGAACGCCAGGCGGCCCTGCAGCAGGTTGCTGTCCAGGATGCTGCACACAGGCAGGGAGAGAGGAAGGGGGGAGGGGGAGGGGGTTTCTGAGACGTCGCAAAACTCAGCTTCTTATTGCCAGGCAGCAATGCAGCAGGTTGCTGTCCAGGATGCTGCACACAGGCCGGAGCAGAGGGGAGGGCAAGAGAGGGGGGGAAGGGGAACGCAGGGTTTGGTGATGTAAAAGCAAGGAGAAGCGCGTGACTACAGTGAGAGTGGTGAGCTTAGAGCAAGGAGAGACATGGCAAAGCGGGAGTAATGAGCTTACAGCGAGGTGAGAGTGGTGAGCTTGGTGATGTCAGCATGCATGGTCCCCTTCAGCAGCTGACTCGTGAGGTCGCTGCCGCGAAGCACAGGCAAGAGGGACAGCAACGGGGCGAGGGGGGAGCAAATGAGAATCACAGATCCCGGCACGCAAGATAGAGCAAGACAGACAGGCGGCTTGACCTGCAACTGTGTCCAACAGGGCTCGAGTCACTCTGCAGCTCAGCCTAGTAAGCCAGAACGCCTCTGCGGGCTGAGACACCACAGAGATGGTTGCTACTCACATGCTCACATGCTCACGGCCTTGCCCTCCGAGTCACACACCACGTTGGACCACGCCCCCGGCGCGAGACAAAGGCAAATGCATCCTGTGGCTGTGTCTGGCTGCAGGCCGCTGCAATGCAGAGAGCCCAAGGGCACTGGCGCCACTCACATGCTCGTGACCTTGCCCGACGAGTCACACACCACGTTGGACCACGCCCCCGGTGCGGGGGCTGCTGTGCCCAACAGGCCTCCTTACTCACCCTGTAAGCTAAACCCGCTCAGCCCAAAACAAAGGGCCGAAACGCCGCTGCTGACTGCTACTCACATGCTCAAGACCTTGCCGGCGGTGTCACAGACCACATTAGACCACGCCCCCGGCACCGTGTTCTGCCCTGCGATGTTGCACGGCGAGGTGGCGAGCCAGTCAGTAAGAGTGACGCCCAGTGATGCCTTGAGGTTGAGCATGGCGCCGCGCATGTTGACCTCGATGGGGCCGCCCTGACAGAACAGCGGCAGCACCGCCTGCCCCTCCGTGTTGGGCGTGCCCGTGCCGGCCGGCACTGTGGCGTTGGGAGTGCAGAAGCCGCCGCCGCACAGCATGCCGGCAGCCCCGGTGGAGCCGCAGACGTTGCAGTCGGCAGTGGCGCGCTGCGCGGTGCCGTTGGTGTTGGTGCACTTGGAGGCGTCCACGAAGCAGTTGGAGCGCGCATCGCACGCCGTGAGGGCCGCAGTGGGGAAGGAGCCCGAGAGGAAGTTGTCTGCCACGTTCAGCGCCTTCACCGCTACCCCCACGGTGGGCACCACCCCCGTCAGGTAGTTGCGGTTCAGCTTGCTGCGCGCAGCAGGGGGGAGGGGAGAGGGGGTGCAGTGAGGATGGGGAGAGAAGAACTGCCAGGTGTTAAGCAGTGGTGGGTGGTGAGTGATGGGTGGTGGCAGAGGCAAAGTCGGGGCATACCACGCGTGGGAGAAACAAGGAGTTTTCCAGAGGGGGGGAGCGCAGAGGGCAAGGGTGGTGAGGGGCACTCACACGGTGGAGAGGGCTGGCAGGGCGAGCAGGGCGGAGGGGATGGAGCTGGAGAACCAGTTGTACTGCAGCGAGCTGCCAGTGGGCAGGGCGGACGGGAATGGAGTGAGGTGAGGGCAGCGATGTGAGAAGCGGAGTGATGACTGCTGGTGCTCTGACACGCTTGGGTGGGTGCAGCGATAGCACATGGTGGTGAGTGCAGCTCGTGGTGGTGAGTGCAGCATGTGGTGGTGAGTGCAGCACTTACAGAGACTTGAGTGTCTTGAGAGTGCTGAAGAGCGAAACAAACACATCCAAGCGCTGCTGGAAGAGATTGGCGCTCAGATCCCTGTGTGTGTGCGAGCAGTCGAGCACACGCCGGGCACCAATGCATGTGTGCAAGCAGTGTAGTGCATGACATGCCGATGCAGGCACATAGACACCACAGCATGCACGTGCACACACACATGTGCATACCACTACACACATGCATTTGAATACAGAGGCAGGCTGGCTCTTAAGGCGTGGAGGCAGCATTGTGCACGAGAAGAAGGTATTTGCGAGAGCCGACGAGACTTTTGAGACGACTCAAAAGTCAACTCAGCATTGTGCACGAGAAGCAGGTAGTTTTTCAGACGTCTGAAAAACACTCTTCTTTCACACAGCATTGTGCATGAGAAGTGGGTAATTGCGAGAGCCGAAGAGTTATTCGCAATCCTGTGCTGCACTGAACTGAAGGGTGGTGGTGGCATGAGTGAAGTGAGTGAAGTGAGGGCAGGCTTGCATGGGCGTGAATGGGCGTGGATGGGCGGAGATGGGCGCGGATAGGAGTGCATGGGCGGGAAGGGGAGACTAACAGTGCGGTGAGCACTGTGAGCTTGCTGATGTCGGAGGATAGGCGATTTTTGAGTCGACTCAAAAATCGCCTCATGGGCGGGAAGGGGAGACTAACAGTGCGGTGAGCGCTGTGAGCTTGCTGATGTCGGAGGATAGGCTTCCAGTCAGCTTCTGGTTCGGCAGCAACCTACAAGTTTGTCAGAGGAAGGGGTGGAAAAGGGGATAAGGGTGGGGGAACGAAAGAACGATTGAAGATAAAAGAATGGGCGTACATGAGAGCGGTGAAAGGGAAAGACGGAAATGATGCGACATTTGGAGCAGTGCGGCACTCACAGCAGGCGGGTGAGAAAGACACTCAGAGCACCACGCCATGACCCACTCACAGGGCGACGATGGCGCCAGCGGTGTTGCAGTAGACACCAGTCCACGAGCCGGGAGCAGGGGTCTGCCCGTCGACGGTGCAGGCGCCCACCATGGTGGCGAGGGGCACGCTGCTGCTCTTCAGTGCCTTGGGCTTCAGTGCCACCGTCGTTGCACTCCAGTCCGTGGCCGTCACTCCCAGCACCGCCTTCAGCGCCAGCAGCGTTGTGGCTGCACGTGGGAGGAGAGGAGAGGGGGCGCAGTGGTGGCAGGGGGCACAGTAGTGGGATGAGGATGAGCCGGTGGGATGAACCTGGTGGGAAAGGTGGGCGCCGAGGGAAGAGCACACAAAGAGGGGGTGGTGTGCAGGGCAGGAGCGGCACTGCTGCACTCACTGGTGTTGGTGTCCAGTGCAACAGGCGTGCAGTAGAGGTTGAGAGGGGGAGACGTGGCAGTGGGAGGCGCCGTGACCCCCGTGGTGTTGACCAGGCACGGCACACCCCCGCACAGCGTGCCCTGGCCAAAGGCGGTGCCGCAGATGGCACAGTCGGAGGCGGAGCGCTGGGTGATGCCGAGGGAGGCGCAGTTGTTGGCGTCGGTGAGGCAGTTGGTGGTGGCGGCGCAGTAGGTGAGCGCGTTGGTGGGGAAGGAACCCGACAGGAAGTTTCCCTGCACGTCCAGCGACTTTGCTGATGCCGGCACGGTTGGGAAGGGACCCGTGAGGTAGTTGTAGGCCACGGAGCTGGGGGGTGGGGGTGGGGGCAGTGTGGAGAGGGAAAAGGAGGGAGACGTGAGTGGGGAAGGAGAAACGAGGTGACATAGATGCTGCGTGATTGGAGAGTGCGGGAAGGTGAGGCGGAAGGGAGACAGCAGAAGGAGGGAGGAGGGAGAGCGCTCACAGCTTGGAGAGGGTGGTGAGGGCGAGAAGCGTGGAGGGGAACTGTCCAGACAGGTAGTTGAATTGCAGAGCGCTGCAGCACAACAAATGGGGGAGGGTGGACGGGGGGGACACAGGGGGTTCAGGGAGTTCACAGGGAGTTGAGGGAGAGCAAGGTGATGAGTGAATAATGCAGAGTACGTGAAGTGAATGTGCTGAGCAGTGTAGGACAGTTTAAGCATGGCCCAATGCGAGCATGGATGGCTGCGTGGATGGGCGCATGACCGTATGCATGCACAGAGCTATGGTTGCATGCATGCATGGCAGCATGGGTGCAGGGGGCATTGTTGGCGGGCATTGGCGACTGACAGCTCCTTGAGCACGAGGGGCGCATGCATGGGTACATGGAACGGTGGCAGGGTGCGTCTAGTTTTGAGGCGCCTCAAAACTGGCAGGGTGCAGCGACTCACAGCTCCTTGAGCACGAGGGGTGCATGCATGGAATGGAGCGGTGGCAGGGTGCGAGAACTCACAGCTCCTTGAGCACGAGGGACTCACAGATCCTTGAGCACGAGGGACTCACAGCTCCTTGAGCACGAGGGACTCACAGCTCCTTGAGCACGAGGGACTCACAGCTCCTTGAGCACGAGGGACTCACAGCTCCTTGAGCACGAGGGACTCACAGCTCCTTGAGCACGAGGGACTCACAGCTCCTTGAGCACGAGGGACTCACAGCTCCTTGAGCACGAGGGACTCACAGCTCCTTGAGCACGAGGGACTCACAGCTCCTTGAGCACGAGGGACTCACAGCTCCTTGAGCACGAGGGACTCACAGCTCCTTGAGCACGAGGGACTCACAGCTCCTTGAGCACGAGGGACTCACAGCTCCTTGAGCACGAGGGGCGCCTTGATGCCGGCAGTGAAGGAGTCCAGCCGCCCCTGCAGCAGGTTGGACTGCAGGTCACTGCAGCATACAGCCATGCAGGCAAGGGAAAGGGCACACACGGCACAATGCACAAGGGCACCTTAGCTTAAAAGCATGGACAGAAGCACCCTGCAGCAGCAAGGAGCAACCAACAGAGAGAATCGAGCGAGAAGATAGTGTAATAGCATCGCAGACGAGTGAGAACGAAAGGGGGAGGGAGGAGGTTGAGGACTGACAGTGATGTGAGCGTGGTGAGCTTGGAGATGTCTGAGTGGATGCTGCCTCCCAGCATTTGCGAGTTGAGGACTCTGCAGGTCAGACAAGCAAGCAAGGCCACAGAAAGAGTGCACAGAGAACACATCAGACTTGACATTAAAATCGGGGACCAAGATGACATCTGAGTCGACTCAAAAGAGTGCACAGAGAACACATCAGACTTGACATTAAAATCGGGGCCCAAGATGACATCTGGGTCGACTCAAAAGAGTGCACAGAGAAGAGGACTCATCAGACTTGTCAATAAAATCGGGGCCCAAGAAAACCCATCGTGCTGCTTGCGTTTTAGCTGCGTTGCAGCTGCCACTTGTCTGCATGTGCACTCACATGCCGAGCACTTTGCCAGTGCCGTCGCAGGTGACCCCGCTCCACGAACCAGGGGCAACGGCGCCGGGCAGGGAGCAGGGCGAGTCGGCCTTCCAGTCGGTGAAGGTCACTCCCAGCGACGCCTTGAGGTTCAGCATGGCACCCGTATGCACCGAGTCCATCGCCACAAACGCCGCTCCCACGCAGATGAGCGGCAGTGTGGGAGACGCGGCACTGTTGGGAGCACCGAGTGCCACGAGGTCCGTGGCGTTGACGGTGCACAGCCCGCCGCTGCACAGCCGGCCCTGCGCGTTGGTCGTGTTGCAGATGGCGCAGGCAGCAGCGGCCCGCGGGAGCTCGGCGGCGCGGTTGGGGTTCTTGCACTTGGTGGCGTCGAGGAAGCAGTTCATGCGCGCGGCGCAGAGGGTGAGGTTGAGCGTGGGGAAGGTGCCGGCGAGGAAGTTGAACTGCACGTCCACCACTGAGAGCGGGGATGTCACCGGGGGCAGCGCGCCCGTCAGGTAGTTGTAGCCTAGAGTGCTGTGGGGCAGAGCAGAGGGAAAGGCGGGGATGTGTGGGTGCAAGTGGGAATGGATCAGTCAGAGTAATGAGGAGAAGAGATATTACAAAGAAACTGGTCTCGACGGAGGGGGGGGATACGAAGTCAATTGAGTTTCTGGCACAGCGATGGTCAGAAGGAAGTTGGGAGGAGAGGAACAAAGAGAAGACAGTGCAGGCGAGTGGAGGGAGCAGTGGCGAGTGGCGCTTACATCTCCGTGAGGCTGGGAAGGGTGAGCATGAACGCAGGCACCGAGCCGGAGAGCCAGTTGTAGGCCAGGTCGCTGTGAGCATGGGATGGGATGAGTGGGTGCGTGGGTGGGTGAGGCAGAGGCGCAGGCACGAGTGGGTGAGAAAATGCTATGGAGCCGGAACCTATACAGAAGAATGGCGCAGCAAAGAAGGATTGTCGCCAAGAAGGAAGGAACGAGTGAGAGCACATTCGCATGGTGAAATCTCTTGACATGTCGCCACGCCGCCCTTGTGTGATGAGTCGTTTTTTAGTCGACTCAAAAACCGACTCTTGACATGTCGCCACGCCGCCCTTGCGAAACATGCTCAGAGCGCTGAAATTATTTTCATAGCCTCCTGCACACAGCGCTAGAATGTTTCCTTGTGAGATGTCCCATAAGAGCAGGGTTAGGGAGACGCACATGGCTTTGAGGTTGGTGAGCAGGCGCAGCTGCGTGGCAACTTCGTCCAGGCGACCCTGGAAGAGGTTGGAGGTGAGGTCGCTGGGGGGAGGGGTGGAGAGGAGAGAGAGTGAGGGGCGGGGCAGAGAGGGGGGAAGAGAATGAGGGGCGGGGCAGAGAGGGGGGAAGAGAATGAGGGGCGGGGCAGAGAGGGGGGAAGAGAATGAGGGGCGGGGCAGAGAGGGGGGAAGAGAATGAGGGGCGGGGCAGAGAGGGGGGAAGAGAATGAGGGGCGGGGCAGAGAGGGGGGAAGAGAATGAGGGGCGGGGCAGAGAGGGGGGAAGAGAATGAGGGGCGGGGCAGAGAGGAAGGAGAGTGGGGAGAGGAGAGAGAATGAGGAGAGGAGAGAGAATGAGGAGAGAGAATGAGGAGAGGAGAGAGAATGAGGAGAGAGAATGAGGAGAGTGGTGGAGACAATGGACAGCTGAGAATGCAGGAAGTGAGAGGGGTATGCTTTCATAGTGGCTAGGGCAGTTGGTGGAAAGCAAGGGCGGGCTGCAAGGTGCAGTGAGGAAAGGGAAGTGGCAGCGGGGGGAGGGGGGCTCACATGGCAGTGAGTGCTGTGAGGGTGGAGACAGCAGTTGATGGCAAGCGAGTGCGGGCTACAGAGTGCAGTGAGGAGAGTGAAGTGTTAGTGGGCAGGGAGGGAAGGGGCCTCACATGGCAGTGAGCGCTGTGAGGGTGGAGACAGCGAGTGGCAGAGTGCCCGTGAGCTTGCTGTTGGCGAGTTGCCTGCGGGCATGCAGGGCGAGCAGGCACAGCGGAGGGGCACAACACAGGCAACACAAGGCATGGGCACAGGATTGATGCGTGGAGACGCGAGTGGTGAGTCAGAGGCAAGGCGAAACATACGCCATCAGCATGGCCTGAGCAAGCAGCAGGGCAGGAGAGCCGAGGAAAGTGGCTGCAGTTGGCACTGCCTTCAACGTAGGCTGAGAAAGGGCAGGAAGGGAAAGTTGGCACGCAGTGGCAGCTTGCAAGTTGGGTAGACCCAGTGCTAGGAGAGGGAGAGAAGTGGCAGGCAGAGCACAGCAAGGGCAGGGAGGAACAGACAGGGCAGGCAGGCGGACTGACAGGCTGACGACTTTGCCGAGGGAGTTGCAGAGCACGCCGGTCCTCGTGCCGGCAATGACGGCGGTGGGCGCCACGGTGCAGTAGGTGGCGGGCGCCCACGTGGTGAACGTCACCCCGATCGCACTCTTCAGCGCCGCCAGCGCTTGCGCTGCCGCGCATAAAGGACGGGGGAGAGGGGTGGGGGGAAAGGGGAGGGGGCAGGTGAAGAAAGAGTGACGAGGTGGGGGCGGCACATGGGGTTGGGGGTTTGGCATGCTGCGAGTGGTGGTGGATGAGTTGTGGCGCCGCGTATGACGAGAAATGCGTGGTGAATGGCATGGCTGGGAATGCAAGCAGGGAATGGCATCGGCATTGGCACATCAAGGTGAAACGCAGGCAGGCAGCATGGAGGTGTGGGACATGGCAAGGCAAGGCGCTCTCACCATCAACAGAGCTCATGTTGACCACCGGAGCCCCTGCAGCAGACACCATGCGGATCAGAGGCATTCAAAGACAATCCGAGATATTCAGATCAAAGACCTCAGGAGCAGCCATAGGCAGGCAGGCAATCAGGGATAACGGCACGGGAGGAGAGGGGCGTGAGTATGCATACAGGCAGGAGGCAGCGAGCAGGGATCGTGGGGGTTATCATGGGAGAGAAGGCCATTGTGAAGGGCAGCAAGATTCGAGGTGACTTTTGAGTCGACTCAAAAGTCAGGCCATTGTGAAGGGCAGCATATGTTTTTTGAGAATTTTAGAAAAACGTTAGCAAGGGAGAGAAGGCCATTGTGAAGGGCAGCAAGATTCCAGCTGGGATCACGGGGTGAGGGAGCATAAAGGGGTGGGAGGAGACGCACCATTGCAGTACATGGGCGGCGGGGCAAGCCCGTCAGGGTGTGCGGTGGAGAAAGTGACGTTAGGCAGGCACACGCCCCCCCAGCACAGCAGCCCTTGGGCGTCCGCACTGTCGCAGATGGCACACGCAGCAGCGACCCTCTGAGTGGTGCTGCTGGCCCCACACGCGGCGGCGCTGGTGAGGCAGTTGAGGCTGGCGTCACACGCGGTGAGGGCAGCGGTGGGGGTGAAGGTGCCGGCGAGGAAGTTGTCGTGCAGGAAGAGCGCCTGCAGCATGGATGACACGGCGGGCAGTGACCCTGTCAGTGTGTTTGCGTGCACGTCCCTGCCGTGTCAGGGGAGTGGGTGGGTGGGTGGAAGGTTGGGTGAGGTTGAAAGGAGTTGGAAGGGGTTGTTGTTGGAGGGGGGTGGAGGAGGGAGGATGAAGGGAAAGGGGGGCCAAAGCAAAGGACAGGTGAGAAATTTTGGGATTTGAGACGTCTCAACACCAAACTTCTTTCACACCAAAAGACTGGTGAATGTGTTTTGGACCCTTACAGCAGAGTGAGGGCGGGAAGCGACATGAGGGTCTGAGGAAAGGAGCCCGCGAACCAGTTGTTGTTGAGGCGCCTGGAGGGATACGATACGAGGAAGGGAGACCGGTGGGAGGCAAGAGGTGGAGAGGCATTCAGAGCGTGTACTGAGATGGCTTGGTGGCAGCATGCAATGCGTGGCTGTGTGCGTGGCTGTACCATGGTGTGCATGTGGCTCTACCCATATTGTGCGTGCTGAAGGCCGCACAAGGGAACGACTACTGGGAGCAACACGATCGAGAGCAGTACAGCTGAGAGCAACACGAGCGAGAGCAGCACAGCTGAGAGCAACACGATCGAGAGCAATACAGCTGAGAGCAACACGATCGAGAGCAATACAGCTCAGAGCAACACGATCGAGAGCAATACAGCTGAGAGCAACACGATCGAGAGCAATACAGCTGAGAGCAACGCGGTCGAGAGCAATACAGCTGAGAGCAACACGAGCGAGAGCAATACAGCTGAGAGCAACACGAGCGAGAGCAATACAGCTGAGAGCAACACGATCGAGAGCAATACAGCTGAGAGCAACACGAGCGAGAGCAATACAGCTGAGAGCAACACGATCGAGAGCAGTACAGCTGAGAGCAACACGAGCGAGAGCAGTACAGCTGAGAGCAACACGATCGAGAGCAGTACAGCTGAGAGCAACACGATCGAGAGCAGTACAGCTGAGAGCAACACGATCGAGAGCAGGGCGGATTCGAGTGGCATGGGTGAGCGCGGTGAGGGTGAGGCGGGCGGCACTGACAGCTGCAGGAGCGCCTTGAGGCCCGAGAAGGAGGAGGCGAATTTGTCAAGGCTTCCAAGCAGCAGGTTGTTCGAGAGGTCGCTGTAGGGGGCGGGCGGGAGAAACGGCACAGGGAACATGCACAGGGGGGAGGAGAAAGGAAGCAAGTGAGGAGAGGAAGCTTGCCAGGCTGGCCGCTGGCAAGCAGCAGGTTGTTGAACAGGTCGCTACTGAACATCACGAGGCTTGCTCCGCCCTCGTGATGCAGACATAGCTCAGTGAGCCCTCGTGATGCCCTCGTGATGCACACAGCAGGCTGTTGAACAGATCGTTACTGAGCAGGGTGGGTGGTGGAGGGCATCGTGAGGGCGGAGCAAGGCGAGCACATGGCGGTGTTTTTGACTCGACTCAGTTTCTGAGTTGACTCAAAAACACGCCCCTGGGGTGGGTGGTGGAGGGCATGGAGAGGGCAGAGCAAGACGAGCAGGTGGTGGTGCGTCAGGGAAGGGGAAGACGCAGCATTGATGAGGAACATGCTGACTGGCTCTCAGATGCAGTATACATGCGCAGCACTGACAGGTAGGTGAGGGCACTGACAGGTAGGTGAGGGCACTGACAGGTAGGTGAGGGCACTGACAGGTAGGTGAGGGCACTGACAGGTAGGTGAGGGCACTGACAGGTAGGTGAGGGCACTGACAGGTAGGTGAGGGCACTGACAGGTAGGTGAGGGCACTGACAGGTAGGTGAGGGCACTGACAGGTAGGTGAGGGCACTGACAGGTAGGTGAGGGCACTGACAGGTAGGTGAGGGCGGTGAGCTTGGTGATGTCGGGGTGCATGCTTCCAGCCAGGGCGGAGGAGGACAGGTTGCTGCGTGCGGTAAAATGGGGGGGGGGGGAGAGGGGAGGGAGGAAAAAAAGGGAGATTGGGGGAAAGTGGGAGAGAAATATACAAAGCAAGCTTTCAGCGGTGATTGAAAGATGAAAGAGTGGCTTTGTAGCAGCAGGGAGCAGGAGGAAAGGAGCAGGGAGGGAGGAGGCAGAGGCGGGAGGAGGGCGGAGCACTGACACGCTGAGAACGTTGCCAGCAGCGGAGCAGAGCACGCCGGTCCAGGTGCCTCCTATGGTGATGGTGGAGTTGGCAATGGCGCAGGGCGATGCAGCCGCCCAGCTGGTGAACGTCACTCCCAGCGTTGACTTCACGTTCAGCAGCGCCAGAGCTGTGGGCGATGGGAGGGGGTGAGCGACAGGAGGGAGAGATAAGGCCGAGCAATCGGAAGTGAGAATCTCAAAGGGGGATTGGGGAGAGTGCAGAAATGTTTTGAGACGTCTCAAAACAATCGGAAGTGAGAATCTCAAAGGGGGATTGGGGAGAGTGCAGAAATGTTTTGAGACGTCTCAAAACAATCGGAAGTGAGAATCTCAAAGGGGGATTGGGGAGAGTGCAGAAATGTTTTGAGACGTCTCAAAACAATTGGAAGTGAGAATCTCAAAGGGGGATTGGGGAGAGTGCAGAAAGCCGAAGAAGAGAGGAGGTCAAAGATGCATGAGGTTCATGGAAGCATGAGGGCAAGGAAGGAAGCATGAGGGCAAGGAAGGACGCATGAGGGCAAGGAAGGACGCATGAGGGCAAGGAAGGACGCATGAGGGCAAAGAAGGACGCATGAGGGCAAAGAAGGACGCATGAGGGCCGGCCAACCATGCATGAAGGCAGGGTGGCAAGGCATGCATGAGTAGCACACGCACCTGAACCTGTGTCCATTGGCGCTGCGGGATTGTCTGTAACAGAGGAGAGCGAAGAAGAGGCAGAGAGGGGGAGAGTGTGCGGGGTGAGGAATGGCAGGAGAGCAGTGGGGAGGACGGGCAGAGGTGCGATCAGCAGAAACGCCAGCAACCTATGCAAAAGCGGGAGAACGCCGAGAAGGTAAAGTGACACTGCAATACCATACCTTGCCAGGTTCACATGAGCCTCGCACTGTGCAGTGAAGCGACACTGCAATGCCATGCCTTGCCAGGCTCACATGAGCATCGCACTGTGCACAGCACACACACACACACACCTGTGCATGCCATGGGCAGGATGGGCTGATTGGGCGAGTTGACAGTGCTGGCGGTGACGGCAGCAGCGGCGTCAGGAGTGCAGGAGCCGCCGAAGCAGAGGTCGCCCTGGCCGGCGGCGGTGCCGCAGATGGCGCAGGCGCCGGCAGGGCGCTGCACGATGCCGTAGGTGCGGCAGGCGGTGGAGTTGAGGAAGCAGTTGTTGTCGCCCGCACAGAACATGAGTGGCAGCTTCGGGAAGGTGCCCGAGAGGAAGTTAAATCCCACGTCCAGAGCCAGCAGGGTCTTGGCAGGGATGGGCACGGTGCCCGTAAGGTAGTTGGAGAAAAGGCCGCTGCCGGGGGGGAATGGGGGGGAGCGGAGAAAGTTGGGGGGAAGGTGGTGAGGGGAAGGGGAGGGGGAGTGGATGAGGAAATGGTGGATGAACAGCGGATGGGGCATGAGGAACGGAGATTGTTGTGAGTGGAGGGTAGCTCTGGGCTTTCAGGTACAGGGACCAGGCGGTATGTGAATTTTCGCTGTGAGTGATGCCGCTGGGTTGGCTTACAGTGAGGTGAGTTGAGGAAGTGTGGCGATGGCAGAAGGAATCGAGCCGGCGAAGTAGTTGTAGTGGAAGAAGCTGTGATGGACGAGGGGAGGGGGCATGGGAGCGAAGGGACAGAGGAGAATAAGTGGGATGGGATACGAGAGGAGTGACACAGGACAGACAAATCATGCAGGCTAGCTGCAGTAGCATGTGCAAGGCTGGAGCAGCAGGGGTCTGATTTTGGGGCGCCTCAAACTCCGTAGCATGTGCCAGGCGGGAGCAGCAGGGCACAGCACGCACTGGGCATCCAACAGAATGCATGCAGCGCCATAGGCCGTGAGAGGGGAGTAAAGGAAACACGTGAAGCGAGAGTATTTTTGAGACGTCTCAAAATTACTCTCGCTTCACGCGGTCTTAGAGCATCCAGCAGAATGCATGCAGCGCCATAGGCCATGAGAGGGGAGTAAAGGAAGCAGGTGGACATGGTGGAAGGGGGCGCCGGGCGGTCTTACAGCGCCTTGAGCGACGTGAGGGGCTTGAGCGGTGCGGCAAAGAAGTCGAGACGGCCCTGGAAGAGGTTGTAGCCCAAGTCACTGCGGCAGGGAGGGGGAGGGGAGGAGAGGAGGGGGTGGGATGAGAGGGGGAAGAGGGGAAAGGGAGAGCAGTGTGGATGGGGACCCGCTTTACAAATGGACACAGCCCACCCACTGACAAGGAAAGCTGGCATACTAACAGTGCACCCAGTGACAAGGAAAGCTGGCATGCTATGCACAGTGCACCCACTGACAAGGAAAGCTGGCATGCTATGCACAGTGCACCCACTGACAAGGAAAGCTGGCATGCTATGCACAGTGCACCAACTGACAAGGAAAGCTGGCATGCTATGCACAGTGCACCCACTGACAAGGAAAGCTGGCATGCTATGCACAGTGCATCCCAACTCCCATTCGCCATGTCAATATCCTCTTCTGACGTGCGCAGATGGGACGTGTTTTGAGCCGACTCAAAACACCTCCCAGTCGCCCTGTCACTATCCTCTTCTGATGTGCGCAGATGGCACGTGAGTGCGGTGGGCTTACAGGTAAGTGAGCGTGGTGAGCTTGGAGATGTCAGGATGAATGACACCCTGCAGCTTCTGCCGTGTGAGCGCACTGCATGGCAACGAGGGGGAGGAGCCAAGGATGAGAGGCAGGGGAGGAATGAGAGAGGCAAAGGAGTGGGAACAAAGGCATCACCACCACACTGCGTGGCAATGAGGGGAAGGGACCAGAGTGAGAGCCGAGGGATGAATGAGAGAGGCAAACAATGGGGGAGTGGCAAGAGCAGCACCAGCACAGCACCCACATCACACGTGCTCCGTCTCCCTCTTGCATAACGCACCCACCCGCTCTCTTCCGCCCCTTCCCTCCTCCCACTCACATGCTTCTGACTTTACCTGCAGGCGTGCAGCGCATGCCGGCCCACTGTGAGGGCTTTTGAGATGTATCAGCCCCTCACAGCCCCAACTCATCCCCGCACTCGCATGCTCCTGCGCCCCTCACCAGCCATCCCCGCACTCACACGCTCGTGACTTTGCCGGCAGCGGTGCAGCGCACGCCGCCCCACTGCGCGGGCAGGAGCGTCTGCCCCTCCAGCGTGCACAGCGCTGCCGCATTCCAGTTGCTCAGCGTCACGCCCAGCGACGACTTGAGCGCCAGCAGCACCGTAGCTGGTGGGGGAGGGGGGGAGAGAGATACGGAAGGGGGAAGAACTGAGTCTAGGGATTCACATCGTCATGCCCAGCGACGACTTGAGCGCCAGGAGCACCAAAGCTGGTGGGGCAAAAAGGGCTGACAGGTGGGGAAGGGGGAAGGCAGGTTTTAAACGTTGACACAGGCATGGGGTTAAAAATACATGAGAGCGGGTGGTCAGAGGCTAACAGGGCCTAAGTAGAGTGCATGCGAGAGGCAAGGGCCTGTGCATGGTTAGCTGTGGATGCACGGGTGGCTGTAGGTGTGCAGGTGCCTGTGGATGCACGGGTGGCTGTAGGTGTGCAGGTGCCTGTGGATGCATGGGTGGCTGTAGGTGTGCAGGTGCCTGTGGATGCACGGGTGGCTGTAGGTGTGCAGGTGCCTGTGGATGCATGGGTGGCTGTAAGTGTGCAGGTGCCTGTGGATGCACGGGTGGCTGCAGGTGTGCAGGTGCCTGTGGATGCACGGGTGCCTGTGGGCATGTGGACGCCTGCTTTTTGAATGCGCTCACCATCAGCAGCGTCGATGGGGACACCACCGCACACCAGGGGCAGTGTGGCCGAGCCCATAACATTAGGCGTGCCCAGCGCGGCCGCAGCCGCAGAGTCAGGCGCGCACGTGCCGGTGCCGCCACAGAAGGGCGGCTGCGCGTTGGTTGAGCCGCAGATGGCACAGTCTGCTGCGGGGCGCTGTGTGGTGCCTCCCATGCCGCAGACAGAGGGAGTGGTGAAGCAGTTGGTGTGGCCGTCGCACCAGCTGAGAGTCATGCTTCCCATGGTGTAGAAGAAGTTTCCGCGCACGTCCAGGGTTTTCAGAGTGGGCGAAGCTGGGAAGCTTCCAGTGAGGTAGTTGTAGCCCACTCCACTGCAGGAGGCGGGATGCGGAGCGGGATTGTGGATCCGAGGAGTTGAGATGGGAAGAGATGAGGCTAGAGTGGGCAGATGTGTGTGCGAATGTGAGGAAATGTGGCAGAGACGGGAGAAGCGAGTTGTGATGCGGCGTGGGTGGGCAGCTGAGTGCGAGAGCGAGTGAGGAATGTGTGTGTGCGGGCTCACAGCACACTGAGCGATTGCATGTTGAGGAGTGCGGCGGGCATGGAGCCATAGAACCAGTTGTACTGCAGGAAGCTGTGCGGAGGAGGGCGGGGGAGGGGGGAGGGAGGGAAGGGCAATGAGGGGTGGGCAAAAGGCAGTAGAACCAGTTGTGCTGCATATAGCTGCAGGGGAGGGAGGGAAAGTGGGAAAACGGCAGTGAAGAGATGACACGAGGCAGTACGGGAGGAGAGGGACGTGTGCGAGGTGGGCTAGACGACAAGGGCAGAATGGACCCAAGGGGACAGCAGAGAGAGAGAGGGCAAGGTGGCAGAACGGAGGATGGGAAGGCGGGAGACCGAGGGAGCAAAGCAACGGAGGCAGAGTGGAGAAGCACACTAAGGCTAAAGAGTTTCACAGGCAGCGACGGAAAGCACAGACCCGTGTCCTTGAGGCTGCTGCGTTTTACAACTCACTAAGGCTGGAGAGTTTTTACAAGTGTCAAACATGACTCACAGCTCCTTGAGGGTAGCGGTGAGTGGAGGGAGGTTGGCGGTGAAACCAGCCAGCGGCGCCTGGAAGAGCTGCTTCGTGAGATGCCTGCAGGGGCGCACACACACAGCCAGGCAGGGGCGCACACAGAAAGATGGGGGGTTGACAGACAGGAGAGGCGGATTGGTTGACAGCAGGTGGTGGTGAGTGGAAGGAGGTTGGCGGGTGAAACCAGCAAGCGGTGCCTGGAATAGCTGCTTCATGAGATGCCTGCAGGGGCGCACAGAGCCAGACGAGGGGGGGCCAGACAGTAAGGCGAGGGTGAGACAGACAGTAAGGCGAGGGTGAGACAGACAGCAAGGCGAGGGTGAGACACAAGGCGA